TGGTATGTCATTGTCTTCTTTTGTGTATCATCTCTTTCTTTTATTCTTATATATGATCAGCAATATTTTTCAATTTTTTCCAGGAAGATTACCAAACATTTCGTGGGGGATTCTGGAATTACTTTAGCTTGGGTAAGAATTTTGCTCCCCTGGCCGCTGAAAACAGCTTATCTTTTCCCCTAAACAGCATTGCGGTTAGGTTCTACTTACTAGATTGTGTAATCTTTCAGATGTTAGATATATATAGAAATGATATCTAACCAGATATCATAGTCATAGACATTTGAAACTTGGAATATAATTAAGTTAGTTGTATGACTTCTCATTACATCATTAATTGGCTGTCTTTGTGAAAATACAAGCTAACCAGTAATCAATTTACTGCAGGAATGGATGCTCAAGTATCTTATGCATTTCATTCCCAGAGAAAATTGCACCCAGAAAAGTTTAAAAATCAGCTAGTTAATCAGGTTTACATATATATATATATATACCTTGCTCTTAAAGTTCTTTTTTATGTTGTCTTCAAAATGATGTGGACGTGATTGCTTCATCTAGTATAAACTAAAATAACAAAAAGTAACAACTAATGTTTCTATTGATTTCATGACATTCAAGAGCACATATCTAAAGCTTAGTTGCACACAAGGATGGTTTTTTGCCTCTCTTTTTCACCCTGCTTCACAGTGAGTATATTTTTCTTTGCTTATCCATGAGTTGTTTCTTTGCTTAGTTAGAAGCAAAAATATTATATGGCATTTGTGGCAGAAACATAGCTCAGCTTGCAAAGGTTCAGATTTGTAATAAAAGTGGCCAATGGAATGACCTTCACATTCCCCAAAGGTAAAGGTTATACGAGGCTTCTTGTACAATAAACAAGATTGTCCAAAATAATTAATTAACATATATTTTTGTTTTGGCAGCATAAGGTCCATAGTCTGTTTGAATCTTCCTAGCTTTTCTGGAGGACTAGATCCTTGGGGAACACCAAATCCTAAGAAACAACGTGATGTAGGTTTTTAAAACATTCTCTTCACAGTAATTTGCTCAAAAAAATGGTTAATGTTTCTTTGTGATGTCTCAACAGAGAAGCCTAACTGCACCATTCGTTGACGATGGACTCATCGAAATCGTTGGGTTTAGAAATGCTTGGCATGGTCTTGTTCTGCTCACTCCAAATGGACATGGGACAAGACTTGCACAGGTAAATGTAAAGTGATAGAAGAAAAACTGAGTTAAGTGCATACTTTTTAACTCGTGTGTGTGTGTGTAGGCAAACCGAATTCGATTCGAGTTCAAGAAAGGTGCGGCGAAGCATGCATACATGAGAATGGATGGAGAGCCATGGAAACAACCACTTCCATTAGATGATGAAACTGTGATGGTAGAGATCTCACATCATGGACAAGCCAACATGCTTGCAACCCACAATTGCAGCTCCAAAAGCATGTTTGAGTCTTCTTCCACAATCCGGTTTAGTGATGATGAAGATGACTCAAAGTGAGGACTAATTTTAGAATCCAGTAGAAACAATATTCTCTTTCTTGAGCTCGTATAGTAACAACTAACGATCAACCAAGTTCCCAAACTCACCTAACCTCTGTTTCTTTGTCCCCTGTTTTTTTTCTTTATATATGTTCGAACGTACAAAGTACTGCATTAAGGATTTGTTGGTCTTAAGACTTTTGGGACTTGCTTCTTGCCCATTAAATCGAACCCTCTAGTTCTTTCGGAAGTTTCACTTTGACTTCTCCAGAGACTTCTTGGTAAAACTCAAAGATGCACAAAGATCTTGCATAATAGGCAGAGGTCATTATAATAGCCTCTGGAGATGATGTGACGTTGCCAACTTGTCAAAGTACAGATAACAAACTCGATACAAGGAGAACATCTATGTATGTAGCAATAATCAAACACAAACACATAATATATTAAAATCAATGATGACGATAGAAATACAGAGAGAAGGTAGACACATATAATGACTGATGTGTGAAGTGGGAGATCACAAAAACTGTCTCCATCCAAATGCCAATGAGTAGAACCCTAAACTACAACCTACAACAATGTGGGCTTATAACCTTTTTCAAAAGAAAGGTCTCATAGGACAAGAGAGAGAAGATGAAGATGAGCTTTCTGAAAACTGATGAGCACTATCCAAATCATCCCAAAGGGGACTTTCAGGACCCCAACCCGATGTCACCGCATTGTACCACGCCTCAGCCATGCCTTCGTCTCTCCCAACATCAATGACCGCTAGTTCCTTGCTTTCCAAGTTAACCTCGCTTGGCTGCGGCGTTTCAGGTTCTTTCTGATCTGAAGAGTTTGAATCATGCAGCTCGCTTTCCTTATTCACAAAATGCTCCGGGAAGTTCAGTGTTGCGCTGTGGCCCCTCAATTTGAAGGCTTGGCGGTCGTAGGCCATGGCAGCTTCTTCAGCTGTATCAAAGGTACCAAGCCAAATCCGTGCCCTGCTTCGTGGCTTACGGATCTCTGCGACCCATTTTCCCCATTGACGTTGTCTTACTCCTCTGTACAGCTTGGTTGCGCTATATGGTTGAACAGTTTCTTGGCTCATAATCATCATTCTTCCTCTTGGACTCAAATTCAATGTGTCACTCCAGTACTTGGCCATATACTGCTGCTGTTGTTGTTGAGGACTAAACGAGATCATTTGCTTCTGGCCTTGCATTGTCGGGTCATGTTGTTGCTCAACCGGAACGTATGATCCGAGTTGTTGCTGCTGATTCTGAAGTGTTGGATCGAGAGAAAAAGGGAAAGCCCCTAACGAATAAGGAGAAGAAGAGGATTGGAAATAGGGTTTAGGACGATTAGGACTCTTCATTTTCTTCATAGATCTCGGGGACGTGGACGAAGCTTCTCCGAAAGAATGATCCACATTTTTACCTTTCGTAATACAAAGATTTAGCTCCTCGTCAAAGTCCATCTTGACGCGGCACGATTCGCCAAAACAGAGAGCAGTGGAAGAAAGGAAACTTAGAGAAGAGAGAGCTATAAAAACAGAGAAAATTGTGTCTTGTTTTGTTCTTATTTGGTAAGAGAGAGACGACTCTACATGGGTTTATATATGAGGGAATTAAAGATTTAGATATTTATTTTTGTCAACGAAAGATTTGCTAACCGCTTTTGTTAATACTATATGTCGCATCTTACTATTGACGACTATTCAAAACAATCTTTTTGGGGTTATTCCTTTGCTTTTACTCCAATTCATTGGCCAATAAGAAAGTTTAGAAAATTAGCATTTTTAAAAAGAGAGATATTGACACAGAGAAACACAACGCGCAGAGATTAAAACATTCACGTCCGTACGAATACGTGGCATTCTCTGTTTTTTTGGACGGTGAAGGCATTCATTAGTTCATGCTTCCAAGTTCCTATCCCTTCCATTTGATTTAATTATTTATTTTCCAAGCTTTAATTTGCCATCACTAAGCTTAAAAGATAAGATTAGAGTGTAAAAAACATCTATGATTTAAGATTTTATGGAGGTTTATGCAAATTGAATGGAAACAAAAAAAAAAAAAATTGATGTTGGTGTAATGGTCGGCTAGCCGCGGCTAAAGGATAATATCCCATAAGGATGACCATTTTGATGACAACCAAACGGAGTACTAATTATAGTTTCAATCTTCCGGGTCGGTGATTGGTCAAACTCAGCTTTCGCTTTTAGATATTTTGGTTATTATTTCTCCACCTCCCCTCAAAAAGATACTCAACTCACAAGACCGACCAAGTTTGAAAAATTCACAACTAGAGGAATTTCATTTCTCAGACAAAATCATTCTTTTTTGGTAACTAAATTTCAACATTATATCTCACGTGCATATCTATCTATGCGTGATGTTATTCTTCATATCTTCTATATTTAGGGAGGAATACATACATAATTTATAAAGATTTTCAGGTGGGAATTCCAAACTAACTATTGGATTTTTATAGTTGTTATGTAAATTTTTCTAGTGGTAAAAAAGAAGCCGTGCAGTAGAAAATCTACTTAAATGTCTATAAGAGTATTATTCTTAAGAAAATTCGTAACTATTAAGGCACATGTTTATTCTTTATTTTTTATGAGCTAATATTGTTGGGTCTAATGTTTAGAAACAGTATAGTTTGTTTTGGTGTAATTTTAGTTAGGGGTGAGCATAAAAATAGACGAACCAAAATGAACCAAAATTCATTGAACCAAATCAGAACCAAATTTTCTTAGCACTATAACAATAACATATATGGGCCACTTACATTACATTTAATTTGCATCCAAATGTATACCGTTGAAATTTTTCTACAACTAAAATAAATGATTGACCAAAAAAAATCCACTGCAACAATTTCTAAATGAAATTTTTTAAAAGTATATATAGATAGTACATATAAACGTTCTTAATTATTCTAAATGTTCTTAATCATTATTGTTATAATCAAAAAAAAAAAAAAAAAAAAAATTATTGTTATAATCAATCATCATCATCTATAAATGTTCCCAGAACGTTATTTATTGGAGAACACACTTCAATTGCATGTTCCAGGGTATTAAGGAAATCAACACAAAGAAGCAAAATAATTGCATAAAGCTATAAATTTGTCTAATTCCGTAAAAAAGGCTATCAATCACTCCTTCGGATCAAACTAAACTTTGGGCCAATGATCTAATTTATCAAATTTGGACAAAAGCCGAAAGAAGCCTAACATGATCCAATTTTAAGAGTTATCTTCAGAAACAATCTAAAACACCCTAAACATTTCCTAGTAAATAAATAATATCAAAATATTATTCTAGAGGCTAACAAAATAAATTTGAGATAATTGTAAATGATTTTATACATTTTTGTGATAATTTTATGTAAATGATTTTTTATGTCTGTATATTTATCTTTTTTTGGTTATGAAAAAATTCGTAAATTGTCCACAAAAAAAGAAGGGTACCAAAATCAAGAGAACGTGCGTTTGTACAAACAGAAAGCCACAAAACATTAGAAGAGAATAAATGTATTGAGAGCCCATCATCATCAATCTGACCCCAAACCAAATTTATTATAAAAAAAATATTTTGAAGAAAAAGTCAGTGTCTATCCTTTCCTAAGAGTCCCAAATAACAACAATGCAACATTATTGATGATATGTGCTACTCTTAAACAACAAAACTAAATAGATTGTTAACCAAGTAATGATCTAAAACACTATATGTATCAAAGATAATGAGGAGTAGTGGTGAAGTAAGTGAAGTCATGGTGGTGGACCCTTAGCTGCTTTAGCCAAGAATCTGCTACGCTCAAAAAGCAAAGCAATCTATCACTGTCCCATAGCCTCCCTTGCGTCTTGTAAGTGGCCATCCCAAATGCACTCACACTTATCCTCTCCTTCTCCTCCTCTTTCTTCAAATCTGTTTTTCAATGCAAAAACACTTTAGAAATGAATATACTAATACATTAATACACATCCAAGAGGAAAGTGAAAATGCACCTTGGAAAGATGAAGAAAGCGTGTGGTAAGTGAGGAAGCAAGTAGACAAGTCTTTTATGCTTCTATTCATGGGAATGTGATAGATTGGATACCTACACATACAATCAAATATCATCACCATTTTAGTACATTAACCTTAATATTTTCTTTCTGAAACAACACAAAGAAGAAAAGGCAGACCAAGCAACAGCCATCCAACTCGCAGGAGACAGATCAATACTTCTCAATGACCTCAAGCCTGCGTGTCTTTCTCCCAACTCTTTGATCTGAAAGTACACAGAGACTTCTGGGAATCGTAAAACAATGAAAGAAAGTGTTTCAAGAATCAACTCCAAGAATGGGGAAAGAGCAACAAACCTTATCCATGAGAGGGACTCTGGAGTAAGGTGTACATCTCTCGAAATACTGCAAGTAAGAGTAACCGAGGCGATCGAGAGGTTCTTGATGATCAAATCCTTCCTCAGACGAAGAACATCTTTCCCATCTCCACTCCTCACTACACGACTCGCTCCCTGAATCCCCTGATTCCGTCTCCTCCCTAAATCATCATTCATCGCAGCGACGACATTTCAGATTCATAAATATGTGTTTTTGCTTCTGAAAATGGCATAATGATCATTACCTTAGAGCATTGAGAACAGAATGAGAGGTGAAAATCTGGATTGCAGAGAGGTAAGGAACATAGTACTGGACCAATGTCTCGCCGGTTTCCGAGACAATGGGGACACCTGCACCGTAAGCGCTCCACTCGTCGAAACAATCCCAAAAATCTCCCAACCTGAAGTACTCTACGCTCTGGCTCTCCAAAGGGTACCATAGACGATTCAGGTTCTTGATCTGTGTCTGCCAAAACACACAGTTTCAGATCCTAAATTCAGAGAATTGTTTAAGAAAAAGAAAAAAAGTGTGAACCTTTGGGAGGGAATAGGCAGGCACAATTGGTGTAGTGCAGCGTAGGAATCGGTCTAGGTTGGATTCATTGTCAAAAACCATCATTATCCAACAAAGAACCAAACTTCGACCCAGAAAAAAACAGAGAGGAGAGAGGAGAGAGTTTTGCGGGATTCTCTTTCCCTGACGTTTCAAAGAGCTTAACTTTCGGACAAAAGTGTTTGCTTTATTAGACGAGCATTTGAGACTTTCACGGCAATGTCTGAAACCGGGAAAGATTGAACGAAAAGGGACAAACTTTTTAAAGAAAACTCCAACGGAGCTCTGTTCTGAGAAATGGGGAAAAAAACAAGTAAATGTATCTCTACTTTGAGATAAAAAAAAAGTTAGGAAATAGGTTTATATAAAAACCAAACTCCATGTGACCCATTCTTCTAAGGCAGGAGATTATTGGTAGATTCACCTGTCTTTCTCACAACTCTCCACCTTCTTCATTTATTTTCAATTTATGTAATAAATATATAATTAACTTTGTCGGATGACATTGAGTTTGTTTGTTTGGGTTAGTATAAAACGTTATGGTTTCTTAGTGTCTTTTTGCATAGTTCGTGAACAATTCACAACAAAAAACAGAGCTATTCCTACGTCTTAGATGATGACACCTACCAAAGAAAGTCTCCTTCTTTTGGATACATCTTGAAAGAAGAGAAAGTGGGTCGATCACATCACAAGACTAAAAAGAAAAACAGAGAAACTGGGTCAATGACTCCTCCTTCATATGGTTTAAAAGAACATGTGTGACAGGATCAGTCGGCAATGTTGTAAACCAAGCAATTGGTTAAACCATTTACTACACATTCAAATAGTACGACATGTGGGTAATAAAAGTACGGAAACGCTCTTTGACTTTTACGGATTTCTTTCAAATTCTATCGACAACTGTAGAATATGCCGCTAGTCACGTAAATGTTATTAAAAAAAAAAACAAAGATTTGATCGGAGAAGAAAACTGTAGAAAGGGTCAAATTTGAAGGTTGCATTTGTTTTACCAACTTCGAAAGAAAAAAAGAAAGTAAGAGATCAAACTCTTTCGAAGTGGAAGCCGTCGTCTCGCTGACTCCTTCTCCTTCAGTTTTTTTTTCTTTCTCTTTTTACTTGTATGTGAAGCCAAAAATAAATCTGCAGAATTAACGGTTCCAATATGAGAAGAAAAGAGGATTTTTAATAATAAAAGAAAAGTGAGGGAGAAAAGAATAAGACCTGGTTGCACAAAAGCCCATCAAAATTTGGGTTTATATATCACAACCAAAAATTACTAATTAGGCATTTGTTGCAAATGTCGTGACTGATCATCATGCAATAATTCACCGCCAATACTAAAGATGCCACCAGACTTTGTAGGCTCTCTTTTTAGCAGATGAAGTACTTTGTTTAATGTAACCATAATTAGCTTGAACCATTTCACTCTAATCTATATATTACACACTTACTCTCTTCCACCTTCCCTCCACAAACCAAACATTCAAGCTCTATACCATTTATTCTCTACTAACACAACAATGGCTTCTACTCTGCAAAATCTGATTCTGACCACAATTTGTCTGGTAAGCCTGCTTCTTGGATGTACAGAGGAAGTAATCGGAATGCGTTACATTCCCAATTCCCCCACTCCCAGTGAGAGCAAACATTCAGACTTTCTTGTGAACATGGTGCCTCAACCATCTGGTCTCATTCCTGGTTTTGGAAGGTTCTTGCTTCCTCCCACACCTAAGCTGCCATTCCTTCCTTACAAAGATCCCCTTGCTTCTGCCCCAACAACTTCTCATGGAATTCCTATTTGTTATTCTCCAAACCCTGGATATAAAGCTCGCAGTCCGAGTTCACGAGAAGATCAAGTTCCACCAGTGCCACAACCATGACCTGTCAACAAATAAGCATTTGCTAGATACAAAAGAATCTTCAATTCTGGTTTACACAACAAGTCTACTACTACCATATCATCAGAGTCATATATCTTTGTGATCTCTCTCTCTCTATCTCTGCTTAAGAAAGATATTGAATGAATTCTAGAGCTTTTGCTTACATACTATCTAAGAATAATGAGAATATTTCTCCTCCACATTACTTATATGATGGGCTTTATCTCTTCAATTGAATAATTCTTGTCATGGTCAAATTAATCTGATATAACAATTTCTGAGTGGATCATGATCGATTCAGAAGAGAAACTCCCTTTACAATGTCTAAGATTTTGTCAAAGAAAGATATGAAAAATCTCAAAGTCTCAAAGTAATCTCAGAGGATTAGCATTTAGCATTACCAAAACCAACGATGACAAATCAAATTTGGAAACTTATAAAACAATGCGATAATGGACAAAGAGATGTCTTGGAAAAGTCTTTTCGAATTGAAAAAACGATCACCATGAACAAAACCAAATTCAATGATGGTTCTTTGCAAGAGATTAAGAGAAGAAAGATAGGGTCACAAGTGCAGGTTTTGGTAAATTTCTGAGTGGCAACTATTCATAAATGCCACTCAGAAAAAATGAATACCTTATACCTTGAAGATGATGAAACAAAGGAAGCAGAAAAATATAAAGATGAATAGGTAATCAACGAACACGAAGAAGTTCGTGGATCCACGGTTTCTGTTTTTCATCTTCATCTTCTTCTTCTCCTCCTCTATCTCCTCCTCTTCAATGGGCTCATTTTGAGACCATATAATAAGGCCCAAGAAAGAGAAAAGCCCAAACAACGTATGCGATGTTGACTAGTCAACTAAAAAACTGGCAATGAAACGATCTCTTTTACTTCTCCTCCCTCTTCTTCCTCTGTTTCACCTGTCTCTTTCCAGTTACAAATGAGCAGCCACGACCATCGAAGGTTTGGAACGGCGGGTCCTTTAGCAGCCGGGGAAGAAGGAGAAGGACGTTTTGAGAGCTCGGTGAATGCAGTGCCGTTTGGTTTGGTTGCGACCGGAGTTTTAATCGCTATCTTCCTCTTAATTGCTATTTTTGAGAGGTTCATCTTCATTAGTCCAACTCAATCACCACCTCTCGACCAAAAGTTTCCTCCTTTTGCTTCCCCCAAGGTTCATAATCTCTCCTCTCTATTTGCTTTTATATTTTTGCCTACGTTTTAGTTCTGTTGGTTTATTTACTTCGTCTTTTTAACTAAAGCGAACAAACAAAAAGGCTGATTCGTTTGGAATATATCTAATGAGGTTGCGACCATCCAATATTTGTGATCACAACTATGCTTGATTTTGTTGGGTGATGAGATTAAGATTAAATGAACTTGCCAATGCATATAGGTTATTATGTTTAAAGAAGTCTATCAGTCAGGATCATATGATTTACCAGGGTTTATGCTAGAGGAAGCTCTTTTGTCGTATATTAAAATAGTTGCGAAGTCCAAAACAGGATTACACTAAATGTATTATTTTATGGGGATACAAAACCCCTTGATTCATGCAACGAGGTTTGAATATACGCAGAGTAGAAAATAAGATATGTTAAGAGGATTTTCACTTATTTGTCTACTACACAGTAGTTGTCTTTTGTATGATGATGATGTCATGTATAATAATCTTGTGTTGTTTGTTTGTAGATGGATGTGTGTAAGAGAGAGATATCGGTGTTGATGCCTGGAGAAGATGTCCCAACTTTCATTGCTCAGCCATGTCCTTCTTCATCATCATCAAGCTCTTTCTGAAACCTTCTTGAATTTCATTTTTACCATTTAATATCACTCTTATTAGGACTTTATATCTCCTATATTGTCAACCAAAAAAACAAAAAGACAAAGTGTTTATGTAGTCAAGTGTTGTTAAACAGAACAGTGTTCTCTGTTTGTGTCTGCTTATCCCATAGCAAAAGAGCAGCAATCTCCATAAAATAAAAAGCCATGGAATTTGTGAAGCGTTAGTTGTTGCGTAGGCTTGCCTTTTACTTTACGAGTCAATAAACAAACCAAAAACGAAGATACGCAAAAGATTTGGTTAATAATATTACACATTCCGCAATTTACAAATCAAAAAAGGGAAAAAACAATCAATCACATCAGAGTTAATAATGATGAAAGTAGAAGAGATCATCAGAGAAAGATGAAGCATTCCATGGACACTTCAGGGTCTCTCACAGTTGTTACATCTTCTTCCTTCCTTACCTCAACAGTTAGTTTTGCCTCTTCTTCTTCTTCCTTCTTCTTCACCTCTGTTGCTCCGTCTTTCTCCGGAGCTCCTACTCGTTTCTTCATGGGGCTTCTTCTTGCGGAACTCGGGCCACGAGTGGCCGGAGACTGTGAGCGACGCCTTGGATTATCCGATAACCCGCTCCGGGGGAGTGGACCCGAATCCACATTTCGACGGTTGTGAGTAGGGTTTGGTTGACGAGACTGTCTCTCTCGGACTAACCTGGGACGGAGCTGCTTCCCCTGAGGAGAATGCCGTTCCGCTGGAGATCTGAGGACTCTGTCAGGCCTGTTGCGGCGAGAGGTGGAGGCAGAAGGAGGAGGAGGACGGTGGGGTTTGCTGAGAGCGTCGTCTTCGAGAATGGAAGCAGCGGTAGCAGTAGTAGCAGTAGTAGCGGTGGAGTAGCTGTGAGAGACAGAGACGCTGCAAATGTCGGACTTGTTTTGAGAGATCTCCGGAGCTGGTGGTGAGAGAGGACGAGGAACTTGAGCTTCTGAATCTGATACTGTTGGTGCGGAAGGAACGAGGTCGGGGACAGTGACAGGGACGGAGACAGAGACCGATTGGACCACGACTTCTTTTACGGATTCTTCTTCAATGGGTGGAGGAACTTGAGCGGCGGCGACTGGTGGAGGTGTGACTTTTCCGGCGCTGAAGCAGCATCCCATTTCTTTCTACTCTTGCTAATGCCTCTCTCTCTCTCTCTCTCTCTCTCACTACTACTACTCTCTCGACTCTCGAGAGTCGAGATATGTCAACTTTAATGGGCCTGTTTCTCACGTTGGCCCATATTCACACACTGGGCTCGATTATGCTTTTTGTTTTATCCACTTGACGAAGAATCTGAGATTTGTCTCATTCATTCATTCATATCTTCAAGACAAAACGCTAGTGCTTGATTTTCTTTAAAATATTCAAAATGAAAATTCAAAATTATACGGATGGATAAATATCTCGTTTGATAGCGACCCATCATCGTTGGGACAATTTCAACACAGAACAAGGACATGCCGATTGCCTTGGACAGAGACATGTAACGAAAGTAAGTAGAAGATCAAGAAATGGCTATCATTTTTAGCCCATCATCCATCCACAACGTTGCATTTACCTCATTGTTGAATAAGAATGGGTCCAGCAATCCTTAGTCTGTTTTTGTGTTTATTAAAACTTGAAGTGGAAAGAAGTAAAGAACCTAAACATTGTTGCTTCAAAAACTTTAGTAGAAATTAAATTATAGTTGAAAAACAAATAAAGTAGAAATCAGAAAGGGCCAAGGCTCATAAACTTGTAAACCCCAAGCCCATAATAAATAATTTGAATCCATTAGTTCACTCCCATCCGCTACTCTTTTATTTGGGAACAACAACTACTCAACTAGGAGGATAGAGAGTATTTAGACTTGAACTCAAAAGTAAAGATGTTATGCAAAAAATTGTGTTGACAACTTATTCATATTCATGTCTCGGTAAAGATTCAAAACAAATGGATCTTCATGTCTCTGTTGACAATTTAACCTTTTACCAAAAAAAAAAATGTCTCTGTAAAGATGTTGACATTATTATTTCATTTTCTACAAAAGAAATTGGCGACATTTTCTTCAATTCCCCATTTATCCATTATGTACTTTTTTTTTTTTTTTGGTTGAAACCCATCCATTGTGTATGTACTTAAGATAACATATATGCCATATAAAACTCATATGGTCTACTACATACAAAACTACTCTCCTCCTAAGTATTAAAAAAATGAGTTCCTCGAACACATATAGCTACAAATATAGATAGATATGACATTGGGGTTTGAGCGCATTGCAGAATACCTAACAGACATAGATGTCAATGACGTCGTCGTCATGTACTTGGTTACTAGTTGTTTTATACAACTAGTTGATTAAACCTGTTTTTTCAATTAAAGAAACCAAACTTTATATATTTCTTCAACTTTTATTTATATAAGAAATAGCCAATGGGGGTAGTGAAATGACTCGGTAACCAATGAATCCTGATGAAAGGGAAGAGCCCAAGAATTTGCAGAACCTCAAAGAAAAAAAAGGACCTTTGAAATTACAAAATCAAGAAGATGAGAAGAAGTAAGTACAAGAAATGAAAAAGGAGGAGTTATGACATTATAAAATCAAAGAGGACCTGAAACACTTGACACAACTCTATTCCTCAACTTCTTCTCTCTTGTGTCTTATCAAAGCCTCTCTCTCTCTCTCTCTCTCTCTCTCTCACCCACCACCGCCTCTGTTCTGCTCTTATCAACCATAGACATTCTCTCTCTCATCCCTACATACATACAATGTTATGTAGGTGATAGATACTAGTATAACATTAGTGTATATAAACATTAATATAATGGAGAGGTCCCATGCCCGACGAGTTTTGTTTTGTTGGCCAGCTAATTCGCATCCTTTTTGTTTTGTTCTGTATAAGAGTTCCTTTGTTACTAGTATAGTATAACCACAAGGCCAAAGAGAGAGAGGCTAAAATAAAAAGCGCTCTCTTTCTTATTAATTTTCTCTCTCTTCTCTTCTCCCGAAAAGCCCTTAATAAGCTTTTGCTTTGATATCAGATCTCTCTTACGGCTTTTGAGATGCGTGCTCCTTTAGGGCTTTCCTTTTATACCCAAAAACGAGGCCTTTCCTTCTTCTCTCATCTACTAATTCTAACCACTTCCTCTTCTTCTTCCTTGTCTCTCTCTCCTTTTTCTCATACGCTATAAGGAGGAATCTCACAGAGAAGAGAGAAAGATGGCGAGTAATGAGGAAGAGATGCAATGTGGGTCCATGTTGTTTAAGCAAGAGGAGCTACAAGAGATGAGTGGGGTCAATGTTGGTGGCGATTACGTTGAGGTCATGTGTGGTTGTACCAGTCACCGATACGGCGATGCTGTTGCTAGACTTAGGGTTTTCCCCACCGGTGACCTTGAAATCTCCTGCGAATGCACACCCGGTTGCGATGAAGGTCTTTCTCTCGTTCTCGTGTCTTTTTGATGCTTTTGGGCAAGTGGGTTTTGATTTGTGTGCATGTTACATGTGAATGTGTGTGTGAGATTAAACGTTGTTGCCTCTCGCTCTCTCTTGCTCTCAACTCTCGAGGTGCTTCTTATATAGTATAAGGCAACGATGGTTTTTGCCCTTCTCTTTAGGTGGTGTGGTTTTCTTCTAGCTCTTTGTTTTCATGGGTCCTTTGGTTGGTCTCTGCTTAGCTACTCTCACATTGGGCTGGTAAAGCTAAGGTCTTTAGCATGATAATGAGTCTTAATGTATGCTAGATCCGTTCTTGTAGAAAATGGAATGACTTGATTTGCCACAGTAATGTTTTAGGCCGTCTGTTTATCTGTAATGATAATGCGTCTCTTTTTCATGGGCCAAGTGGTAGCTTTATTGACATATGATATGTCTCGGTTAGCTGTACGTATATGCATACCTCTGATGTCAAAGTTTGATGCAACCTTGTTCTTGTGGTATCTTGTAGCTACCAATGCCATCTCTAGCTTTTCTTGGTATAGATGCTCCATTAGAGCTCTATTTGAAAGTAAAAAATGATCTGACTTACATTTTTGATTGTATGATGTTAGACAAGTTGACACCAGCTGCATTTGAGAAGCATTCTGGAAGAGAAACGGCTAGGAAGTGGAAAAACAATGTGTGGGTTATCATTGGTGGCGAAAAGGTTCCATTGTCAAAGACAGTATTGCTCAAATACTACAATGAATCATCAAAGAAGTGCAGTAGATCAAACAGATCACAAGGTGCCAAAGTTTGCCATAGAGATGAGTTTGTTGGGTGTAACGAATGTGGTAAAGAGAGGAGGTTCAGGCTGAGGAGCAGAGACGAATGCCGCTTGCACCACAATGCAATGGCTGATGCAAACTGGAAATGCTCAGATTTCCCATACGACAAGTAGGTGTCTTTTGTTGTCCTTGTATGTACTTAAGTTTTATTCAAATGATGGCATTATGATAATGAATGGTGTGGTGGTTGCAGGATAACATGTGAGGAGGAAGAAGAGAGAGGAAGCAGGAAGGTGTACAGAGGCTGCACACGTTCACCTAGTTGCAAAGGCTGCACTTCCTGCGTCTGTTTTGGCTGCGAGTTATGCCGTTTCTCTGAGTGTACTTGCCAGACTTGTGTCGACTTCACCAGCAATGTCAAAGCTTGAAGAAGGCATCCACTAAGAAAGAAAAAAATGTCTGTCTCAGACTTTGTTCGGTGCATTTAATAACTTTATTCTAAAATTCCAAACTGTTTTATCTTATCTATGGGTAGTGAATGGAGCAATTAAAAAAAAAAGTAGAAAAAAAGTTGATTTCCAAGAAGAACATGCAGACGAGCATGCCTGAGTTTAGTGCATGTCTTGATTTTTGGCTAGTGGCAGAGAAAAGTGTTATTAATAGTTTGTTGTTACCCTTTATTTTATTAGCTGTTGACAGCTTTGTGAGACGAAGTTGTCAATGGCACAGCTACTATGGTCTGTGATTTAGGAGATGGGACATGGAAAGAGACATTTTCTTAATACCCAAAAAGCCCTGACCTCTTGTTTTCGAACACTGTAACCATATGGAATCCCATTAGTGATGTACCTACTTTTATTGTCAACAACAAACAACAGGTTGATTTTTTAAAAACAATATAGACCAAGTCGTCACCAGGTAAAGAGGATATGAGAATCTGTTTCATTTGACGTAAATTCAACAGAAACATGTGAAGGGTGAAACCAAAGACGCAGAGGCATGAACTTCAACATGTTTTTGTATCAAAAATGTGTTTAGTGTATAAACTAGAATCATAAAGCAGTACATCGACTCCTGCTCTTTTACAACCAAAATTCATTTCTCAAGGATCACATAACTGAAACCAACATCCACAAATACGGGGCAAACATAGAGTTTCCTCCATCAACCTACCTACAAATCAGATCAAACTATGAAATCCGCCGATTCCTTCAGAGTCTTTCTCGCCCGCCAATACACTCCATTGGCCGTCTCTGATGTTCCCATCTGCAATAGACACCAGAAACATGGTCAGTTAGAGTACTTGACATTAAGTCATAGTATGGGTTTTAGTCAGGGTGCTAAGAATCCACTTTACCTTTGTCTCCAATAAGTAGTAATTCTTCCACAGCTCCACGTCTTGACTGTAACTTGCAACAGCAGAATCATACAGCTTCCGGGCATTACTGAGACCATCTTTATCACCCACTGATATAAGGTTGGTCTCTATTTCAATGCAATCTTTGTATAGAACAAGACTGGGACCAGGAAGCGCCAAGAACCTGAAGATTTCCGGTAACAGTGGTGAGAATAAAGTGCATGTGTGGAGTAGTGAATGGAGTAGGACTGTAGGAGTAGTGACTCACCTCTTGTATATCTTCCTCGCACTGTGGCCCCCTTTTGTTTCAAGAACAAAATTCACCACCGTGGAAGAAAGAGAAAACACATGGTCGCTCCCATGGCTTTTGGTTGCTAATAGGATGGACATCTCTACAAGTTTGTCCAAATAAGTTCTCTGATGAGCAAAGAATTTAAGAGCCTGCAATACAATAAGCATTTTATTAGTGTAGTCTTAACAAACTAGTGTATTGTCTAGAAAATATAGTAGTCACATACCATTAGCCACAAGCTCTCAGATTCTGAGATTGGTACTTTCGTCAAAGCATTTGAAAGGAGCTCAAAAACTGTCTGCAAATCTGCTTTACTAGGAGTTGAGTTCCCTGAAAGTGATCTTATTTCAATCGAAACTCTTGAAAGCCACAACTTAGCTGATCCAGCAAATTTTCCAGAGCAAAGTTTTTCTGCTAGCTTCTGAGCTTCATGAGTCTTTCCCAGTTTCAAATACAGAGAAACATATTCATCAGCAAGCTCCTCAGTCAAACACCCGGTTTCATCAGCCTTTTGGTACACGTTTATGATATGCGAAATGTAGTCCCCAATAGGATTAGACGAAGGAGAAATTTCATCATCGTCACCATTTGACTGTGCAATAGCCTCCATCAAAAACTTTATATAAATCTTAAACATAGAACTTGAAGTAACAGTTTGCAAGCCCTCTTCAAAAACCTGCATTCAGGAGACAAGATTTAAGACCTATCAGATATTGTACTTTCTAGTTTCTACTAGTAAGCCTAAACAGATTGTGCTAGAGTAAGATAGGAATGTCAATAAAGAAAAATCCCCCATAACCTATGTTCCTCCTGTCCTCTCCGACATTATTAAACTAGGGAATATCACTTCAAATTCAAACAAAAAAGAGTGGTGAGAGGAAAATCAAGACTAAAATTCGATCTATTTTAAGGAAGTGCAGGACAACTATGGCTGCCACTTTCTTTAACAGGCTTCAGCAATTAATGAATATCTAACCCCTAGTTATAAGCATATACATAAGCAAGATGAGTTTCACCTGAATAGCCTTTTGCATTTGAAGATTCGAAAACTCTAGGCCTGTCTCTTTGCTAATATAACCACTCATTTCATGTCTTGCAAGCCAATTCCAGTATTCAGGTTCCTTGCAAAAATCACGCTTCAGGTCACTTAGAATCGTATTGCGGATTTCATCTGAATGCGCCAAGTCAGTTGCCTCTAGAATCTCCAAAAAACGCTTCCTCAAGTCAAAACTAGATGGAAGAGCCTCAACAGCACCACTATAGATTGTCTGAAGAACATTGGACCCTTTTTCCCGAAAAACATCAACTTTCTCAGTCACATCCTCAGCATCTTCAACATTAGAGTCCTCCTCCCCATCCTCTTCCTTTTCATTTCCTTCTTTCTCATCTAGCGACATAAACAACTCTTTGTTTTCATCTTTCCATTTCTCATCCTCGACGGATTTCGTGTCACGCACCAAACTACCTTTACTTTCACCAAGGGCAACTCTACGAGCTTTCAGCTTATTTAGGTAAGTAAGTTCCATCCGCAGATACTCCACCCACAAGTCTTCAGAGTTTGAACAAACTCTAAGCCCATTCAGCATGAGAGCACGAGCTGCAGTAACATTCAAGTTTCTATCAAATTCCCAAGACGCAGCATATATCCACACTCCAGCCACTTTTGGATGAAACCTTATTGCTTGAGCCAAAGCCTACACATATTTCAGATGATATAAACGCAATTTATACACCAACACATACCCAACAAAGACAAATCATCGACTAAGCAATAATAAAATCAAATTTCAAAGCTTTTTACCTTCTTCATTCTTCCATGCCTCTTCTGTTTACAAAACTCGAGATACCTAAACCACAAATTGATATCCCCTTTATACCTCATAGTCGCCAATCTATAAATCTCCACAATCCTAGCCACACCGGCGTAATCAGAAACCGATTTCTTCTTTCTCTTCTTAGACTCATAAGCCACCGCTTTCCTCCGTAGCTGGCGGAGCTCATCGAGCTTAACCTCATAGTCAATATAGGCTATGAAATCTTCTTTGAGAGGGCTTGGACGCTTTAGCCGGTACTCGAACTTACGGCGCTGCTTCACGATCTCAGCTATCTCTGCACGAGTGAAGATTCCTCTTCGTTCTAGATCATCAAGCTCGTCAACCATCCGCTCGAGGCGGTATTGAACTACGTCGGCCATTGCTGCTGCTTCTCGATTCTCGGCGGGGACTGTAACGGTAGGGCAAACGCTTAATGCTTCTTCTTCTTCTTCTTCAGTTCTTATATATATGGGCCGTAAGAGTAAGAAGCTATTGGGCCTAAGTTTAATTTATTACGGCCCAATGATAAACTCTTGCTATGAGCTGTTTGTTGTTGTTCTTGGGAAAAATAAGCTTTAGAAGTTGAAGACGACGACGATGACGCTCTTAGCTCTCTCTTCGTCTCTTTCTTCTTCTTCTTCCTTCTTCTGCCGCAATTCGAGAATTCCTTTTTCTCCTGTGTCGCGTCTTTCTTGTCTTAATGGTGATAATGAGCTTACAATTGCTCCGCCACAGTTTTTAAATGCCGGCGAGAGTCTCCGTCGTTTCAGGGTTCCGGGGAAGTTTCCGAGTGTGAGACTTAGGGTTTTGACGAGGTGCGAGAAAGAAAATGCACCTAACGGTGGGATTGAAGATGAGGCGGAGCGATTTGCGAGGCGAGAGAGCACGATGCCTGATAGATTCAGATATCTGACCAAAGAAGCTCCGGACAGCCCAATTATATGGCCGTGGTTTGTTGGTACGTTTCTGCTTTGATTTTAGCTTAGTTTGAGTGACCATGGATCATAAGTCTTGGTCAAATGAAGAGAAAAATCAAATTTTTGGATTTGAAAATTCAGTGTCGATGCTGTTTTTGTTCTCATTTGTGACTCAGGGTTTGATTTGTTTTAGTTTTCCCCTGATATTTTGAATTAAGGGACTATCCTGTGGTTTAGTGAATTCGAGGTTTCTTGTGCGTATAACTTGTTGCATAGTTCGATTAGGGGAATATATCTGGTAACTTGACTAATCTTTGGATAGATGAAGTAATATTTTGATTTTCTGTGGCAGCGCTCGGGTTTCTCGTTTATGCGTGGAGAGCAGTCTTGTTTGAACTATCTAACTGGAGAAAGGCGGCTTTCGCTATCCTTGGGTTTGTTGGAGACCTTTCGAAGTTTGCATTGGCCCTTGTCTTCCACTTTATAGGCGATCCCATCACTTCTCTCATCAGTCTTCTAGAGACTGCAATGTACAGTGTCAGGGCGTTCTATTCCGGGATTGTGGCTTATACCCCTGTGAGAGAGTTAACCACGGTGATCCTTCTTGCATCCTCAGTGCTTGCTATAGGAGAAGCAGTTGAACCAAACTCAATCAGCAAGCAGCCGTATGTGGTAACTATTGCGGGTCTCGTGGGGTATGCAGCGGTGCAGAGTTACATCTCAGAGCCGTTCTTCTGGACTGTCTTGTTGGGTTTGTATGGGTATTCGCGGTTGATAAAGAAGAGAGATGATGTGACCTCGGCTCTTCCTTCTGCAGCTGTTTTGGCAGGAGTAGGGGAGCCATGGGTGAGAGTGGTGGCTATCACAGGGTATCTGGCTCTAGCCATGTATCACAATTCATCTAAGACCTCAGAGGAAGAGAGTCAGAGCTTAAGGAGGGCACCACCAATGCCATTGTTGGCTGCAGCCTTAGCCATTGGCGTCCGACTTGCTGCAAAATGGGCTGGATACAGACACTTGACTTGGATGATTGTTTGATTCTCTGCTGAAACAAAGAACTTTAGAGACCAACAAAACTAGTTTGTGTTGTACTTGTACCTTTTCCCCAATGTTTGAAGAGAAATTTTGATAATACAAGAAAAAAGACTAGAATTCCCTGTTAGGATAATGTTAGTTAATACGGCCCATTAGTATAAAAAGCCCATTGCGAGATCTAGTGGTGGGCTATTTCTTAGCTAAAAGCCGTCTAAGTAGATTTACAGTTATTATTAGGGCTTCGCAATGACCCTTTCTTTATAAAGGGAGTCAGCTTCTTCTTCTTCTTATTCATAAAAATCTCGTCAGTCCCCGTTTCCTTTGAATTATTCGATGTCTCTGGTTTTTGTATCTTGTAGTTGTTCGTCAGTGTGTTTTTGATTTTATTGTATGGTTTTTGTGGGAGGAAGGATTTGTTTTTTGATTGCCTCACATCACCTTTAGCTTGTTTTCGATATAAAACCACGAAAACAAAGCTAGTCATCGAGGCTTATATTGAATTTGCGGTGTTAAAACGTGGAGCCATACTTGTTCATAGTTTGTCCTCTAAAATTATCCGCTAAACCACTTCATTTTCTTATCTTGGTTTTTTATTTTTTTGGATCCCAGATCTGGCTGGCTTCATTTCAGATTGGCTAATTATGAATCAAAATGTTTTGGAACCTGTGAATGATAGAAATTGCATGTTCTTAATCTGGTCGATTCCGATGTGAATTGGGTCTATGGCTAAACAAACAAAAGCGAGACAGCTTGAATCAGTCGGAATAAATCTGTATACTTTTCACAAGTATGAATTTATCAATGTGCAACTCCCTCAAGTTCTCAATATAATAGTTCTTAAGAAAAACTAATCATGACATGATGCCAAGTTCTTATCCTGGTGGTTAAGTTAACAAATATTGAGGAGTTGTTTAATAAAAATATTAATGATTTCCACATGGCCTAAGCTATCAATCAATTATCGAACTTGAATAATCAATCCAGCAGATAACAAAAGAGACTTTGTATCCAACACATCTGGATTATGGAGACACTAATCTAGTAGATGCGTTTTTAATTAGAGAAACTTTCTGGTCCCAAAGAAAAGTCGCCACTAAAACTCAGTACTTGAACTTGGTCAGAGGTTTCTCCTGGATCTCTTCAACTTTGTCCTCTCTAGACTCTTCACCAGAATGACATTACTTTCCTCTCTCGGAAGAGCCTCTCGATCTGCCCCACTTGCCTCTAAGCTCCTCCTCCTCGGCACTCTCAGGTTTCTTTGCCTTTCATTGTTCAAAGTCTGGACCTTTTTCCACTTTCTGATTTCGTTTTCTCAATCCGATGAATCTTGTATCTTTGCCGCCTTTTTATCTCAACCTTTTCCTTACAACTTATATAGTATTTCTGATTAGCTTGTTCTGTAAATCGTTAGCTATTTCTTGACTTGGGGGTGAACATTAAAAAAAAAAAAAATGTCTGTTTAAGTACCTAGACAAATATCACTTTTGGGAATTGCTCATCGAGAGTATGGTTTGTATTCTTACACATTTGCAGCGGTGGAAGTATAGTGGCATACTCAGATTCTAACGCTGAAGCTAACAAAAACGAGGACCAGCAGCTGAAGAAGAAGAAAGTAGTTGTACTTGGGACTGGATGGGCTGGTATAAGCTTTCTTAAAGATCTCGACATAACTTCCTACGATGTTCAGGTTGTGTCTCCACAGAACTATTTTGCCTTTACACCATTGTTACCTAGCGTCACTTGTGGAACTGTTGAAGCTAGAAGTATTGTAGAGTCTGTCCGTAATATAACCAAGAAGGTAACAAAGGCCTCTCTTTCATCAAACTGTATGTAGGCATCATCATCATCATCTGCTAAGTTTTTACTTAAATTGTTGTTGGCAGAAAAAGGGGGAAATTGAATTATGGGAAGCAGATTGTGTTAAGATCGATCCTGTTAACCACAAGGTTCACTGTCGACCGGTTTTCAAGGATGATCCTGAAGCAAGGCAAGAGTTTTCGCTTGGATATGACTACTTGATTGTTGCAGTGGGAGCTCAAGTTAATACATTTGGAACTCCTGGTGTACTTGAGAATTGCCATTTTCTCAAGGTAACTTTCATGGTTTCAACTTGTAAATGTTAGTCTCCCAGTATCTACCTTTAATTCTTCGAAACACTGCAGGAAGTAGAGGATGCACAGAGGATTCGTAGAGGAGTGATTGATTGCTTTGAGAAAGCAATCCTTCCTGGCCTTACTGAGGAACAAAGAAGAAGAAAGCTTCATTTTGTTATTGTGGGAGGAGGTCCTACTGGTGTGGAGTTTGCAGCTGAGCTACATGACTTTATTATAGAGGATATCACCAAAATATACCCTTCAGTCAAAGAGCTCGTGAAAATAACACTCATTCAATCTGGAGATCATATTCTGAATTCGTAAGTAAAAAACACTACTATAGACTTTTTCAGGCCAGGCTTGATTGTGGAGTTTGACAAGTGGTTGTTGCAGGTTTGATGAACGTATAAGTTCATTTGCTGAACAAAAGTTCACGCGAGATGGTATTGATGTTCAGACAGGAGTGCGTGTAATGTCTGTGACTGATAAAGATATCAGTGTGAAAGTTAAATCAAGTGGAGAAGTCATAAGTATTCCTCATGGATTGATATTGTGGTCCACTGGAGTTGGAACCCGTCCAGTTATCAGCGACTTCATGGAGCAAGTTGGCCAAGGAGGCAGACGTGCGTTGGCAACTAACGAGTGGTTACAAGTGACAGGATGTGAGAATGTATATGCAGTTGGCGATTGTGCTTCCATAGCTCAACGAAAAATCATGGTCTGTGAACCCCATTAGACTGTTGATGCTGTTCCTGTTATTTCATATGCTGAATCTTGATAGATTCTGTGATTAATTTAGGGGGATATTGCAAACATATTCAAAGCTGCAGATGTGGACAACTCAGGAACCTTGACCATGGAAGAGTTACAAGACGTGGTTGATGATATTCTTGTGAGGTACGCGCAGGTGGAGCTCTACCTGAGAAGCAAGCATATGAGGAATATTAACGACCTGCTGGCAGATTCTGAAGGAAATGCAAGGAAAGAAGTAGACATCGAGGCATTCAAATTGGCTCTCTCGGAGGTTGATTCACAGATGAAGACCCTGCCTGCAACTGCTCAGGTCGCTGCCCAGCAAGGTGCTTATCTTGCCAAATGCTTCAACAGGATGGAGCAGTGCAAAGAGCAACCTGAAGGTCCTAAGCGGTTTAGAACTGGCGGGCATCACCAGTTTCGCCCCTTCCAGTATGTCAAAATCTAATAAACTCAGGACCTTGCTCCTCTATAGACTCCCAAATATATAGAGATGAAACCTGTTTGCTTGATGACAGGTACAAGCACTTTGGACAATTTGCTCCATTGGGAGGGGACCAAGCAGCTGCCGAATTACCTGGAGACTGGGTTTCAGCTGGAAGAAGCACCCAGTGGCTCTGGTATTCTGTTTATGCCAGGTAAATGCTGAGAAACTCTATTATTCCTAATAGTAAATGTACAGAACTTAAAAAATGGAAAATGAATGATGTGGTGAATGCAGCAAGCAAGTTAGCTGGCGAACGAGAGCTCTGGTGGTGTCGGACTGGACAAGGAGGTACATATTCGGGAGGGACTCAAGCCGCATCTGAGCCAATACTGCATTTTATTATGTGTTTCGAGGAAACCAAGATACAGTCTCTCTCTTTTTTTGTTTGGTTTTGGTGTATATCTCACAGCTGTGGCCAACCTTCTTGTTTGTGAGTGGCAAAGCAAAACCGTTTGAAAGAATCTTTCTTCATGAAGTTGACATTTACAAAAGATAACAAAAACTCACAATCTTAATGTGTATGAAGCCAAGACATTAAGCATTCCAACAAATATTCTTGCTCTACAGTCTAGATGCAAGCCGAAAAACAAAATCAAAACCAACCAAATTCACAATCAAGTCACCACAACAAGAGTTGAGGTTTCTACTCAAATTGATAACCGGATCATTCATTCTTCAAACCTCAGAAGCTGGCAAAAGGTGAAATTACGATCCTTGGCTTGTAATTCCGCAACTCTCTTAGCAGCACCTGAATCACGAGGGCTCCCTCCCAAACGACGAAGCGTTCTGATCTTAGGAAGCTCCTTGCCTATAGGAGACTCGTCATCATTCACACCACTGCTATACAGATCAACTTCACTTGGAATCTCCCATTTCTTCTTCACTCTCCCTTCACTCTTGTTGCTATTTTCATCAGAAGCTCTTCTCTTCTCCGACCTATGATTATTCTCTTTCTCTTCATTCTCAGGTAACGACCTTTTCCTTACATCTTTCTCTCCAGTCTGCGTTTTGCCCATTTGACTGTACCTACTAGCCACAACTCTTCCTGGTTTCAATGGTTTCCTTAAAGAAACATTCTTTTCATCGTCTTTGAAAAGCCTCTTAGGCTGGATTGATAAGAGAACTCCTTCTTCTTTCTTCACCGCTCTCTTAGACCCCACCGTTGTCGCTGCTTGCTTCTGAGCCGCCGTCATTTTCGCTTTACGAGATCTCGGACTCAGACTCAAACTTGTTCTTCCTTTACCTCTTGTCGTCACTTTCCCTTCTTCGATTCCAGGAAGCTTAAAGAAACAAGACTTGCGTCGATTCTGAGCTGATTGAAGAGGAGTCACAGTTTCAGATTTCTTCGCAGAATTGAATATCTCCGCCGGTCCAAGACTAACGCCTCTACGAGTGGTTCTTGATTTGGATCCTGTAAAAGAAGATTCATCGAATTTCACTTGTTTCTGAGATTCCATGAACTTCGCCGGAACAATTCTTCCACGTATAGCGATACTTCTTGCGGTTTGCTCAGCCTTCTCTAATCGGAGCGACTCCAATCTCGTCGATAACCGTCCGATCTCCTTCTCTACTTCTTCGATCTCTGCATCGATATCTCTTTCATCACGCTTTTTACTCCGATCTGCGCCGGATTTGGTCTTCCCGATCTTGGATTTTGCTGACGGAGCTTCGGTGATCGAGACTGAGGATCGGAGCGAAGAGGAAACCGAAATCGGAAACTGATTCTCCTTGCTACAATCGGAATCGAATGATTCGTTGAGGTGAGACCAAGAAGCTTCAATGGCGGAAGTAATTTGAGAATCTCCATCGTCGAAGGCAGCGTTGTTCCAGATCTGAAGCTTTGGAGGAGCGTTAAGCGTTTCTGTTGCCTCAATTGAAGTCATTTTCAGAGCGAATCGATCTTCTTCGACGAGAAATTTAGGGTTCTGAGAAAGAATTTGGGACACTTGAGGAAGAAGAAGGAGAAGCAGCGAGTATTTCTTGACGATTATTTGACCGTTGGAAATGAAGGAGACGTTACTCATTACTCCATTAAGGAGCGTCGTGAGATTTGGACCGTTAGATGAAGCAGACGCGCTCCGATTTCATTCAAAGCCAAGTTACATTCATGGGCCATAGCCCAAGATTAGCCCAAGAGTTTTATCTCGTTTCTCTATGGCAAACACATATAATTTGGGCCGATGAATATATAAGATAGATTAGTATTACCTAACCTACCTCTCAATAATGACAACCACTATAAATAAATAAATAGAAGCATTATGGAGTGACTGACTTGTCTGTCTCAATAGATAACGATGATTTTGGAATCATTTGGTACTATTATTTTATTGAGAATCGCATTTCACTGTGGATAAAGTTGAAATTAGTGGTAATCGCAATCAAGATTCCAGATAATAATCAAACGACGATGTTTTAGATATAGAAAATGAACAGAGTTCTCATATATTCGAACACTTGCTTTGAACTCTTAGAACATTCTAATATTCACAGAGATGTAACCAAAACTATACACAGTTGCATCCAGAGAATCCAACTCAAGCGAGTTTGCATCAGCGATCACAGATGAACCAAACTATATACACTTTGCAATCAGAAAAATCTGATTCAGCGAGTTCATAAGCGATCATCATCTGAATTTAGCCCTGAGCCCAGCAGTTGAGGTACATGACTTGGCGGAGAGACTCATCAGGAGTGGAAGAGGAGGTACGACGTCTTTCTTCCGAGGGGAGAGAGTCTCCTGTTAGATCTGCGGCGGCGAGAGGACGGAGATCGGAGGAAAGTCTTCGTTGGAGACGGTGAGCAGAGGTGAGTCCGCTTTTCAACTTGACGCCGTGATCGGCGTTTCCTTGAACAGCTACGAATGATGCAGCCATCCACACTTTGTTCAGATAACTCATGGTTTAATAGTGATTATGATTTAAGAACTTTCGTAAAATTGGAAACCTTTGAGAAGCTTTTTGTTTTTGCTAAATGGAAGGTTTAGTTCGATTTTTGTAGGAAGACAAAGCAGAGATGAGGTTGGTACTTATAGCCAGAGGGGTAATGGTTTGAGGGTAAAATTGTAAATTTGAAAAGATCTAAAATAGCGATACCGTGCAATGGATTAGTGGGATCCAGGTTTTGGAAAAGCGATACGATACGATACGAGATGTTGATGATTCTCGGGAGAGAATGAAAGTGGCTGAGTAATGAAGGTAGCAAGTGGCGGGCTTAGAGGGTCCTATCCTCAAGATGAGTCACCTCTTCCCTCAATTATCGACTCCCCTATGTGGGCCCTGCAGATAATTAGTTTATTTTGAGTTAAATGTAAATTTGTCTCTTTATTTGTTTTGTTTTATACGCTAATGAAACGATAGGTCTGGCCAAAATAGCAAAATGGAACGATGGTTTTATGCGGGGGGTGCCTAGAGTCGCACGAGGGTTTGGTGACGTGTGAACCGATTATTGGGTGTTCACGTGTCCTTTCACGTGATATCACTGTCCGTCAATGCTTCTTGTCCCTTTGCTTCCGGTTAATTTTAGTAAGTTTTTTTTTTTTTTTTTGGTATCGATGTGATTAATTTAGTGAGTTCTTTTTAAAAGAAAAAATTTATTGCTAAGTACTATCTCTAATCCAACCAATTAGATTTCTTTTTTTTTTCTTATGTGGAAGTGGGAGCCTCCTCTATTCTTCTGTTTTGGATTAAGAACCTCCGTAGTATTAGTATATGCGAGTAGTTTAATTATCATATTCTTCTGTCATTCTAATTTGAAAACGTTTATTAGTGATATGAATGAATCTTGTGATAGTTGGACTTGGCTTTGTGACGATGTGGGCCGTTCACATGTTATGTACTTATGTTAGATAAGCCCTGTCTGCTTCTACTTCTAAGAGCAGGATTATAGAGGGGTTCTTAGACAAATCTTAACTCTATTGTTGAATTAAAATAAATGAGAAAGCTTGTTTTAATCTAACAAACGTTCCTTAGCTAAGGAACAAAAACAACAGTTAAGAGCTGGACACGTGTCAGCGTATCAGCGATCGAAGCGTAAAATATATAAACCCAAAAAAAACGAAACCGTGTTTTCTTCTTTTTTTCGCCGTCTCTCTCTTCTTTCTCTCTCTCTCTCTCGCGATTTCAACGATGAAATTGAAACGAAGGAGATTTCGTTAAATCAACCCAAAATCGGAGAAATCTGGTCTGTTTTTACCTCTGGCCGTCGTTGCCGCGTGACCTCATCATTCCCAGCGATGGTGGTTGTCGAGGGCTCTCTCTTTTCACAAAATCGGCGAATCGGAGGTGACGAAATCGGGCCTAAATTCAGGCGACTGTCGAGTTTCGATTCGAAACCGATGAGAATCTGTTTGTCAAGGTAGGAATCTCTCTTTGTTTGTGTTAATTTATGTGATTTTAGGTTTTAAAAATTAGGGCTCGTCGGATTTGGGAAATTAGGGTTTGACGAATTGGGGAAAAATTATTTTTCGTTTTCTTTGTATAATCTGGGTAATTTAAACGATAACTGAGTGTATGTTTGTTTGAATTGATGTGATTTTAGGTTTTCAAAATTAGGGTTTGTCGGATTTGGGATTTTAGGGTTTGTCCAATTGGGGTTTAGGGTTATTCGTTTCTTTGTATAATCTGGGTAATTTGAATCATAATTGAGTGTCTGTTTGTATTGAGAGGCTTGATTGATCACGAAATAGGCATGATTAAACCCGACTGTTGGTAGAGATTATTTTGTTCATCAGTTATACATTATTGTTTCGAGTAATTCTCTGTTAGATCTTAGTTTTGCTCATGAGTTTGATTAGTTTTTGTTGCTATACGCATGATTGTTTGGTTTCTTAGAGATCTTTAATGTGTGATTAGTTTAGGCATGATTAAACCCAAATGTTCTATGTTTTCCTCTTGATTTTGATTAGTTTATCTATGTAATTTCATAAAACGTTCTCTGCTTTACTGCTAGGAGTATATGGACATGCTTGGAGAGTTGGAATCTGCTAGAGGATGCTTGTAGAGGGACATCTTAGCTTCTGATCTCACTCTTCTCAAGGTACATAAAATTTTCTCTGTGTTTTTATTGTGTATTTAGATTTAGCTTAGTCATATTTGATGAAAGAAATTGCATGCTTTGTGTTGGGTTGTCATAAATTGCATGCTTTGTGTTGGGTTGTCATAAATGCTTGTGTATGATGATATCTTATTTGGTGAGGTTGTGTCTTTAATTGTCTCCTCTTCTTTAGCTATTAACAAGTAAACGTCTCTTCTTGTGTTAAATGCATGATGGTTTCTTTAAATGTTGCTTTTGTGTCTATAGTTGTTGATTAGGACAGTCTTTTGGTATTGATTGCTAACTCAACCATAATTGTAACCTACCACAACCCATATCTTAAATTTTTCCATTATCCTAGCAATTTTTAGCTCTACCCTCCTTCAGCAATCTTTAATTATCCCAGCAGATCTCTTTCATTCCTTTTGTAAACTCTTTCATTCCTTTTGTAAACTCTTTCTTTCCTTTTCTTTAAACACTCACTCTCTAAATGAATCCATATACCAACTCTGGAAACTTCATGGATCTGTTAACAAGTCAACCAGAAACGCCTAGTCCTTTCTCCAATACTTATGAGTCAGCATCACCAAGTATTAGACTTGGTGAATCTGAACTCCCTGCCTACAGCACCCAATGGACAGAAGCTACAAGTCAAGGTGGAAGCGCCAAAGCTGAATCCACACCAAGAAAGAGGAACAAGTGGACAAGTCAAGAAGATTTAGTCTTAATCTCTGCTTGGCTGAACACGAGTAAGGATGCCATTATTGGCAATGAGCAAAGAGGAATAGCCTTTTGGAAGAGGATTGCAGCATATTATGCTACAAGTCCCAATATATCTGGTCAGAAAAAGAGAGAGCCAACCCACTTTAAACAAAGGTGGGCAAAGATAAATGAGCAAGTTTGTAAGTTTGTGGGTTCTTTCCAAGCTGCAGCAGGACAGGTGTCAAGTGGTATGAATGATGACGATCTCATTAAGCTTGCGCATCAGATATTTGAGGCTGACTACGACAATAAGTTCAACTTGGAGCATGCATGGAGAGCGTTGAGGAATGAGCAGAAGTGGTGTCAAGAGCAGTCCACTAAATCCACTGACAAGCATAAAAGAAGAAAGGTAGATTCTGAAGCTTCCCAAGCCCACAGTGAGTCTCAAGCATCTCAATCTCGTCCTGCTGGTGTTAAGGCAGCCAAGGCGAAAGGCAAAAAGACTGCCACAACTACACCACTTGTAGAAGAAGAAGGGCTGGCTGTAGAAAGGATTCAGACTTTATGGGAGATAAGGCAAAAAGAGTTTGCTTTGAAGCAGCAAGAACATGCCTTGAAAAAGGAACAATCTAACCAGAAGTTGCTAGAATCTCTCTTTTCTAAAAAAGATCCTCTAACTGAAATTGAAGAAGAACTAAAGACAAAGTTAATTAGGGATATTTTGCTTTGAATGTCTCTCATGTATTTCTGTCTTTATATTTATGTCTATGCTTTTAATTTCTTGCTTGGATTTCTGTCTTTATGTTTATGTTTCAATTTGAAATTGTGGTTGTATTTCTGGTTTATGTTTGCTAAATGAAGTTTATGTTTCAATTTGTTTTATGTCTTTATGTTTCAATTTGGCTTTGTATCTTTTTGTTTATGTTTCGATTGTTTATGTTTTTGCTTCTGTGGTCAGGAAGCAATAACTTCGTATGAATTATGTGCAGGTTCACGTGAAAGGAGAAGAAGAGGACAAGTCTGAATCTGTACTTGGACACCACAAGACTTCTTTGTAACCACAAGTTTCCAGCAAGCTTTTGGACCACTTGATACTCTCTCTTTGGTCACGGACCAAGCGTATTTGTTCACTTCTTTGTAACCACAAGTAATAAATTGATTTGTACCACAAGTCACAAATGCTTTGTAACCATGTATTATTTGAGAACATTGCCTATAAATATCACAAGTTTCATGTTACTATGAATTATCTCTTCTCCTCAGTCTACTTTTTCTTACAAACTCACAACAAAAGAAATCCAAATCGTTGAACCACAACCAATTACTTATCTAAAACCAATTCTAAACCATAATTTATTCCATAAGCAAATACCATCTTCTATTTCTTTTCACTTCAATATCTTGTTCTAAACCCAAATCTTTTTCTTCCTAAAAATTATACATACAAAATGGCTTCATCTTCCAATTACAATTTCGAAGAAGCGTTGGACGAAGAATTATCTAATGCTTTATCCAATGCTTTCCAGCAAGCGTTGGATAATTCTTTGGATTCTTACGGTGATCGTCAGCAAGCCGCAAAACCGAGGAAAAAACGAGTCCATATTGAAAGAAATCGAGAAGAAGGACACATCCAGTTATGGAACGATTATTTCGCAGAAAATCCAACTTTCCCTCCTAATCTATTCAGACGCCGTTTTAGAATGAATAAGCCATTATTCATGCGTGTTGTTGATCGCCTCTCCACAATTCCATTCTTTCAACAAAAAAGAGATGCTACAGGAAGAAACGGTTTATCTACACTACAGAAGTGTACAGCAGCAATTCGTATGCTTGCATATGGTTTAGCGGCTGATGCGGTTGACGAATACCTGCGGATTGGTGCAACCACTTCGATGAAGTGTATGGAACATTTTGTTGACGGAATTATTTATTGCTTTGGAGATGAATACTTACGACAACCCACTGCAGAAGATCTTCAACGGCTACTCGTTATTGGAGAGATTCAAGGATTTCCCGGGATGATGGGAAGCATTGATTGTATGCATTGGGAGTGGAAGAATTGCCCTACCTCTTGGAAAGGACAATATACACGTGCCTCTGGAAAACCAACGATCGTTTTAGAGGCTGTAGCTTCCCAAGATCTTTGGATATGGCATGCGTTTTTTGGACCGCCAGGTACTTTAAACGATATCAATATTCTAGATCGCTCTCCGGTTTTTGATGACATCTTAAAAGGGCGAGCACCAGCAGTGAATTATACAGTCAACGGGAACGAGTATAATTTGGGTTACTATCTCACGGATGGCATTTATCCTAAATGGGCTACCTTTATCCAATCTATTTCACTTCCACAAACTGAGAAAGCATCTTTATTTGCAACCCATCAAGAAGCTTGCCGTAAAGATGTCGAGCGTGCTTTTGGAGTTTTGCAAGCTCGATTTGCCATTGTCAAAAATCCGGCTCTTCTTTGGGATAAGGTAAAAATAGGAAATATTATGCGAGCATGTATAATACTTCACAATATGATAGTAGAAGACGAACGAGATGGGTATACTCTGTTTGATACGACCGAATTCGAACAAGCGGAATCTGCAGGAAGTTCACGGGTGGATTTCACATATTCTACAGATATGCCTTCAAATTTCTTCGGAATGATGACCAATAGAGCTCGAGTTCGTGATCGAGGTATGCATCAACAATTGAAGAATGATTTGGTCGAGCATATATGGACAAAATATTCCAGAAATTAAGTTTAAAACATTTATGCTTTATGTTATGTATGTTATAAATTGTATCTCATGTATGTTATAATTTTTTTAATTTGTAACAATTATTAAATTTTCTATAATTATGAATTTTTGTTTTATATTAATTTTTTTTTTTAAGAACCACATGTTAAGAGCCTACCATTAATCACACAAAAATCTTAACTCAAAAATATTATCTCTTAACAATCACTTTTACAAATAAATTATTTAAATATTGCTAAGAGCAAATACTAAGAACCCACCTATAATCATGCTCTAAGCATATGTCTATCACATTTGTCAAACTATCTTATTGGATCACATATATTCTTGCATTAACCATTCTTTTTTCCGATCTGTATATGTCCAATCTGATTCAGTCAGATAAATACTATAATTACCATGACTAATAACTTGTACGGACTACATCTCAATGTCTGATCTTGATGTTTTGGCTCTAATTGGTCAAGTTACAACGCCATTTCACCTTGAGGAGAAAAGGAAATGTGTGTTAAGCGGAATAACTCAAGAAAGGTTTCTATAAGAAAAGGGAAAAGAACATCACCTGAGACCAACATGGCTAATAATAAGTAACAACAGTGAAAGGGAGAAGATAAGCAATATAATTGGCACATTCCTCTGTGACTTTACTTGTTTTTTGAGGGTTTATGTGTATAACTTGAGTGGATTTGGTGTCTCTTGCAGCTTTACTTGGTCCAAGAGAGGTTCCAAATATAAGTTGACAAGAACTGCTGATCCCATGTGAGGTTCCCAATATTGAGAAGAACAGAGTGGAAAAAAATTGCAGACAAACAACCTTCAGTGATGGGAAACAGACAGATATATCAAGAATGTGGCAGAGTTTCTTGAAGCTCAAGACGAATCTTACACCACGTGTTACCACTTCCTACACCCAAACCAAGAACAACGGGAAAGAGGACATATATACTAAAGATGAAAAAAGACATCAAGGACAACGATTTAGAGGAGCCAAAATCAGTTGGGAACAAACCCCAAAGATGCAATTTCTTAAACAGTAGTGGAACTGAAGCTTCGTAGCATATTTTATATTTCTTGGGTTTTGAGAAGAGGAAACAAGAGGAGATACTCTGCTGACTCTGGTAGAATATCAATGCTCTCTCTTTAGTAGTGTACAATTGTCATATGATACATTATTATGTAATGTCCCACAATAGAAAGACATAGTGATAAATTATTCATATGATATATAATGTCATGTCCCATAATAGAAAGAGATAGTGACAAGAATTATATCGAAAAAACAAAAGACATGACACCACCAAATACTACTTCTAGCTCTATCTCCCCTTTGAAGATGGCTACAGTGACTCCTAACACACTCACCGACACATCACAACACACACACAAATCCACAGCACACAAGAAGGAAGAGGAGAGAACGCAAGAGCCGTTGATTCGGATGTACTTTTCTTATTGTTTCCATCCTACGGCCAGCAGTCACTCTGTTTCTCTCTTCAAAAAACGATCACACGAGTAGTAGTATAATAGGAACAATAATAGTCTTTGACTATGTAGAAGAGTTGGTTCAGAGAACGGGGGAGAAATTGAGGCGGGAACTGTAAGTTGCTTTGGGAGCCCAGTTTCTAGGGACAACGTCGGTGGCGGAGAGTGTTTTACCGGCAGACAAAGTGGTGAGCTTTATGGAGAATGGTCCCTTGAGTGGTCCTCCAACGATGCACCAGTTGGCTCCCCATACATGCTTCATCTCTAACCATTCCCTCGCTCCTGCCTGCACCAAACATTCACAAAACACAAGAAAGCCCATCAGTCTTTACACTTTGAGTCTGTTTTATTGTTACTTTTCAGAAGACTTTGAGTGATGTGGTGTGCCTTTTCTAGCTAGTTGGTCAATAAATGACTCATACATGTGCTCACTCCACTGAGATTCGTTTCCTCCTTTTTCTTATTTAGTGGAGTACAATAAAAAAAAGAAGACTTTTGAAGTGGAAGTGACTTTGTGGTAAGAAAAAAGGAAAATTAAAGAAGTGAGTGCACGAGTTTGGTTATTAAGGAAAAAGAGAGTTACTTGGCGAATGTGCATGGAGCCAATGTCTCCTTCTCCGTCTTCAAACTCGACCAGCAAAGATAGCCAAAAATCAGTTGATCCTTCGTTCACATGGAATGCTATGTTCTTCCCTCTATATTTGCATGCAGTCCTTTTTTATTATTATGCAAAAGAAAAGAAAAAAGTAAAATATATCAGTGAGAAAAAAGATATCGAATGGTCAAAAATGGTTGGGACCATAAAAAACGAGATCGCCGTTAAAGGTACCTCTTTTGTTTAATACATTCACACCCATTGCAATAAATCTAATAATTATCTTAACCCTGTTTAGCCTCTTACCTAAATAATTCCTACTAGTATTTTTCTATTTGCTCGTGCACTGTCACGAGTTAGTTATTGAAAGAGCATAAACATTAATAAATGAGAATATTAATATCTTTATCAAGAAAAAAAGAGAATTATATTTATATACGTACCGGCGATAAATGACGGGGATTAGCCCACGGTTACGGAGAGGGCCAGACTCTCCGGCAATAGCCAACCGGCCGAAGACGGCACCACTGAGGTCAAAGTGAGTGCTGGTTTTAGAGCAGCCGGGACACTCATCGGTGATTATAACGGTGACGGCCCTCCGGGAACAAATGCTTTTGTCCAAGCACCGAACCTTGTAACAAGCGCCGCAACCTTCACCGTTTTTGAAGAGAATAGGATTCACCGCTCCAACTCTCGCATGTAACGGCTTCACATCCACCAACGTACCGTAACCACACGCTCCTCCTACGCAATTCCGGTATATGATTTAATATTAGTGTTTAGTTTTTAATCACTAGATTGTGAAGTGTGGTTAATTATGTGTTAACTTAGAATTACCGTCGCTGCCGTCGCCGTTGGGGCTTCCGTACCATGTAGCGACTGCGGGAAGCCAATGAGAGTTTGACACGTGGCGATTGGTCGTAGACAAAGCAGACGAGCCAATTAGAAGCTGCAGGACAATGCAGAGTGTGGCTAACATGACCGGAGAGAGCTGCATTTTCTGCCGGAGTTGTTTTTTCCGAGCAGAATCGGAGCCGGAAAAGTGAAAATGTTACTTCGCCGACAGTGAGAGAGTGAGAGAGTGAGAGAGTGAGTTTTATGTGTAAATTGATAGGCCAGTGTTGTTATTGTTGTTATATAGACAAAAATAAAAGGTAGAAGCAAACTGCTTTCTGTGGTTTTCTCTTTTAGTTTTTTTTACCGGTTTAGTCCCTTTGCCATTGGTCTTATTTACGGTGAAATGCCACTAGGAACTAGGACCCACCGACAGTTAAGGCGTCGATTTCGCACGATCCAGCGTGTCATTGTCAGAGGGACCTAAAAGGGTGTTTTGGTAATTTAAGAGATTCGACCGTTGAAATTTCCCGCAGATTCTGTGGTAGAGAAGAGGAATCCGTTAAGAGACCTGACTCAATCTCTTTATTTCTTCTATAAATATTTCTTCACGATATATGTTTTTTCATTTATTGATATAAGTTTGTTTGTTATCTTATAGATAGAGAACAAATACTTTTAATATAACTGTTTGTATGTATAGAGTACAGTCTATGAATAGAGAGGAGTGGATATTTTACGCAAACGAAATCTTAGTGACCAATCTCGTGTGCACAACGCATCAATCATTTCCTTAGAAAAATACATATAGTATATGATAATGTTAACGGTTTTTGCGCCAACTTGTATGATGTAACGAACAACCACCTAAAGCTTACTAATGACAAATTAGGTTCATATTTTGTAATTATTAACTTATGTGGGGCAATAGATAATAACTATTGGTCACTCAGGCTCGAATCTAATTAATAAAAGTGGATCTACGATTTGATTGTTTTATCACAATGCACATGACTACTACTTTCTACTTTGTACTCCCTCTGTTTCACAAAGAGTGCTATTTTAGAGTTTTGCACACAGATTAAGAAAACATTAAATTTTTTGTTTTTTCTAAACAAAAACATCATTAACTATATACTTAAACATAATCTACCCAATAGTAAAACAATCTGCAGAATACTAATAGTCATAAAACATAAAAAATCATTAAATTTTGCATTGAAAACCTAAAACGACACTCTTTGTGAAACAAAAATAAAACCTTAAAACGACACTCTTTATGAAACGGAGGGAGTATTATACAACCCTACATTTCTGTAACGTTGCTTTCTTAAAGCCATGGAAAAAGAATTAAAATAAAGGAGATTTTTCTAGCGTCAATTACGGTTTTCTTATAAATGATTATATAGAGGGACATAGTGGTATTTAAAGAGTAGTGACAAAAAATATATAAATAGACATGACTGATTTGTTTGGTGTATACACTCAAATAGTGCTTGCAAAATTTTCACTTCAAGATTTCACATTCGTCGCCATTTTATCAAAAAAAACAAAAAATCATTGGATACTAGAGAAAATTTCAGAAACGTTTCGTCATTTTTGTAGCTTTTCAATTGTCCGTATTCGTAGTATAATTAGACGATATTGGAATGTGAAAGAGTGGTGTTAAAGTCGAAATTTGTATAATAGAGAATGATAACTGCTGATTCACATGAAATAAACGAATGCTAATTAATTAGGTGGGTTTTAAAAACATTCGAATCTTATCCTGTTCACATCAGAATCAGATAATTCTTGTTCCCACCAAACCCTCTCTACCCTTCTTCCAATTTACACCAGATTTTGACTTTATACAAATCAACATTTGCACCAGTCTTTGATTTCAAAATAATAAACTAAATCATGTAGTAGAAGTTAGCTTCACCATTATCAGGATTGATCATATATTCATGTCTCTTCATAATGAGTATTTCCTTGAGCTTACAAAGACACATATTTTTTTGTCATAGATATTATACTAGTAAGAATCAAAACGAAGGTTGAGAATGAAGACAATGCTCTGTTTCCTTTCTCGTTCTGTTCCGTTACAAGCCGTTAGAATTTCTCACCTGGGCTCTTCTCTGTTCGGGCCTAACAATCTATTTCAGCCCAAATTGTAGCCTAGTTTTAGCTCCACTCGGTTAGCTCCTTAAACCGGAAACGAATACTAACCCATATGGAATTGAACCAAAATCCTCACAGCAAGCAACAACTGATCTAGTTGCAAATAGCTTTGTCTATCACCAAAACACACACACACACATATATAAAAGATACACATTTACATTAAAATTTGAAAGCGAGCCAACTTTCAAATATACACTAGACACTTTCAAATGACTTAATAATGGTAATTTTTTTATATGATTACTGTATACTATACACTAGACACTATGTATTAATGTATGCTCCAAAATTTGTTCATGTAAATTTATTTATAAGTCTAAATTGAAAATGTAATATATGTTTGTAGCCTTGAAGACCTAAACAACAAAAACAAGGTTGCGTGTGTTACTCAATACAAAGATATGGGGTTAAATGTCGAAGATAACTAAACTTAGGGGTTGTATGTCGAAAGATATAGAAAACTAAGGAGTCGAACTAAAAAATAAGGATTTAGTTTCTCATTAAATTCTTAATTAAATAAACTAATGTTGAAGTTTAACAATCTCATCGGGAGGTGGTATCTCTTTTCAGAAAATTCGAATCTCACACCTATAATAAAAACTCAGAAACAAATCTCCACCGTTCATCTAAAATCCAACGGTTAATAATGCACACCTGCTTTTCGTGAATACTAATTAATTTTCAGGAGTAGAGAGAGGACAAGCTTTCTTCAATTTCGGTTAAAACATTTCTTTCTTTCTTCTTTTAACAACAAACCACCGCTCTGAACAAAAAAATTCTCCGTCGTTTCTTCTCCGTTCTCCGGTCAATTCTGATTCCTCAGAGAGAGAAATTTGTGTTCGCGAGTTCCGCGTGAAATACATGGAAATGTTGGCGGCGATGGACTCGCGTTCTTCTTCTCTCCATCTTCATCGTTCCATGTCTCGCGTTGACCTTTTTGCCGGTGTTCGAATGAAACCATCCCCTACAAGTCCTGTACCGAATACGCCTCGAATATGTGGAAGCAAACTCTGTTGATTCGACTCTTCCTCTTCCCTTTGGTAGTTCTGCGGTTTGCTTTTCCTTTGCATCTGAATTTCGAGATCCAATCGAAGCTGTGATTACCGGTAGCGTCTTTGTGTAGTCTTTTTCTAGGTCAGTGATCGTTTCTTGTGAAGAATTTAGAAGATTGTGTTTCTACTTTGAAACTTCTTGGGGTTTGTTTCTACTTTGAAACTTCTTAGGGTTTTTATTGTGCGTTGGAGAATTCTGGAATTGGGGGTTTTCTTTTAGGTTTTTTTGAATCGTGAAGTTGTTTTTTCTGCTGGATCTTGAATGGCTGAGAAGAAAGAATTAGGGTTACCAAAGTCTAGTATTAATTTGAAAGAGCAGTTAGCAAGAACTACTCTGAAGAATTTGAGGTTACAAGGGCATACTTACATTGAGCTACGTGAGGATGGGAAACGTTTTGTATTCTTCTGCACTTTGTGTCTTGCTCCTTGCTACAGCGACACAATCTTGCTTGGACACTTGAATGGAAACCTTCACAAGGAGAGATTGGCATGTGCTAGGCTCACACTTCTTGGAACGAATCCTTGGCCTTTCAGTGATGGTGTCCTTTTCTTTGATAGTTCAACCGGAGAAGAAGAAGAGAAAACTCCAGTTTCTGGTGGTGCAAGTGTTCCCGGTACGTTGGGGCATTGCAGTGACGATGACAGATTTGCTATTGTCAAGTATGATAACAACAAAGCAAATGGAGGTAACCAGCCTGCTGCAGTTACTGATGATGAACCTAGTCACTCTACAGATGATCTGCTAATTTCTGGTGTGCTAATCAAGGAGAGAACTCTTGATGTTGAAGCAAAGTTCATTGGTTTTGGCCGAATAGCTGCCAGGTTGTTTGAAACGAAAGGACGCACTACTTGGATTGATAAACTCTGGTGCGAGTGGTTAGGAGACGAGGGTCCTTCAGATGAGGAGAAGGCTACGATCCCAGAGCATGACTTTGCCATTGTCACATTCTCCTACTTCTACAATTTGGGTAGGCTAGGTTTGCTTGATGATCCGAGCCGTCTTCTCACAACTAGTCAGTCAGAATCAGGGAACGGTGAGGACAGTGGCAGGAAGAGAAAGAAGTCTTTCTCGGATCCAGAGGACACTAGTGAATCTCTGTGTAATCAGTATGACTCTTCTGAGGAGGTTTCTTCAGGTCATAATTCAAACTCTTCAAGAGCTCTAATAGCTGATTATGATGACAGTCTCATGAGCAAAAGAGTCGTGAAGAACAAAACGGTAAGACGGGAGCTGAGGAGGCAACAACGGATATTTTCTGAAAGAATATGCGAAGTCTGTAAACAAAAGATGCTTCCAGGGAAAGATGCGGCAGCAATACTAAACATGAAGACAGGAAATCTTGCGTGTGGCAGCAGAAACCTCCTGGGGGCGTTTCATCTTTTTCACGTTTCATGTGTCGTACACTGGTTTCTCTTCTGCGAGAGCGAAATACTTGGGAACAAGATGGTGAGTGGAAAAGGAAAAAAGAGATGCACAAAGCATAGTAGTGGTCAGACTGGTGTGAAGTGGAATGAGTTGGCAAACGATGTGAGCTGGCAAATATTTTCGGTGTTCTGTCCAGAATGCCAAGGCACTGGCATAAATATCGAAGGAGGTGTGATTGAGAGAGACACGTTTCCACTTTCTCAGGTATGTATGTGTGTGATTCTCTCAACTCTCTCAAATAGCGATTTTCTTAACGGGTTTGACTCTAACGTACATAAGTATATGCCGATGTGGTATAGACATGGAGGTTCCAGGTGAAAGTGAGTGAAGGTAGAAAAGCATGGGTGAAAAACCCGGAGAAATTGAAGAATTGCTCAACAGGTTTTCATTTTCCGCAGCAGGCTGACGAGTCGGGTCAAATTCCGGTTCAGGTAAATATTACTGCGCCACATCCATTTTTTATTGTCTTGTTACAACTTCTTAGTAAATAGAGAGATCAAAATGTGGATGATGCAGGAGGAGAGAGTGCAGATGATGAAACTGGTTCGTTTCTACCGAGTGGAGTTGTAATGTAGGAAACAAACTCATTTCCTCCTGTGTGTAAATAAGGGCTTCGTCTCGCATTTTACAGTTCTCTGTAAATTTACATTGACGATGTTACTATCTGATTACTTTGAAGCCCAATTTATTCTTGTCTCAACTTTTTTTTTTCTGTCTTTAGATTTAGGACTTGAAACTGTATAGGTTCCGACAATAAAAATTCGAACTTCTTAAAACGTATATCGATATAGGCAAACTAAATTAAAACTTTTGAAGTTAGAAAAAATGAATCCCATGAATGAGGGATTGTCTCGTGCGGACCCGACCCATAAGACCATAACTCATCTCAGACTAATCTATGCTTTTAATGAAACCAGCTCACTCCAATCCAATCCTCTCACTTTACCAATTTTCTTTGCTACATTTTTAATGTATAAAGAGAGAGACTCGTACCAAAAAACATTGATATATTTTAAATTTTAAATTAATGTTTCTACTTCTTCTATCTAACAGTCTTATTCGATTCGCCGTTATCAATCAAATCTAGGGCCCCCTATTTTTATTGATAAAAGTTTTTGTTTATAAACGATTGTAATCCGACATAAGCAACACCAAGTGCGTCGCATTCGAATGCCACTATCATCTTTTTTGGAGCACAAATCTATTGGAGTTAAAGATAAGCCTCGTTTTGTATCCATACTCTTATCATCCCATGATATATCGAATTAAGAAGAAGCCAATTGGTGTCGTTTCTTTCTTTGTACTTTATTATGTGCTCATCATACAATTTCAACGATTCAAGACTCTTACAAATTATACCACTGTTATTACATATATGCATACTCATTCCAATTGGTATATTATATACATATATATTTTTTAAGAGAAGAGATTATAATTAGAAGAGAAGTAGACACATAAACATGAAGCAAAGTAGGAACAAGTAGACTCTGCTTAGTGACTCCTCAGCTTGCATTGCCCGCCGCCTCGACCGGACATTCGTGTCACGGTAAGGTGCCATGTTGCTCGAAGACTCTCCAAATAGTCTCCGGTATACCATTTCACATACCACACCCATGACCGGATCAGGCATTCTATACATGTACCGTTGACTCTGCCCTTCTCCCAAACGTTGACTAACTCCTCTTAAGTCATAAACCGGACCGGATGGTCTGCTCGGTACGGTTGAACCGGACTGAGGAGTTTTCTGTCCTCGGCCGTAGATCGGAACAAGCGTAGCCTCGGAGACATCGGATTTGCATACCGGACATTTTGGTGGTTCCCTCTTACTATCGTATTGGTCGACGCGTTGTCTTGAATTGTTGGAGGCATAAGTCCACTTGTGAATGCAGGGCCAACAAAACAAGTGGCCACATAAAGTCACGACCGGGTCTCGAACCTGATCCAAGCATATGTTGCAGTCGAAGTCTCCTCCAGAATCAACCAATGTTGTGTCGTTCTCATCATTCTCTATCTCCATTTTACTAAAACATACAAGACAAAAACCCATTCACTTGACCAGTTGTTGTTTATTTAATGAGATTTAACCTAAATAGTAAATACTTCAAAGTCTGATTCCAATGAGAGATTAGAAAACCAATGAGTTCTCATGGAAACAAGAAATATCATCAAACTATGCAGATCAATATAGATCATATAAGAGTTGTGTATATACTTATCATGATCGATCTTGAATTTAAACTTATTTAAACCCAAAAAAAAAAAATGATTAGAAGCAAAAAAGTAAGGATCTTATTCTTTAACAAGTTGAAGTTACGAAGACTTGACCTAATCACTTTCAGTTTCGACGCTTTGCTCTGTTTTCACTTAATCCCAAAGCACGTTATCATTTAAGAAAGAAAAAAAAAGCTAAATAATTAAAGAAAAGGAGTGGTTGATTAAACAAACAAGTGATAACCACGAATTACATCGGAAGGACTTGAGTCGTATATAAAAAAACAATCATCTTTTTGCGTAGGAACTCAAAAACGGTGCAGATCTACTAATTCGATGCTTTTATATATACACACGCAACAACATATAATAAGAGTGATGATTCCAGAAAAAGAAACGTACTCTTTGGAAAGATTGCAAGTACCGATAGATCTCTTCTGTCTTTGTGCCTTTGGAAACTTCAGAGAGCTTGTATTGGTTCATGCGACAATAGTCGAAGAACAGAGAAGAAGATTTATTTGTGTTTAGAGAATGGGGTAAGAATATATAGATCGAGGGTGGTGCAGAAGCATGAGACCTTATTATACACAATTTTTTTTTTTCTTAAGGTGTGCAAAATTAAAATCCGGACAAGTTATGATTTTGAAGAGGAAGAAACGTCTACCTAATTAAAATAAGTAGATAAAGTAACGAAACGCAATTCTTCCTTTATTTTTTTTTACTTCCTAATAAGCCTCTTATCTTTATTTTATGAAAAGGTCAGCAACGGATAGCATCGTTTTTCAAAAAGTAAACAAGATAATATAAACCATATTTATTCACAACTAAGTATATAATTATAGTAAAATATTTATTTAGTTTGAATAATACTGTATGTTGACAAAAAAAATATAAATTGGAAATGCCATATGAGTCCATGACTTTTGTAAGAGAAAAATATTAAAGTTATAAATTGCAAAATTCCCCCATAACTTTATCCCAATATCATATCAATAAGATAAGAATTTGGCTCTGAAAAAAAAGATAAGAAGTTGGCATTTTCTATTTCTGGCAACACAATAGTAGACACTGCCCCAAGCTCGATGACGTGTCACTCCATGGCTGCACCGTTACACCATCAACTTCACTTAAAACAAAACAAAAAAATCCTAGTAAGTGTGAAAAATTCTGCTTAATTATTTGATTATTTTGGTACTTTACTTCTTTTTTTTCAGAATTTGTAATTATTAGGTGTTGAGTGAATAACAATGGCAATTTGGTAAGGTACTTATTCAAAGTTGGAATTGGAGAATACTAAGTTTGCGTCAAAGCCTTAATTAGAAGCCTTCCTTATAAACTAATACTCCCTCCGTTTCGTTTTAGTTGTCGTTTAAAGTTTTTTCACACAAATTAAGAAAAATATTAAATTTTCAGTTTTACCTTTTATTAATATATCTTATAAAATTTTTCATTTGTCAAAAAATTAAAACAATAGGGATAATACTGGAATTTTTACCAAACATTTGCATTGAAAACCTAAAACGACAACTATTACGAAACAAAATTTAAGTCCTAAAACGACAACTAAAACGAAACGGAGGGAGTAGTTGAATTAGTTTATAGACCACAAAGATAATTAGGTTACACGTCACGGAAGCACGGAGCTATTGGTGTCACCAAACCATATTTAATTTCAAGTATATTAATTGTAGAAGGCAACCCAAAATCCACTCCTTGAAATAAACACTGCCTTAAATTCGTATTTGTTGAGTCTTCACCATTATGTCTGATTTTGATTATGTAAAAATAAGGTTGTTAGAACATTCATGTCTCTGAATCTGCGATCAATTGTAAAGTCTAATGTAAAATAGTTTTATATTTTAAACTTGCGACTACAATATTAAAAAAATACTATCAGTTACAACTTCACTCGTAAGAGCATTCTCATCGGTAAGTATCTAAAAAAAAGGTATTTGATGAATAAAACTTATTATTTTAATTATGATTTTATTATTTAAATAAATTTGAAATAACTAATTAAATTATACCAAGAGAATTAATACATCTGATAAAATGAGTTTGTCAATTTTTTTATTATTTTAATTGTAAGAAACCGTGAAACATCTCTCCGATGGAGATGCTCTAACACTCTCGAATGAATCATTTTTGATGAAAGAAATTAGACAATTATCTAAAATTAATCACCGCTCAAGTGGACTGCTTAGCCCGTTCTTCTAGACTTTTATTTTCTGAAGTTACTTTTGTAAACTCTACTCCTCCTAATTGGGCAACCAATCAAGGAATTATTTATTAATTAATGTATGGTTGACAAAAAAAAAAAAAAAATTAATCACCATTTTGGGTACTTCCCATTTGCTTCACAATATTCAATACTGAAAAGCATTTTTCGATAGTATTGCCAACCAATAAAATGAAAATTAACTTTTAAAAAACTATAACAGCAAATGTTAAAAACAATTTGTGTGTTTAACCACCATTAGAACAAGATCTCCTCAATGTTTTAAATGTATATTTAATATGTTTGCCCAACAAAACTATATAGAATATAATATGTTTAGAATGTATATATAATATGTTTACCCAAAAAACGTATATATAATATTTATATATCACGTTCATGATAATGTTTTCAAATTCTCATATGAAATTATTGGAGCAAGTTGCATTTACGATCCGGAGAACTGAGCCAAGAAATGGGCGGTTCCCAATTTATTATCGATGTTATTATTAACCAGTGGTAGTTGAACCAAAATTAATATTCATTTTCTCTATCAAAATTTTGGTTACTTTGATGGTTTTTCTGAATCGATTAAAATAGTAACTAATTATGTTGTTTTGGCATGTCACTGAATTGATGTTGTTTCTCCTAATTTATGATCCGGTATATCCGCAACATTTTTCTCCCCTCCTATAATTCTAATGGAAACAAGAAAAAAGAAAAACAAGAAACGTTAGAATTTCAAATGTGACAAAACGTCAAAAATAAAAATAAAGGAGGAGGAAACAGAAACATGAAGATTACTCATCATTGTTTGGTTTCTCTTTTCTCAATCCTCCTTTTGTCTGGATTCGCCTTGTCTCTTCACATCTCTCGTAATTAACAATTATCCAATATTTTACTCATCTTTATTAAAATATTTTTAAAATTTCTTTGAAAACATTATGGCATTTCAATGTGCAGTTGATGAATTTGAGTCACACCCAGCCACAAGCCGAGCTCTTCTTCAGGCAAGGGCAAGTAAGTAATAGAACCCCCAAAATTTAAATCATTGGTCGTAACATGCTTCATTGATGATTGTTAGCTAATCCTTTTAAGCAAAAGATTCAATGATTTCGTCAATGACATTTTAACAGCATGCAAAGAAGATTTTGCGGCCAAGAATTACACAATCATAACAAGTAAATGCAAAGGACCAAATTATCCGGCCAAGGTATGTTGCTCGGCCTTCAAGGACTTTGCTTGCCCATTCGCGGAAGTTCTTAACGATGAAAAGACAGATTGTGCCTCCACCATGTTCAGCTACATCAATCTCTATGGTCGTTATCCTCCTGGAATATTCGCTAACATGTGCAAAGAAGGCAAAGAAGGCCTCGATTGCACCAACGTCACCGCCACCTCTTCTTCCCATGCATCGATCCCTTTTGTTTCTACACACGCTTTGCTAATCACCGTTTTCATCTTGTTTCGCCTCTTCTAAAGACTTGTAAATGTTACAATATGAGTTATATATTACATTCCATTGTTAGTTGTTTTGTGATCATAGATATAAATGTTCGATTTTTGTTTGCTGTGTCATTAAAATCACTCGTTAAGATCGGTGTCGATAGCATTACAACTCGACCTTAAGGAACTCAAGGAATCGCATGATCAAGTTCCGAGTTCGAACCCTATGCAACGAGTATTAATTTACTTGCTCTAGAACTCGTTGGCTACCCAAAAAAAAAAAAAAAAAAAGTCATTTGCTAGAAATTATAAAACTACCATTCCTAACATATTTTGGCGATCAAGAACATATGTGTTTGGTCATTAATGGGCTGAGCTAATCACCAAGGCCTTATGGGGTCACTAAAACATTTAGGGTAACATGAACCTCATAAATCATGCCTCTTGTCTTGGTGGTACAGTTTAAGCCAAAGTTACACAATATTGAGGTGAAAAAAAACCCGAACTTTAAATCAGTAATTCCTTGTAGTTAATCAGATGGGTAAACAATAAGAAACCTTAGAAATCAGAATAATGCAAATGTTATCGGTGAGCAGTAACAAGCGTCTCGATGAATCGTAACCCATCAAACCTTGGAGCAAACTTTTCTTCTCCCCCATCTTCTGACGAACTCTTCTTCTTCCTCTGTTTTTCCTTTGAATCCTAATCAAAATTACCCAACAAAAGAAAGATAATTCGTTACACATCCGAATTCATGATAACAAAACCTCTTATTCTCCTCTCCAACTTTGTAATTTGACAAATTTAACAATTATGTTTGAGAAACAGAGGAAGAAACAGAGCAAAAACAGAGGACCTTTAATGCTACTGAGAAAACCCAAAAGCAAGAACTTGTTTTTTTTTTTTACCTGATGGGAATAATTGGATTCCGGCGAAGAGAAGGATACGGAGGTGTTGGTGGAGCCGGCGGAGATGGCGGTGGCGGAAGCGGCGACAGAGATGGAGGCCGCGATGATTCCAGTTTTCTTCATGTCTCTGGAACTTGAAATTTCCCAAATTTGTGGACTCTTTTTATACTTTTTTTTTTTTGTCTGTGTTAAATATAAAAAAAAATCTGGAACCGTAGGCAGATGGGAGAAAAATGTGGGAAAATTGAGGTGTTTGCTTCGATAGTCGACGGTTTATATACGCAATGGGGGGAACAAAAGTTAAACTTATGCTAGTTGACCATTTTATTAAAATATGTTACCGTTTTGCCCTTTTTCCAGTTATCGTTTAATTGTGTTAATTACAGCTAAGATTATTGGTAATCGTTTTTTTATGAAAAAATGATTCATCTTCTAGAAGAATTTTAATTAGTAGCGTGAAAAATAAGAGGGTTAATAATATACTACTACTCCATAGAGTTAGAAAAAAGAAATGTACTTTGAGCCTTGAAGTTAGAACCACACAAAGAGGTACATGATTGGTTGATCTGTTAAATGAAAATGGGTCCATCGTTGGTTGGTAAGTCACCCACGTGTCCGGGACAATGTTTCAACTAATGAGTTGGTGTTTTGAGAATGTTAAAAGTCAGCTTTATATTGGACGATTATACCCCTGTTATTTCCTGTTGGTATTTTATGCTCAAAAAATAAGATAAGTTTTTTTTGATATAAAGATAAGGTTGAAGAAAATAAATATTCATAAGATAAGGTCGAACGAAACACTAATTGACGGGGAACAATGGCATTGAACAAGTGGATCTGATTATTTGTCTCAAGTGCAAATTGGTGTAAAACTGATTTGTGGTTACGAAACTTAACAAGTCTCATATGGTTTTCTGGTGAGATTTCTCTGCGTCAAATTTAATGTTTAACACATTTATTCTTTGATAAAGACATGACAATCTCTCTCGTTAAAATTTTAATCCTCCTCTCTCTGTATATTACGTCCGGTCACTACTAAAATAGTAAAATATTTTATTAAAACACTGACATGCTATTGGTAACAAAACATGATCGATCGTACTAATTAAGCATCTTATGGTGACGTATAGATCCCAGATAGGTATTAGTATATGATTAATAAAGTTTTGATTAAAGATGTTTGGATACAAATGAAAGCAAAAAGTAGATGTATGGATACAAATGAAAGCAAAAAGTTTGCGGCTACATTTCTTTAGGGGATGGGTTCTTAATAATTAAAATTACTTTTCAACGACTTTATCGTTTGCGCAATCTCATAATCATGTCCACATATCTTTACTTTTTCACCGGCCAAAACTTATTCGGTCCATATCCGTATCTTAACGAGAATTATTGATCATGCCGCAAGACCAAGAAGCCCACAACTTATTTTACTCTTAAATGCAAAACAATTTACGACCAAAGTGAGTGTGGAATATATCTCTGCCCAGAGACTTCAATACGCTAACAGAAAAAGATGAAACAACTCGATGGCCGATGGGTATTTGTTATAGTCATTGTAAGTAACCCAACACAAACGGTCATTCGTGTGAATTGGTTTCATTACAAGAACTTGTCCCAACTAACTCTAAGCAAACATGCAGAGGCTACAATAGATCAACAAGTTATAAATTAAATAAGCGTAATCTTAGTGTAACTCCCAACTAATTATCACAACCGGTTCATGTTTCTGGTACAAGTGACAATTAAAATATGCTTTTTTCCTACAAGTTACACCAATGTGACAATAGATCCCAAAAACCAGCAACAGTCAATGCATAGAAGATGCTGAGATTAGACAAGAGCAAGATGATCGGATTACACAAGACCAAGATCAAAGCCCCTCCAAACAGTTTCGTTGAGTGTAGACTGATTGCGGATTAAAGAACTCACATGTATCACTCACTCCTATAGAAGAACAAATTCCACTAACTCGAGATCTCTAGTAGTATCTTAAGAAAACACCTTAATCCTTAAGGAAGAACAATATCAATGTTGAAAAGCTAGTTTCCTCCACAGCATTTGGCTCATTGGTGGCACTATGGATTCAAAGAGCACCAAAAACTAGAGGCCCCAAAGCAGGGCCAGCCCAATAGATTTGGCTGCCCAAAACATTCTTATGCCCACACATTTAATAAAGTCACAAAACAATAGATTAGGGACTCGAACCTTGCACCAAATGGACAACTATCTAGGGGCTAACCACTGCACTACGTAATATTTTATAAAAGTAATGCCTTTTACTACTATATATAACTTTTGGCGCCTAAAGCAAGGGATTTACCAGCTTTAGCTCAGGGCCGGCCCTGCCCCAAAGGATACCTATATAACAAGAGGCCCCAAAGGACAGTCATATAAACATTGAAAATGTTACTTTTAGTGTTACAACAAGAGGCCCCAAAGTACACTCATATAAACATCAAAAACAGTCTTTCTCGTAAATATCTAGGCCTGGGCAAATAAACCGAACCGAATGTACCGAACCGAAACCGAAGCAAATAAAACCGAACCGAACCAAACCGAAAATTTGAAAATAACCGAATGGATACTAAATTCTATAACCGAAATAACCGTAACCGAATCGGTACCGAACCGAAATATTTTGGGTAACCGAAATACCCGAAATACAATTATATTTTCAAAATAATTAGTTATTTATAGACCAAATAATCAAAAATACTTGAAAAATATGTAAAAATAGTAAAAATTCTCGAAAATAACCGAAATATATCCAAAAATATCCGAAAATACTAAAAAATAACCGAAATATCCGAAAATATCCTAAGCAAAATAACCGAATGGATACTAAATTTTAAAACCGAACCGAAACCGAACCGAAATTTGAAAATATCCGAATAGATACTAAATTTTGAAACCGAAATAACCGAAACCGAATGGACCCAACCGATAACCGAACGGTTAACCAAAAGCCCAGGCCTATAAATAATATCAATCAAGCCTACTTTGGGTTTCCCTTCGTCACCTCAAATGTATTTTCCCCCATAAAACGTCGTCGTTCTAGTTTTAAAGGTTGTAAATAAACTTAAACCAAATAAACGGGGCAAAATCAAAACAATCAAAACCATTAGGGAGGAAGATTGCAAATAAGAATAAAGAAAGAAGAGTAAAGTCGGTTTGGCTGTTTCCTTCTCTCTTCATCCTTATCTAAGTTTAAAAAAAATAAAACTTCCATTTTTCTCCACTTGGACTTTCTTTTGTAAATTAAAAATAAAAATAAAAAGAGAGAGAGAGAAAAAAAAAAACGTTTTTCTCCTGCTTGCTTGCTTCTTCTCTTTGCTTGCGTTTTCTCAAAGGTTCGAAGAAAACGAAGAACCAAGCTTTTTTGCTTTTCTCACACGACTTTAATCTAAATCGAGATTTCTTACTTTTGATTGTTTCTCAATCTGGTTTCCAGTCTTCGGATTCAATGGCGTCTGGATCTTCGGGTCGGGTCAACTCAGGATCTAAAGGTTTCGATTTTGGCTCCGATGATATCCTTTGCTCTTACGATGACTACACCAACCAAGACTCCTCTAATGGTCCTAACTCTGATCCTGCGATCGCTGCTGCCAACTCCAATAAGGTAAACCACACTGATTTCGTCTTTCTTCTGTTTTTTTTTTTTTAGTTTTGGGCTTTGCTCGATCGGTGATTTCGTTTGATTTTTGGGAATCTAGGGTTTTGATTTGTGGTTTGCTCGATCAGCGATTGATCAGTGATCGAGACTTGTCGTCTTAGTTGTGAGCTTATTCAGCTAGTTAGTTTCGTCGTTATATAGTCGGCTTCTGCTTCCATTCACAGCTCACAGATCTTGCTAGTGATGATAATTGCATTCACATATACAAAGGTTCCAAGTTTCTTTGTTTGTCTGGTTTCTGAATCTGAATTTGAAACCTATGGATATTATCTCTGTTGTTGTATTTGTCAATATAAGTTGTGACTTATGAGGAGCTTTATTTTGTTCAAACGACTTGGCTATGAATCTAATATCACTTGGAACTAGAGCTTCTTCAGCTGTAATTGTTTTTTTTTTTCTAAATTGGAAGAAAACTTCATCATTGTTTCATTTTTTGCTTGCAGGAATTCCACAAAACAAGGATGGCAAGGTCTTCGGTTTTCCCTACAAGCTCTTACAGTCCACCAGAGGATTCTTTGAGCCAAGACCTTACTGACACTGTCGAAAGAACCATGAAGAAGTATGCAGATAACATGATGCGATTTCTTGAAGGTATCAGTTCACGCTTGTCCCAGCTTGAACTCTACTGCTACAACCTTGATAAGACAATTGGAGAAATGAGATCGGAGTTGACTCATGAACACGAGGAGGCTGATGTGAAGCTTAGATCTCTGGACAAACATCTTCAAGAGGTTTGTTATCCAATGTTTTAAATCCTTTTTTGTTAATTTGAGTTTGTAAAACTTCTGATCAGCAATTGACCATGTTATGTTCTGTTGTAGGTGCATAGGTCTGTCCAGATTCTCAGAGACAAACAAGAGCTCGCAGATACTCAAAAAGAGCTAGCTAAGCTTCAACTTGTGCAGAAAGAGTCATCTTCTTCTTCTCACTCTCAACATGGTGAGGATCGGGTCGCCACTCCTGTTCCAGAGCCTAAGAAGAGCGAGAACACCTCAGATGCACACAACCAGCAGCTTGCACTTGCTTTGCCGCACCAAATAGCCCCACAGCCACCAGTGCAGCCGCAGCCGCAGCCACAACAACAGCAGTATTACATGCCTCCTCCTACACAGCTTCAAAACACACCTGCACCAGTGCCCGTTCCTACTCCACCATCACAACCTCAAGCACCACCAGCGCAGAGTCAGTTCATGCCCCCACCCCCTGCTCCATCTCACCCAAGCTCAGCCCAAACTCAGTCATTCCCGCAGTACCAGCAAAACTGGTCACCCCAACCACAGGCCAGGCCACCGTCAAGTGGAGGCTACCCAACATACTCGCCTATACCACCAAGCAACCAATCGCCAGTAGAATCGTTGCCAAACAGCATGCAGATGCAATCACCATACTCTGGACCTCCTCAACAGTCTATGCAAGCTTACGGATACGGTGCACCACCACCACAGGCTCCTCCTCAGCAGACAAAGATGTCTTATAGCCCCCAGACGGGCGATGGGTATCTACCCTCAGGACCTCCTCCTCCTGCCGGGTATGCCAATGCCATGTATGATGGTGGGCGAATGCAATACCCACCACCTCAGCCGCAGCAGCAACAGCAGCAAGCCCATTACTTGCAAGGTCCACAAGGTGGTGGATACGCTCCCCAGCCGCACCAGTCAGGTGGCGGTAACACTGGTGCACCACCTGTGTTGAGATCAAAATACGGTGAACTTATAGAGAAGCTAGTGAGCATGGGTTTCAGGGGAGACCATGTGATGGCCGTGATTCAGCGGATGGAAGAGAGTGGCCAACCCATCGACTTCAACGCCCTCCTCGACAGATTGAGTGGGCAGTCCTCAGGAGGACCTCCCAGAGGATGGTGAAGCCATATCCCCTTCTACTAGTGTATCTTTCACAATAAAACTGCACTTTCTCTTCACCCCTTCTCTTTACTTTACTCTATAGAGGCCCTAGTTTTATTGGGCCCAATAGATTGGGTCAGTTGTGTATTGTTTATGGGATTCAATTTATATTTCCTTAAAAAAAGCCGTATTATTGGTGTATGTGTTACTACTACTTTCGATGTTCCTCTTGAACCCAAATCTCTTATGCGACTATATATATTGGGAACTTGGGAAGTTTGTTTACTTCACTTTGTTTTGGATCGATTGTGAAAATTAATAACCTGAATAAGCGAGCTTTTAATTTGAAATTGACTATTACAACGAAATTATTTTCCTATACCAACAACGTTTCCAAGCATAAAATTATGTTTATCGGAAAATTGAAAAAAAATTTGCGTAAATCCTCAAAACCAAAAAAACAGAAAAAAAAAAAACTGCGGGAAATGAAAATTGAAAGAGGCGCCAAAGAATTTATTTCAAGCAGCGCGGTTAGAGCCTGGCGCCAATAAACACACCCGCCAAAATCTCCTTCCATATAAACAACCCTAATCCCCAATCTCCATCTCTCATTCATCATCATCCTCCTTCTCTTAATCTCTCTCTCGTTTTCTGAAATTAACTCAATAGTAAACACAATGATGACGCCGGTGAAGAAAAATGTCTCCATTAGACCGGTTACTTTCTACGGAAACGGGCTTCCCCGACCTCGTTTCTTCGATAATCCTAAGTTCAACGCTTACCGTGTTGATCCTCCAGTTTCTGTGCTTGATCCGCTTCTCTCATGGGCTAGAGACGCTCACTGGTCCATGGGTGGTCTCAACTTCACGCGTCTCCGTCTCCAAGGCCGAATCGAAGGAAACGTCAACAAGCTCCGTGCACAGCTTGAGAAATCTAGCCCTGTGAAACTCGAATCTGGAATCTCCGAGAGGAAGAAGAAGAAGAGATCTGGTTCTGAGTCTCCTCCTGCTGCTCCCATTGTGCTGAAACGAAGGAGGTACTTAGATCTCAACGATTCTGATGATGATGAGGAAGTCGGATCTGAAGATGAAGGTGTTGTGAGAATCAGGAGAAAACTCTCTGATGATTTTGATAGAGTTGCTGGAGAGAGCATGACCAAACTTGTTGAAGCCAATAAGAAATCGATTAAATCTGAGTTAGTGGAGAAGACGAGATTGAAGGAGAAGAAGAAGAAGATCGACAAACTGAACAAGACAAGTTCAATGAGGTCATCTCCAAGATTGGCTAAGCGTAGCTCTAGTTAGTTTTCAGTTTTAGTCTCCTTCAATAATTTCTCTGTAGGGTTTTAGATTTGATGAGTATAGTTCATGAATGTTCTTTTGGATTTGTGCTTATATATATATGAATTTATCATGATTGCTCTATTAAATCAGACAAAGTAACCTGAATGCATCAAAATGTTACTCACTGAGTTAATTCTGTATACAACAAAAATGAGAATCAGATTTCACTGTAAAAAAAGACAGTTTACATGTGATTCTCTCAATGTTTGTGAGAACAAAGTTCTTTCAAATTCTGTTCCTTAAGACGTCCTGTGACTTTTCCCAACCTGCAAGATTGTTCTATCATCAATTTGTAAATTGAATCTTGTTCATGTGGAACAATTCCAAAGTCATCGCTGAAAGTTTCCATGCCTTCCATGAATAGTTGCCACACCAATGTGCCTGCACCTGACTTCTTTCGCTTGGCTGATTTGTAAATCACGTCGAAGATGATTCTGTAGAATTTATCTCGCTGAGATGGTTCGTAGTCCTTGTTCAGGTTCGAGAGCCCAAACTCTGTGAAGAGAACTGGCTTCTTGAGTTCTTTAAAGCCATCTTCAATGTGAGATTGCATCCATTTCACCACAAACTTTAGCTTCTCTTCAAAGGTCTGATTATGAAACCTGCCCAGATAATATACATTTACAGCAAAACAACAAGTAAGAAACTGCTGAAAAGAATCCTCAAAAGAGCTCAATACAATCAAATCTTGATTCACTTACCAGTGATCGGGGTAGATATGAACGGATGCAAAATCAATGTTTGAGGAATTAGAGTTTTGAACAAAGTCTGTTCCGAGCTCGGAGGCCCACTGTTCTGGATTAACTGTCAGCCGTTTCGGGCTGTTAGGACCATAGAAACCTTCCAGGCCTACTGTGAGGAGATGCTTGTCATCGATTGATTTAATGAAACCCGTCATTTCGTCTATCCAGTCCTGTGATCCCACAACGAAACACATTAATCATATGTTTGCGGAATAAGAAACAATCTGAATGATTCCAAGTGATAAGTGAAATGGAGGACTCACTTGGAGAGTTTTGCCAGAGACATCAGTCGTACATCGAGGCTCGTTTATCAACTCCCAAGCGAAAATCGTTGGATCATTTCTGTACTCGATTCCAGTTACCGAGTTCTTCCTGGTGAGCAGAACCTGCGAATTAGTAAATAAAAATTCAATCTTTACCCTTCAGACTTACTCTCACTATCACTCAAATGATCTAATGTTCAATCATAATCAGCAAGAGACCACTACCTTGAGATAATTCTTGAAGTAGTTCCGGATAGATGGGTCAAAGAAGAAGGAATCATTGGAAGAACTGACACCAACACCTTCTTGCCATGCCCAGTTCACATACTGTGTCTTCCCTCCATAAGCTTGCAAGTTGTTCACTAAGCTAAGCAGCAATCTAACATCATGCTTTCTCGCCTCTGCAATTACATGATCCAAGGCCTGACCAGTGAAGCAACATTCCATTAAACAAGAACATCACAGAACTGGATGCTTACTTGAATATAGAAAAGAGGAAGAAGAATCAAAACCTGGAAGACTCGCTCATCGAATCGGCCAGGGGAGATCTGAAGAGCATTATAGCCACCGTCATTGAAAGCCCAAGTTCTACAAACAGTGAGACCCATTTTAGCTCCAGCTTCAAGCATTTCACCGACAAGGTTTCTGCTATGTTCATCAACCGCATGGTCCATGAACCAATACGAGTTCCAACCATTTACATAGAGAGGCTTATCATCCACCACAAACTGAGTTCCGTTCCTTTTCACAAACCCTAACTTTGCTTTCCCTTTGTGATTCAACCATAAATCCCGAAATGAGAGATAGATGAAAGCTGCACAAATAAAAAACCCTAGAATTCGTAGCATTGGCCTGTTCCTTGTGGGAACCATGCTTCTGCTACCTCCTGCTTCACACACACAAATTTCAAACCCAGAATTGGAGAAACAGTTCTTTTGTTTTAGTCGGTGCCCACCCAGAAGAAAAATCCAAACTTTTTATAAAACCCAGACGGAAAAATCAATCCTTTATAGAAAATTAACAAATATTGAAAAAATGGCTCTCTTAGGCAAACAAGAGATATACGAACAAGCAGAAGAAATTGGATAATTGAATAACCACTGACACAGATCTATGTATCTTTGTATTTATATTAGTTTAATAATTTCACTGTATCTCAAACTTTAAGGACCCAAATCACTATATTTTTCTATTAATTATAATTTTCTTTTGTGAAAGAAGAAAAGAGCTTTTTGTATCTTACCTCGTAAAGGGACAAGGCATAATGTGATGTTTTCTTATTTTACAAAAGTTATGATTTTAAACTCTATTTCGTAAGTTGAAATTACTAATAAACTACTATCTTCGTATAAATTTGATATTTTGATTGCTGATGTATATAAAATATAAATGGTTGAAGAGAAAAAAGAACAGAACTTGACCCACCAAAGAAGAGGAAAAGCACAGAAATTAACCTGGTATTTAGACATATACAGGGGCGGAGGGAGAGAAGATTCATAGGGGTTAATTGACCCCGGTAAAATTTTAAAAAATAGTTTAATTTTTATATGAAAAAATTATTGACCCCAATCCAATAAAAATATTGACCCCTATAAAAAAATTATGTTACAAACCCAATAATTACACTATACTTATAGATAATATTAGCCTAATAAAATTTATTTTAAGTAAATATACTACAATTAAACCTATTAATATAAAGTAATATAATATTTTAATATTTATTTTGACCTGATCTAAAAACGTTTTACTTCCTTCTTCTTTTTTCTTTGTGTTTTTAATCAATTTTTGATTGTGTGATGGTGGAAATAAGAAAACATCTTTCACATCTTTTAGTATATCGACTTATGAAGCTATCTTTTATGCATCTTTTAGAAAAAAAAAATATTTTGACCCCGATGAATAGATTTTCTGGTTCCGCCACTTGACATATAGAACTAAAAGAGACTAATATGTTGTTGGAAACTTTAAAAGAAGGAATTTAATTTGATGAGTACAGAGAAAAAAAAATACATTTGAATCTCTTAGGAAAAATATAAACTGGGCCACATGCGTTGGAGTGTCATCAACTTCAGATATTTGAGAAAAATGTTCATTATTCAATCATGTGATGTGAATTGTGAGCCTTTTAATACCAACTCATTTATAACATACAAAAGTTAATTCTGAGAAGAAAAAAAAAGGTTAATTCTGAGAAGAAAAAACAAATCAAATATTAGCTTCCGCATAAAGTCAACATATTCAGTAGCATATTTATTTGTTTGTTCTCTTGAAAATCACTTTGAGGTGTTCTCCACGTTGTTATGATGATGAAAATGCATAGGCTTGACAATTACATTTGTGGTAAGATTCTTTTTATCCTTGTTGTTTAGCCAAAATTATATAAATTACAATGCTAAAATATGTGAACCTGTACATAACAGTCGTCTTAATTATTGGTAGGTTTTTAGCCAAATCTTAGATAAATCTTAAATATTAAAAAGTATTTAATTAAATGACAAATGGTAAGATTGATAAAAAAAGTTTTTTAGCTAAGAACCAAAACATGTTTATAAGAGATAAATCTTAAGATTTTAATACTAAAAATTTACTAAGAGTCATTGTTAAGAAATCTTTGATAATCATATCGTAATGTTTTGTTAAGTTCTTAGAATATTGGTAACAGTACTATATATTTTCTCTGTCGACATTAGAAAACTTGATGCGTGTAGTAAATACAATAATAAATAAATAAAAGACAGAAGTAAAATACTTTGAATGCTGTCGGTGACTGCTTTTCTTAACTAGTTAACACCCAAAGAGTTATTTTAATAGTACTATGGAACAATGTATTAATAAGTTTTTTTGGAATTTTGGAAGCTATCTTTTTATAATGCAAAGTGCCAAGTTAGTTATTAGCCATCTAAGATCTTGCAATCAAATTAGTGTAAAGGAAAAAAAAGAGAGATAAAAGCTGCCTAACTGCTAATTTTGGACCATAATCATTATATATAGTATATCTAAAGGAGAAACATTCAAACAGACCAATTATTCTTTTGATCCATGATTTACTACCACCAACCAATGGCATTCAATAATATTTGAAGACAAACAAATCAAAGTAAACATACTAAAAGATGTTTGAAGATTATACTCAATGTGGATCACAAGATTCAAGAGCATTGAACGTATATATATATTTGTCAAATATGCATAATTATTTCTTTGAATTATCTTGTAAACTATGCATTGACTTGGATTGAGCACCTTCTTAAACTTTTTATCAATGCTACATTATGAAGAATAGGTGCAACTCATCACCTTTTAAGCTTTTACCTAACCACTTCAGCTTGGACCATACCTAATCACATGCACTTCCTCCTTCAAACACAATTTATCTTCTTCTTTGTCGTCACATTGTACATGTTTCATAATTACTAGGCTGTTAATCCTACTAGGCTATTTACAACTTTTAGATACTGTATGTATTTAACGTGTTTTCACTAAAACAGTTTTCCATCATTCACGGAAAATGGGCCATTAATGGTAATCCGTAAGCTCAAATGGGCCTTCAAACCCATATTCAGAAGCTCTTCAACGGACAGAGACAGAGAATGACCGGCAAACAGAGAGACCAAAAGAAGAATCTGTGTTCTCTCAAAGAAATAAACAAAACAAGTGTCAATTACTTCACGTGTCGGTATTGTGACGTGGAAGCATTCAAATCTTGTTAAACTTAAGGACAAATAATGAGGAAATTAAGATTTTCGATATATTAGTTGTGAATGTTTTCGTTAATGAAAAAAATGCAAAAATCGAATCAAGAAGATGAAGAGTAAGAGTTAAAGAAGACAAAGTAAGCAAGAAGAGCACAAAGAAGAGCCACAAAGTTTCCTTCTTTAAGAAGAACCCTAAACACAAAACCAGCGATCTCTTTCGTCACTTTCCTTCCTTCAATCACCACTCTCTTCCTCGATTTTCCGGCGAACGCCATCGTCACAACCACCGATATCCAGATCACAACGATCGCCGGAACAGCAATGAACAGCGCCGCCGCCATAGACAGAACTCCGAACACCGCACCAAGAAGCACCGACGCGTAAATCGCAGGCAAACCAGATGATGTCTGATGATTCTCTCCGTACCAATTCACTATCGAATTCAACGAATTCCATGAAGAAGACAAAAGGATCGCGTAGACTACAAGAAACAGACAAGCCCATGTTCTTCTCTTGCTTATAACTCTCAAAAACAGCTTGTACGAGGTCATGGTCTCTTGTTCTTCCTTGTCAGCCATATTTGAACACCAGATCTGATCTTATGACTCTGTGTCTGGTTTGGTAAAGTTATGGTAAATAGTAAAAGACCCTTGTTTTGTCTAAGCTTCTTCTTCTTCTGATTCCTTTTTTTGGGGTGAGTGTTTGCGGTGAAGAATTGTGAGAAAAGGAAAGTGATCGTACGTTCTTTTTAGTTTTATACTTCAACCAAGTCGAATCTAACGTAACGTGAAGAACACGCTCTTGCTGATTAGGCAGTGCTTGTCACGTGCCTTTTTTCTTAGCGGTCCAGTTAAAGTCTTTGCCTTTTCCTGCAAACTGACAGTTGGAGAGCTCTGTTTCCATTTTTTTCTTTTTTCACTTTTGGGCTCATCTCCCAAAACGCACCGTTTTATAAACCAAAGTGATTGATTAGTAACTCCAATGAACATACCAAGAAAGTAGTTTAGTTGTAGTTACTGTTAGGCCTTTGACATCATGATTTTAGGGTTAATAAATACTAGGTCCTAATTAATACTATGATGCTTACAGGTAACGAATAATTTGAGGTATGTTTGAAAAAATTGAAGAGGAGAATCAGAAGAAGATGAATATTTGACATTTCAAGGATGACTTCTTTGACCAATAAGTTCATCATCATCATTCACACCATAAATGTGGACAGCAAATTACCAAGTCCAATTTCACCATTAATTCCAAGTGGCTCGGATCAAGAAAAATACAAAAAACAAACTTCCAAATGCTTAGGAAAATAAAGAATCGAAATTTTTAAGCGATCAAATTAGCACAGCGGATATTATTTTGTCCACATTTGTTATTCAAATAGATTTCAAACACATAATTAGCATATACTCATTAAACAACATTATCTCCTTAATAATTTTGACTCTGGTTTCAGACAATATATTTGAATAAAACCAAACCTATCAAATCTCTTTTGACTAATCTGTTCTTCTTTTCTTCTTCCCATAAAACTTCACAACGACACACTTCTGCACAAAAGATTTCCCTCTCACCATGTTCTCGAAAGTTTCCATTTTTATCTTTTTCGTCACATCCATACTGTTGTTCCGATCAACCACATGCGTCGAATTCATCTACAACTCCAATTTCACCACCACCAACACACTTCTCCTCGGCAACGCCACCGTTAATTCTCCACCGTCGATCCTCACCCTCACCAACCAAACCACTTTCTCCATCGGACGTGGCCTCTACCCTTCAAGAATCAACGCCTCCTCCTCTGCCTCGCCTTTACCTTTCGCCACATCATTCATCTTCTCCATGGCTCCTTTCAAAAGCCTCTCTCCTGGCCACGGCTTCGCCTTCGTCTTCCTCCCTTTCTCCGAAACCTCCGCCGCTAGCTCATCTCAGCATCTCGGCCTCTTCAACTTCACCAATAACGGCGACCCCAACAGCCGAATCTTCGCCGTAGAATTTGATGTTTTCCCTAACCAAGAGTTCAACGACATCAACGGCAACCACGTCGGCGTCGACGTCAATTCCCTCACTTCCGTTGCATCTGAAACTGCAGGTTTCTATGGAGGAAGAGACGGCGAGAGATTCACGGAGCTGAGGCTTAACAGTGGCGAGAATTACCAGGCGTGGATTGAGTTTGATGGGTCAGCCATCAATGTCACGATGGCTAGAGCTGGCTCTAGAAAGCCCATAAGACCACTCATAAGCATTCCATTGAACCTCACTGGAGTTTTACTTGATGATATGTTCGTTGGATTCACTGCATCCACAGGACAACTAGTACAGAGCCATAGGATTCTCTCATGGAGTTTTAGTAACTCCAATTTCTCCATTGGCGATGCTTTGATCACTAGGAATCTTCCTTCGTTTAAATTGTCAGGTGACTCTGTTTTAAAGTCTAAAGGCTTCATTGCTGTGGTTTCTAGTGGTGTTGTGTTGTTAGTCTTTGTTATTGGGCTCCTCTGTTTCTACGTTGTGAGGCGGCGAAGGCAGGGACTAGAAGGAGACGTGGAAGATTGGGAAACAGAGTATTGGCCTCACAGAGTGCAATACAAAGACGTTTTGGAAGCAACCAAGGGGTTTTCAGAAGTGAACATGATCGGATACGGAGGGAATTCTACGGTGTATAGAGGAGTGTTGGAAGGTAAAGAAGTGGCGGTTAAGAGAATAATGATGAGCCCTAGAGAGAGCGTTGGCGCGACGAGTGAATTCTTGGCCGAGGTCTCGAGCTTAGGGAGGTTAAGGCACAAGAATATAGTTGGACTAAAAGGTTGGTCCAAGAAAGGAGGAGAGAGTCTGATATTGATTTACGAATATATGGAGAATGGAAGTGTCGATAAGCGGATATTTGATTGCTATGAGATGTTGAATTGGGAGGAAAGAATGAGAGTGATAAGAGACCTAGCCTCAGGGATGTTGTATCTACACGAAGGGTGGGAGTCAAAGGTGTTACATAGAGATATAAAGTCAAGCAATGTGTTGCTTGACAAGGATATGAACGCGAGGGTAGGTGATTTCGGGCTGGCTAAGTTGCAGAACACTAGTAAAGAGATGGTTAGCACGACACACGTGGTTGGAACAGCGGGTTATATGGCGCCTGAGCTGGTTAAGACAGGGAGAGCATCACCGCAGACCGATGTGTATAGCTTTGGAGTGTTTGTGTTGGAGGTAGTGTGTGGAAGGAGGCCAATAGAGGAAGGAAGAGAAGGGATAGTGGAATGGATATGGGGACTAATGGAGAAAGACAAATTGGTTGATGGTTTAGACGTGAGAATAAAGGCGAGAGGAAGGTTTGAGACCGAGGAAGTAGAGATGGCTCTGAGAATAGGACTGTTGTGTGTGCATCCTGATCCGAGGGTGCGTCCAAATATGAGACAGGTGGTGCAGATATTAGAACAAGGGAGATTTGTGGAGGATGGTGGTGAGAGGGAAATGAGCTTGTTGGAGAGAGTGAAGAGCTCTTACTTGTTGGAAACTGGTGAGGGAAGCAGACTACAACATCCCACGTTCCAAGATGTATGGAACTCGTCTTCTTATTCTAATTCCTTCCAAAGTTATGATTCTATTCTTCATGGAAGGTGAGAAACTAGCGTGAGAGTTATTCTTTTTTAACGAATTTCTATACTATATAATCTATACATGTTGTGTGATTCTTTTGTATATAAGATTGTATGAATTTGAGTAAATTGCATGAATCATTTTTGTTTGAGGTTGTAGCTATTTCTACATTGAGATTGATTTGGATGTTGTACTGTCATTTAACATGCTGTCATTTAATATGCTGCCATATATACTCCTTTTATTGTACCGTTAAACCAAGAAATCATATTTTAATATTTTAGTGTTCTTTTTCTCTAACATCGAATATAATGATACTGCATTAGATTCCGTCCGATAATTTAATAAAATGATGTTTGACAAAAAAAAAAATTGATACTGCATTAGATAACATCAAATACAAAATAATAATCTTGGATTACATAAGAAAACTATATTAGGAACAAAAGTGTATGGAATGAAAATCACAATCACCTTGCATCCTTCATTTGTCAAAATATATGTTGCTCTATTCTGATTTTTTTTCCATAAAATAATTAAAATTAACAAAAAAAAAAACAAAAAAAAATCTGTACATAGCAACATATATTTTTTATCAAAGTGATTTAGTCCATGAGATGAACATATCTAAGAAACAGATTCTTCTCATGTTTAATCGAACTAATTTGGTTTAAGGTGCATGAAAGAAAATTCTCAAGTAGATTTTGTGATACTACTCAAATTACATGAGAAATTTCCTTACAAATTGCAGAAATATGTTTGATTTTATCTAGCAACTGCACAATTGGGTTTGATTAGAACTATCCGACGCAAGTATTTAAGATTTTTTTCTTGTCCACGCCGATTTATTATGTGAATGGCCGAGAAAGTGGAAAGATCATATTAAGCATATATATATTATTTTATTTGTATTTGGTCTATCTAATTTTTTGACTAACAAAATGACCGAACAATTTTTGACCAAAATACGATGAAAACTTGAGATGATTAGTATTTAATCAACGGTTTTAGACGAGCATATTTGTTTGAAACTTTGGATCTTCCAATTCAATCCTAAAGACGTTTGGATCTTCCAAGTTGTCACTACATCTTATTGGTTAATTCTTTATTCACCAGATACTCTAATGGACGGACAGCTTGTACCACAATACCCAGACGTGCCATAAGACTTTCCTAATGCTGCTATTCTCAATCAGGTCCTAAAGGAATTGAGAGCACAAAATCAACGTAGTCCTGTAAATATCTATATCGGTACTGAAAAGTATAAATATGCGTCTTTAGTGTGGGCTCTGCTAGTTGCAATTGCTATGAGGTGATCGAAATATTTATGATTGAAATTCAAGGTATGTTCGTATTCTTTATATTTATGACTTTCAAATAATGTTATTAGCCTATTAAATTTGAAAAACGGCAATGAGAACAGACATTTCTCAATTCATATAATCAAGTGTGAATCAATTAAAATAAAGTTATACTACATTTGTATCATATTTTATTTTTATTTACCAGTTTTATCTGTATATCTTTTGACCGTCTTAAATGGTTAAACACCATTATTTTTTATCTTTACCAATGAATATCTAGTAAAATAATTGGTTGCAAGAAAAAGTAAACAAACGATTGAACTTTGTAATATAAAAGTTCAATTATAGATTGATAGATATAACAGATAAATATGTTGATAAGTGATTATTAAAATAGAATAATTAACTAATAATAATAAGTACAATACTGTTTTAAAAAAATAGAAACTGATAAGCGATCTTTTTATAAAAGTATGCTAAGTAATTATTTTCAACCAAAATAATAAGCGTAAATTTTTTGCCGACCAAAAAAAAAAAAAAGAGTAATTTTTTTTCGATAAAAGATTACTTTGGTAGTACATCTTTGCTAGGGACAAAGAACATTGCGCCATGAAAACATATAATAGTTCTCTCAATTAGAAGGAAGTGTCAAAGAAGCCGTCTTAGCTCAGTGGTAGAGCGCGTGGCTTTTAACCACGTGGCCGTGGGTTCGATCCCCACAGACGGCGATTTTGTTGGTTTTTTTCTAATATCCTTCCTATATGATTTTCTTTTTATCCAAGAAACATTCTCAGCATGTTTTATACCTTTTTGGTAGTCCAAACACAAAACTCAAAAGACACCAAAACTTCACAGATAACCAAGTGCAATGCATAGCTCAAAATCCAATATTTTTTAAATAAACTAATTAAACACATAGACATTGATGTTTTTACAACTAATCAACTCGATCGTTGATGTTTTTACAAAACTCTCCATTCCTATCAATTCAAACATATTTTGTTAATTTGTGTCATTTTCTAACATTCAATTTATTTCCAGGATGGGGAGTCCTTGACATATTTTCTATTGGATTTCGGTGTACCGGTTTAATTTACAAACCAGAAACATGGTTTATTATCTCGGTTTGGTTGTTACTTCATCATTCACTAACTAAAAAAGTATATATCAACTTGTGAACCGGTAACAATGTGTAACGACACTACAACCTCGTTTGTATGGATTAGCCTTTTTGCCCGGTCCACAACTATAATAGGAACGACCACGTCGTTTACACGGTACATTGTTCCTTTTTAACGCACCATAGCTAATATATCTTGCGGCTTTTAAAATCCTGCCGCTCAATTCAAACCCTGCTATAGTTCTCTCCTCTTCTTTACTGTCGATGCAAGTCCTGAAGTCGCAGACCACTTTCTTAGCTTTAACCAGCACCGAAGCTGCGGCCACTGGGATGATCACAGCGGTAATTAAGAGCTTGATGTAATTCATCATCGAGATCGATAAATCGTAGAGAAAATGATAATTAATTACTGATTTGGGGTTTATAAACTGGTTTTAAGTGGTATATTAGATCTGTAGTTTGCCCGGTTCTTACTCCATAACTTGTTCAATGTTTATTGCTCAGTGCTTGATTGATAGCAATAGCATGTAACTCGCCTAATTAAGCGGGCTAACAATTAATTAATTTCTTACATATATAAAAAGTGTATTCATATAAGATCTATTTATATGTCTCAAAGATCTTAGAATGGAGAAGTTTTGCATGAGCTATGTGAATACTACATATACGTCCATTAGCCTGATCATAATTAAAACACAAAATAAAAACATTCGCACCTAATTAATATAAAATATCTAGTAAGAACAAAAACGAGAAATCGGAAACATACAAAATGGTTACAAGATGCTTCAAACATACAAATAAAATGGCACATAAATATGAAACTCATCAATGGTAGAGGAATCAATACACCTCACAAATTTAATGACTAGCGACAATATATAAACCCCTCAAATTAAACATAGAACTTATCATAATCACAAGAACCCCCATCCCCGGACCAACCAAACCGGCCGAATTGCGAGCTGAAGCCGGCCCTGGAGTTGGAGCATGAGCGTTTGATACAGATGATGGTTCCACTCCTGGAGAAGGCACCGGCGAAGACAAATCCTGATGGACCGGAGACAGTGACGGTGACGGAGACGAGGAGGGAGAGGTATGACGAGGAGAGTGGCTGTGGTGGACGGTGGACAAGACCTTGACGGCTAGCTTCTGACCTTTAAGACAGTTTTGAGAGTTGCCACTAATGAAAAAGAAGGAACCGGAGTGGCTAAGTAGAAAGAGAGAGTCTCCGTCTGAGAGGGAAGTCAGGGGGTGTGTCGTGTTGCATGTGTTGTACTCTTGTTCACTCACCTCCAACACTGAGTCTTTTCCCTTCGCGTACTTAAAATCTTGTAAAAATCAAAATTATAATGCATTAATATTGACACATTGTATAGATAGATATATAGAAGAAAAGAGGAATGTGACTTACGAAGAGTGTCGTTGACTTGAAACCGGTTCCGGTGAGACCAATGAGAATAATCTTCGGAAGGAGTAGGGACCCAACCATCTTTCCCACCAACATAGAATTTGTATCCATTTGATATCTTAAACCCCATACCCATCAACATCACAAACATAAGGTAAAGATCAAACCTCATGACCAAATCCATCTCCGATCCAAAACGTTAATCAAACCCCAACTTCTTACTAACTCTCTTTGATTGTGTGTGTGTGTGTTTGCAACTTCAAGAGGCGTTTATTTATGGTGAAAGTAAAGAAAACATAGCCGTTAGGTCAAGCTGTTTTGGCTGTGCATCGATTACCTAGGGAAATGCAATTAAGGAGAAGCGTTTTGGTTTTGCTCCTGTCTTCTTTTTAACGTCTCGACATGCAATGGACTTAACGGCTATCTAACTTTAATTTTTTTACTTTCTTTCTCACAAACAAACATTTTTCACTCAGATTCTTTAGCCATCAAATATAAAAATTCAAATCCTTAAGTATTTATTATTATTTATTTATTTTTTATTTTTTTGGCAGCATCATTTAAACTTACGTTACAGATTGTTTTATTTTAAATTTTAATTATAAAAACGATAAATATTTCCGAATAATACAATATTAAAGTTTTAGTGGGCTTTTTATAAAGTGGATCGAGTATGTTGTAAGAGAGGCTTTACACATTTTCTCCTCTACTTTTAAAGCCCAACTATTAGTAGAAGAATATTCAATTTCTTCTCCTAATGACAAATTAGTAAAATTTTACACACTTTCTCCTCTACTTTTAAAAGCTCAACTTGTTGGACAATATTAGAAGAATTTTACTTTCTATAATGGGAAATTAGGGTGAAGGATCTAATTAATATTTGATGATCGTTCCTAAACTGTGACATCGAAAATAAAATTTCTACTTATGTTTTAATCCAAAAAAAAAAAACGTAAAACATTTGTACAAATCCTTTTTGAGGAAAAAAGAAGTTTTAAGGCGTAAAGAAAAGAGCTGAGATTATGAAACTTCAACTAACAAATTTCTCAATTAAAAACATTGAACCCTTCGTTTATATAACAGAAAAAGCTAATAAATTAAAATAAAAAAATCAGAGACCAAAAGAAGTTTCGACTTGTTCAACAATTGAGTTATTCAGAGTACGTTTGATTGAGAAGCTTCAACGACCGCAAGAAACAAATTTGCCCAAATTCATCAATTGGAGTTTTTTTTTTTTTTTTTTTAACAAATTGCTCTTTAGGGTTGTTGTTGTTTATCTGTCTGTAATCATCTTTCTATCTGCTGTCTGATACAGCTACTAATCTTATGCTGTCTTTTGGGTTTTCTTGCATAAAACAAAACCAAAACCTAGTTTGTTTTGACTTCATTTGAAGCAAACCTCTTTCTTTCTTCAGTGATGTGGGTTTTGGAGCTAGACTCGAATCAGTTCTGATCCAGTCGGATTTTGTATTTTTTTTTTGTTGTGGATTAAGTCATAAAGGAGGGATTTTTGGGGGTTGTGAGTGATATGAAGAAGCGGGAAATTTTGGGATTAGGGTTCGAGTGGCAGGTTATCTTCTGGTTATCGATTTGGTTGGCGATTTCGCAACAAGCGTTGGGATTGAGACCCATAAGGGAGAAAACTCGATCATGGAGTGACGAGGTTTGTGGTTTTTTTTTTTTTTTTTTTTTTCCGAAAGTTTCTTCTTTTATATGCTTTTGTTCGTAATTTTGATGTACCTGAATTTTCCAGCTAAGAATCCGACCAGTTTGCTGTCAAATGTGTTTTATTGATTTGTGATTGGCTGAAAGATAGATAACTGGTCACAAGTGATGACTTTTCTAAATCTGAGATTTTCTACTTTCTGAAGAAAATGGAGCTGATCAGAGTATAATGATATAGCGACAGTGACCATATTGAATGAAAATCTAGGAGTAAAGTAGCTCTGGTCTAAGGTTCATCTTTTGATTTGATTGAGCAAGCTGAATTTGTATATACTATCTAATTTAGCTTGATTGAGCTCATCGGTATCCAAGCTTTGTTCTGCCGGTGAATGCTATGACATTTACAGTTTGAGTTGTATTGCTAGTGAATTATAGCAAGACTGTGCAAATTGAACTCATTTACGTTAGACTGACCAGGCAATGTTTGGGTAATTGTTTAATATGTGAGGCCTTTGGGATCTTGCAGTGGCTCTTTGGTAGGAAACAAGAAGCTGAAGTAGGACCGTTTTCGGCATGGAATATAACAGGAACGTATAGAGGTTTGTGGCATGTCCTTCTTCATTTTTTTAAAGTCTTGCCACTTCAGGATTGTCTACGATGTTGTGGGTATATGTCTATTGCTTAATGTTTTAGACTACTTATCGAATGTAAAGTGGGTATTTTCAGGAACTTGGAAGTTTCTGAATTCTGTCAATAGTTCTTCGAAGTTTCAAGACTTTCAAAAAGAAAATGGTAATTCTGTGGTTGAGTTAGTGGCAGTTCCAACAAAGATAACCGGTGTGCATTATGTTCAGGTGAACAGTTCAGCTTCTAAACTCTGTATCATAGGATCGCCCTTGATCTTGTAGCAAGCAATATTTGAACTTCTAGCAACGTTAATGAAACAGGGTGTAGTTGTTTTCCATGACGTATTTGACAATGAACAAAATGTGGGTGGTGCCCAAATAAATCTGGAAGGTGTATATATATGGCCCTTTAGACAACTCCGCCTTGTGGCTAACAGGTACTAACTATTGATTTATTTAACTGCTTTTAAGATTTATTATTGAGTCTTAACTCCAAGGTCTGTACATCACTTGACCTAAACAGCGGCAAGGAGAGTGATTCAGGGCAGGAAGACAATAATCTTCTCTCAAATCCCTATCATCTGGTAGTCCTCAAGACTCTTGTTTCACCCACTTTAAGCAATGATAGTGCTTTCTTCTGCGGATGGCTTGTTTGATGTGTTAATATGTTCCAAGAGCTTACTAGTGTCAACTTTCTGTTGTTGTACAGCTTGGAATTTTCTCCTCTCAAGTGTTTCAAGAATCTCCAAGAGACAGATTACTGAAACGGAAACTTTGTAAGCAGTATCCTATCTTTTCCCGTATGGTTTACTTTTCAGCGGCTCTGATCTTCAATTCTCTTGTACTTTAGCTCCAGTAAATGAAATGGAGAAGCACTGTAACATCGAAATAGCAGCTCAAGTATCCCGTGTGGCTTCTAGTGAAAATAGTATGCATTCTAACTTTAAGGATCGAGGTGATCTTGGTGTATTATTTGTCTCCTTTGTCACATTTAATCGTACGTTGAAAGACACTTCCATATTTTGGTAGATGGAGACAAAAATTATTATTACATGGAAGGATTGATGGAAAGTCCTGGGGTAGGCGCTGACGGAGATTGTTTTTCCCCTTTGTTTCTGAATGCAACTTCTGTAAATGTCGAAGTCTACTATAACAAAGCTGTGAACTATACACTGATGGTCACTTTTGTATCCTTTACTCAAAAGTCGTTTACCCTTTCATAACAGAATGCCGAGCACTTGTGCAAATTTTGGCGTGTTCCTTAACACTCTATCACGTTTAGGTCTCTTTCCTCCAGGTTCTTTTGTTGATCCGGCAAATGGAGCACGGTAACACACAATCGGTAAGATACTAATGTAAACTCGATGGTCTGTACAGAAATGAATAAAAAATACTAACTTCCGGAAGTTTCTTGTATACAAGGGTGCTGCTAAGGTATCCATTGTAATGATTGGGCAACAAGCGATCATGGATGCTTATTTGTGCCTCTTACATCTCACAGCCGGTATATTAGTCGGTACGTATTTGGTTATAACTGTACTCGTTTAAGGATGCCATTTTTCTTATTCTTTTTAGTTAACTTATTACTTCTTTTTCATGTAACATGTTTGGCGTTCATTGCAGTGATATGTTTTATGCATTTGATAGCTTTTTTTACTCTGTAGTTCCCCTTCATTTTGATGGTATTCTTTGTTGGTTTTCATTGACCATTCGGACCCTCATCTATTAGAAAATCTAAACTGTCTCACTGTTAAACCTAGCTTACTACTTTTTCATGCAGAATCTCTGTTTAATGCATTTGCAACCGCTGCGTTCTTCAAATTCGTAGTCTTTTCGATTTTTGAGATGAGATATCTTCTGGCTATATGGAAAGCAACCCGTCCTTCCAATAGCGGAGAGGGTTGGGAAACAATGAGGCGAGAGCTTTCCTTTCTGTACAGCCGTTTCTGTGAGTACTTACTTCTTTGGTGTTTGGTTATTGATTAAAGCTTCAAACTCTTTCTTACAGCATTTTTATGATATGGGTCATATAACTGCTTGATTCTCTTCCCTCTTTTTAAAGCTCTGTTCCTTGAAACCAATACCAAGAAAATGGTTTGAATTTCTTCCAAACCCCCAACAGAGAAAATTGTAATTTCCCAATGAGAAAATTGCATATTAGGAAATATGAGTATATTCTGTCACTTTGGTATGCAAAAAATGGTATTGTTTATCTTCTCAAATTTTATAAGTTATGTCTGCTTGGCTACCCTCACTAGCTACTGTGTAAGTTTATTTTGAGTCTAACGACAATAACCTGCACTGAATCTTGAGCGCTAGACATTCTCACCATTTATGTGACTTCTGTTTTTCATTTAGCTGAAACATTGACGCAAGTTCAGATGCTAACACTGATGTTTCATCATTATCACAATATTAAACAGATGGGCTCCTTCTTGGAGGCATTTTGATAATGTACCAGTTCCACAACTACATGCAGCCGATTCTCCTTCTCATGTACTCATTTTGGATACCACAAATAGTCGCCAATGTCGTCCGGGATTCAAGAAAGCCTCTGCATCCGTATTATATCTTGGGCATGACAGCTACACGGTTAGCTATACCATTATATGTCTTTGGATGCCCACACAACTTCATGCGTGTAGAGCCCAACAAGGTCTGGTGTATATGCTTGTGCACATCCATGGGGTTGCAAGCTGTCATTCTTCTTCTTCAGCATTATTTTGGTTCACGCTGCTTTGTTCCCCGTCAGGTTAGTTTGTTCTTTTTCCATGTAAGCTACATATGAAACTTTATATCTAATAAAGCGACCCCTAAGTTTTCAGTTTGGGTTCGGTTTGGCTTTGGATATTTCAGGTCTCTTTCCCATTGCTAAGTTGTTTTGACTACCACTAATCTCTTTCTTCATCGTTTTGCCTGCACGCAGATGCTACCAGAGAAATACAACTACCACCGAAGATTTAATCGGGACGTAAGCCGCAACACTGATTGCGTTATCTGCATGACTGCTATTGATCTCAGACAGCATACCAGTGATTTCATGGTACAGCATTTTCTTTTGGCTTCTCTTAACTCATCTATTTCTCCCAATAGACAGAATAATGAGCGTGCTTGTTCTGAAAACAGATAACTCCATGTGAACATTTCTTTCATTCGGGATGCTTACAGAGATGGATGGATATAAAAATGGAGTGTCCAACTTGTCGGCGTTCTCTTCCTCCAGCATAGAGGATGTTTTCAATTTGTTAGGATGTACAGACTTCACTCAGTTTATTGCGGGTAACAACTCAAATCGAACTTCGAAACCTAAGTTTTTGTTAACTTTTTGTCCTTGGAAGTTTCTTTGCCTATTAGGTATATATAGATAGGGTATTACTTATTTGTTAAACATTCCTGAAGTGATTTTGTGAAAAAAACACGAAGTTAACTGCTGCAAAATTTGATTCTGAAACAGGTGGGGCTGGTTCTTTAATTTCAGGTCCTGGCAGAGGTTTAGAAGATTTTTAGATGAAAACAGAGCAAAGGTGGAATCTGTAACTGCGGCTAGATACCGCGGATAAACATTGTGTTCTGTATAAACTGTATAACTTTACAATCTTAGTGCATAGTCTTTCACCCCACAACCATATCTTTCACACATTTCTAGTTCTTTCATTTTCTTTTCATACATAACATCTTGTCATTGTGCCCATACGAGTGAATCCTTATGTGTCAGCTGGACCAGGAGCGATGGAAGGTCCTGCGGTAGCTGGAGCAACCAGAGGAGCCATGGCTGAGCATTTGTGGTCATAGCAGTCTATGGGCTCAAGCACAGCATCACAGACTTTTTGGCTCCGCTGAAGCGGTTTGTCAGGCAGACAGTTGTAGCGATCATCGATGGCTATTCCTCTGGAAGTCAGGTTTCTGCAGATACCTTCTTCTTCACTGAAATAGTTGTAAGAGAGGGTAACGTTCAGCAAGCTGGGCAAAACGCAGACTCCAAGAGGGACAGTGCCAGTGAACATGTTGTGTTCCAAATTCAGCTGCTCGAGATGGCCTAGCCCAGCGAGACTGTAAGGTACAGGACCAACAAAACTGTTGTAGCTCATGTCCAGGACTCTTAGCTTGTAGAGATACCCGACTTCGGGGGGTAGACACCCAGATAAGCTTGAGTTGACTAGGAGAAGCTCTTCCAAGGTATCTGCAAAGCGGGCTATGGTTGGAGGCAGACAACCGCTAAAATCATTGTTGGCAAAGACGACAACAGAGGCGGTTGTTCCTGTGAAATCTCTAGGGATAAGGCTTGTTAACCGGTTGTTGTTCACAAAAATGGCATCGAGGGGATTGCTGAAGAGTTTTGGGGGCAAGGGGCCTTCAAACTCATTGTAACGAAGGTCAAGGTACTTTAGAGAAGGGAGTGCAAGGACGACATCCGGAAAAGGACCTACAAAGCGGTTGTTGCTGAGGTCAAGCTCATAGAGTAACGATAGATTGGCCAACGAACGAGGAAGGATGCCACAGAAGCGATTGCTATTGAGATGGATGAGAGCGAGGTCAGAGAGAAGGCCAATGGCTTCAGGCAGGAAACCAGCGATGTCACCATGATTGAGATCGATTCCGGCAACAACTAGAGAGTTTGGATCGGAAGGAGATGGGGCGCAGAAGATGCCAGTGTAGCTGCAGACTGAGGGACCGACCCAATCTGCAGTTAAGTTCTTTGGATCAGAATAGATTACCTTCTTCCATGCGTGCACGGTACGCTTGCTGAAGATGCTGTTTAGGGTTTGCGGAGTGACTTGTATGGTGGTGAAGGCTATGCTTTGCGGTTGATACTAAAGAGACATGAAAAAGAAGAACTGAGATAAGGACAGGAAATGTTAGAGAGAGAGCCATTGAAAGACAAGTTATGGATCCTTTGTCTTAAGTGTGTGGATTTATATAGGGAAACAATTATCAGTTTTGGTCTTTGGACCAATGATTACAGAGGATGAATCAAGTGGTGGTATAAGATCAAGGAAAAGAACTCAACTCCTTACTTGTAGCTGTCTGGAGTGGTTTGAAGTGGGATCTGAGACTGACACCTTTGAAGACCAAATCTTAGTGTTGGACTTAGATCACTTATTCGCTTACAACCCAAGGAAACCCAATCTAATTATACAAACTTTAGCCTAACCATACATTTAAGTTCTTTAGATCTCTCAGCTTATGTTTACTTTGAACTGATAGTATTAACTAAAACTGTTTTGTGGTTTTCTTTGTATTTATTCTTTTGCCAAGAAAAGTCATAGAAGTAAAACAAAGGACAAAAGACACTGAATATTCTAAAAGCAACATTTATACGAACGGACACACTGCTTTATTCATTCACAGACCTCAAGGGCTATTCTTTCATCATCCTCGTCGTTTAGCCACCACCAGAGCCATACTTCTTGCCCAACACAATGAGCTGGAGCTTGTCATAGCCAGCGAGTACACCAGCGCCTGCAACGGCACGGAGGATGTTGGCACCTGCACCCTTGAAGAGTGACTTGGCCCCTTCATTCTTGACGATCTGAGAGAAGGCCTGAAGAGAGCTCTTGTACTTCACTGCCTCACCTGATGTCATCATCATTCTTCTGCGCACTGTGTCAATTGGGTAAGACGCCAGTCCAGCTCCAATGGTGATTCCCCATCCCAGCAAGAAACTCGCAAGGAAGCTATCCTGTACAGCTTAGAGCGATGAGTAAACAGTAACAGAGGACTCAATATGTTGAAGTGAGGAGATTTCTTTGTTTTGTACCTGGAGACCATCAACTAGAACCACAGGCTTCAAGGAATCATACAATCCAAAGTAAAGCCCACGGTAAACGACAATTCCAACACATGAGATGTTGAAACCACGGTAAAGCCCGACAATGCCATCAGAGGCTATAGTCTTCTTGTACACATCGACCATGCCATTAAACTGCCGCTGACCACCTTTCTTGGCCGCCTTCGCATCATTGGCCAAACGGGTACGAGCGTAATCCAAAGAGTACACAAAAAGCAGAGATGATGCACCAGCTGCACCACCAGACGCCAGGTTCCCAGCAAACCACTTCCAGTAGCCATCTTTTTCTTTCTTGAAGTTAAACAGCCTCTTAAAGTAATCTTTGAAAGCAAAGTTTAAAGCCTGAAAACAGAAATCTTGCTTAACATACCCATCTCAACGTCTATACAAATACCACGTCAAAGAAGAGAAAACTAACTTGAGTGGGGAAGTATCTGATAACATTGGCAGTGTTTCCTCTCCAAAGAGCAATCACTCCTTCGTCTTTGACTGTTCGGGCAAAACAATCACTGATTCCTTTATATGGCTCAGAGAGACGCCCAGCTTTGATCATTTCATCTTGATTCTGAATCAAGAGCTTCACACGCTCTATTGGCGCTGCTGCCGTCTTTGAAACAGCAGCTGAGACTCCTCCCATAAGGAAATCGATCAAGAAACCAGTACCAGTTTTCTCACTAGGAGCTTGAGCTAATACAGGAAATGAACCATGATGCGGTATAAGAGAAGAGCCAATGCCATGGCTAGTTGACTGCAATAGACTCTGCAAACCTCCATTGACATAAGCACCAGAGACACCGTAATCACGAGTTTGCTCAATCGGAGAAAGTCTATTAATCAAGTAAGATTGTCCATGTAGCTTCTGAAACACCGATGGATGCTTTGATCCATCCATTTTTGTTGTAAAACTCAGTAAAAGCTGATTCTGCAAAACAACAAAACTACAAATTAAACACCAAAAATTCTTGCTTTCTCGAAAATTTCTATACTTGCATGCTTAAAAAGAATGATCATAACCAAAACTGGAACAGAAACAGAGAAGGCATCATCAACACATTTCATAACATCATATTTAGCTTCGTTTAAAGCCACCATTTCAATCTATGAACTATAATACGACCTAATTCACAAATACCAGCACAAATTAAAACCTAGCTGCAGCTCAAATGAAACCCTCTGTTTCTAAAAGATCAAGCAACAAGTGGCATAGAGAAACCGAAGTCAAGAGAAGCAGAACAATAAAACAGAGAGAGCTTAGAGAAGCAGCATCAATGGTAAAGCTAGAACTTATGGAGTCCAGAGCTTACCGTAGATTTTTCGCCGGAGCGTTTACGAAAGAGAGAGCTCTGGACAAATGCGAGAAGAGTAGGGTTCTACATGATTCTGGTCCTAAAGTAAAAAGACGAAAAGGGGCACAAGATTATCTGAAATTACGAAAATGCTACTGGACTCCTTTGACCCGTGTCTTTCTGGGCCCAATTTTTAAAGGTCCCGAGTCTTGACGATTATTTTATATTATCTGTTTTTGTTTATCTAAACTTCTTTTAAATGGACCCAAAAATTAATTTCCTAGGAAGATAATACATTACCGTATATGTCACACCTAATGAAAATGAGAGACCTCTTTATCATCAATTCTTTTTTTTTTTTTTTTTTGGTAAGAGAATCTTTTTTTCTTCTTTAGACGAACAAAACTTTACAGATGCAAGGAAGGTGATGTGGTTCGAATTTAGTGATCCAAAAACTAGTTGGAGAAATGTTCTACATACCAAACTGTACGTTTTGAGAGTACCGGATTATAGGCAATGATATCGGCTCATGTATTAGATAACAAGACACATCACACATGTCATGCTATATAACTAAACCCGAAATTACATGCAATAACCTTAATATGTGTAAGTAAATTTTTCTAAGAGATTCAAGAAAACTCAAAGAGAACTCAGCTAGAATTCATCCGAGTAAGAAGGGAAGCATGATAATTACATGTGTTCATTAAACTAACCATAATAAAATAAAACTCCACCGTAGAAACAAATCGATTACTATATATATATAGAGAGAGAGAGATTTGTGATCGCACACGAATCATCGCACCTCTATAGTCAGAGCCGTATAAAAATAGATGAGGATACATCGTGCTATATTGGTCGTGACGTTCTTTGTCATGATGAAGACCGCAGTTTCCCAGGACAATGACCCGATGGCTCACTGCAGGGACGTGTTCGTGAGTTTCATGCCGTGCATGGGTTTCGTCGAGGGAATATTCCAACAACCTTCGCCAGATTGCTGCAGAGGCGTGACCCACTTGAACAACATCGTCAAGTTCACGTCTCCAGTTACTACTCTCTCTCAATTCTTAATTCTTCGAGTTCGGTTTCTTCTTTCACCATCAATTATATTAGTTACCCCTAACTACGCAGGGATCGAGGAATAGGCAGGACACTGGAGAAACAGAGAGAGTGTGTCTGTGCATTGAGATAATGGGAAATGCAAATCATCTTCCTTTTCTTCCCGCTGCCATTAATAACCTTCCTCGCCGTTGTTCTCTTACTCTCAGCTTTCCCATCTCCGTTGCTATGGACTGTTCTCAGTTATTCTCATTCTTCTCCCCATGGTTTTTTTGTTGCTTATTTTTAATCTGTTCCGATCTCCTAGAAAATTAAATGTTATCTTGTTACATTTTTCTTTGTGCATAAATTCTAATGAACTGGTATAATTTTTTCGTTACAGGCTCAGAAACACCAAGAATCCCGACGTTGAAAAATTAAATTAACTACCAGGGTATATATATGTATGAATGTTGGGATGGGAAGTCTTGTAACAGCTATATATATAGTTAAAAAAAGAAATGATATGTAGTCGAGTTTACTGTAAATGTAATAGTGACTAGTGATACAAAAGTACCTGGAGTTTTATGTAAGCGATTATATGGCTTGATTGGGTTCTATTATATTTCTTAGTTTTTACCATAACCATTATTATGGGAAGAAAAAAAAGTGAGTATTGTCCATTAAGAAACAAAACCATAAATATTGAAGCCGTAACGACAAAATTTTTGCTCTCGCGACATTTCTACACTTACATTGGCAATGGAATAGAAAAGTCATCATCGACACTTAAATATATCATAACGTAACGAGGCTTTTACAAATACATCCATTATTCACTTCAACATAGTAGATCAAAACCACCATATCAATCGATCAGCTAGAATACAATGTTGCATAAATTTCATGTACCAAGACCACCCATTTACCCCTCTTCACTTCACTCGCAACCCTCCATCTCTAAGGTCAAGCAGTGAGTAGCCCAGGAAAACTGAATTCACAAGACATACAACTATGTGAGAGCAAAATTAGGAGAAGCATTGATTGGTAACCTAGAATATGTGGGGTCGAAAGGAAATCCATGGGAGCCAGAGCCGACCAAAGAAATTTGGAGCCCCATACGAGCTTAAGGAAAAAAATAGCATCGTAGTTTTATTTTTTTGGTTTAAAAGCATCATATAAAACTCTTGATTGTTTTAGATATTTTTAAAGTAAAAACTTACTTTTTTTTTATCATTCCATTATATATAATAATTATATAAAATTATAGACACATACAATATATATATAACCAAAACAATTATGTGGGGCCCCTCTAAAAATGGGAGCCCCATTGCATTGTTTCATAAAAATTTGCTCCGGTCCGGCTCTGATGGGAGCTTACTAAAGCTTTGTGAACGTAAACGAGAGACCAAAAGTAGTAGGACTTTGCATTTTATCTAAATTTAATGGATGTAAAAGTAAATTGATTTTGTTTTTGGGTGCATAGAGATTTATTTCAGGGGTATAAATCGGATAATAATCCGAGATATCCTCAATATCCGTTTAGATAATTAAAAATTTGCAAATTTTTCTTAATTTGTTTTCAAAATTACTATGAATCACCCGTAACCTACACATGCTATCCAAATTATCCAATCTTTTTGAAAATATTTATATAATTCGGATAATAATTTCATTTTCAGACCTCACGAAGTTTAGAGACCTTTTAAGCATTATGTCCAACTACTTCAAATATATAAAGTGGGAAAAAATTATAAAGACTAATTAGGTCTAACAAATTAACCTATACAAATTGCATGTTTACTTAACGAAGGAAGCACGAGAGTTACATGTTTCTCTTTAAACAAACCAGCTTATTATTTGCTAAATACATATATAGATTTGTGATGAAACACGGATCATCTTTAATTACCTTGGCTAGTACTCGCCAATATCAGTTAGTTACCTACTAATTTAAGATGCATCGCGCTCTATTGCTTATGACACTAATCACGTCCGCGGTTTCCATGAGTGAAGAAGAGCATTGCAGGGACATGTTCGAGAGCTTTATTAAAGGAATATCTCTGGAACCTTCTCCACAGTATTGTAGAGGAGTGAGCCGCTTTAATAACGTCCTCAAGCTCACGTCTCCAATTACTGTAATTGATTCTTCACTCTCTCTTTTTTTTTGCTCTTTTTCGAAAAGCCGGTTCTTTAACCGTGATTAACCGGTGGGATTACTGAAAGTTACTATATGTAGTTGCAGGGATTGACGAAGAAAAAGAGGAAGGGAAAGATAGGGGGACGGTGTGATTGCCCGGAATTAGATGTAATTTGGAAAATAAGATGTAAACCTTGCGCACACAGCCCAGACTCGAATGTCACAGAATCTGAATCACAACATGTGTTGATGTGAGTGTTCAATAGATCCATGTGGGGATATGCATTGTAAGAAAGATGATCTATTAGTTTCTTTTTATCTTAAAGTTTTCTAGTGTTTCTTCACTTACGTTTATCTTAGCTTTCTAAGCTGTATAGATATTGCCATTTAATAAGAAATCTCACACATGCAAACGTTTTGAACGTAACAAATTTCGGTTCATATTCGAGCTTTTGATGATCTATTGTTTTATGTTTTAACCAAAGTTTAATTATCGCACTTGTTCCTCGATATTCACATGTTAATCTAGGCCTGGTAACTTAAACCGAACCGATTTGTCCGAACCGAACCGAACCGAAATTTGGACAAATCGGTTCGGTTTCTTGAATTTGAGTAAACCGATCGGAATGAGTTCGATTTAGGTTCGGTTAACCGAGATTTTCGGTTCGGTTCGCCTGAACCGAACGGTTAACCGGAGAACAAAAAACCCTAACCTAATAGTCTTATTAGCCATCAGATTATTTTCTCCTCTTCCTCAGCTTCTTCGATTACTCTTCAACTTCTTCTTCTTCTTCGATGCATCATCATCTTCTTATTCTTCTTCGATTCATGACTATCATCTTCTTCTTCTTCGATTCATAACCATCAATCCATCATCTTCTTCATCTTCTATTCATCATCCTTCATCATCATCATCTTCTTCTTCTTCACCATCATCTTCTTCTTCTTCTTCTTCTTCTTCTATATTGTGAGCTCCGCTTTCCAGATCTCGCCGCCACGGTCTTTGTAATTCAGATCTCGCCGCCACGGTCTTGGCGATTCAGATCTCGCCGCCACGGTCTGCGCCATTCACATCTCGTCTTCTTTCTCCAAGCCAAAAGACAAAAGCCTTTTTTTTTTGTTAACAGGCCCTTTTGTAGACAAAGCCCAGTTTTCAAAATTATTATGGCCCAAAAATACAAAACCGAAAAACCGAATCATAAAAACCGAATTAACCGGGTCCGAACCGAACCGAACCGAAATCGTAGTCGGTTAGTTTCGGAACAGCTTTCAAATTCCGAAAAACCCGAGAAACCGAGAAACCGAATCCGAAAAAACTGAACGGGTCGGATTCGCAGGCCTATGTTAATCTTTAAGTTATCTTAGTAACATAGAGAGGATGGGAAAAGCAGAGCATTTTCTTGTTTTTTTCTCCTCTTGGATTCCTCATACTCCCCTTTTTACCAAGGTCTCCGTTTAAACTAAAATAAATTAAAAGTCCACTTATTACTGCCAAACAGTGAGGTTCTCCTTTCCATAATTTAATGATAGAATAACTTTTGTCCTTCATTTACCTTTTTTTTTTTTCAATCAATGACGACTTGTACCTAGTACCTACCACCACCTCTCTCGAACGTTTCCATCATAGTATACAATTTCATTACATTAATTACTTGTTTTATGAACCAACTTGGTGTTTTAGTCGTCCAAATTGACAAAACTTGACTGGGAGATAAGAACACAATAATATGCCCATCCACAGAAGACAGTAAAAGCTTTTCAGACATTCTATATAAAAGATGTCAAAACATTTGGATGTTGTAAAAGATGATATTTGATCATTTGGTAAAAGATGAACACAACATAGAAAACAATGCAGTGTATACTGCGTTGGTGCAAAACGTCACTAATCGGAAGTTATGTAGTCTCTTGTTCTTGTAACGATTGTACAACTCTGGTTTAAACTTTACATAAATCTATAATATTTACAACCAAGTTGTGAGTTATTAATCTATAACTTTTTGACTAATACTGTATATTGATAACCATTATCACTTAGTCTATTTAATTTTTAATCCCAAAAACATAAAAACGTCTAATAAATCAATATTAAAGGGTGATAAAACTAATCACTAATAACTCTTCAATTCCTATTTTTATCAGTCACGAAACCTTGATTAGACAAATCACCAACTCTTTGACCCCAAGTATGTATGTGTCTGATTGTTAGTAAGATCTTTAATTATCCTCTAGTCTTGATGAGCAAATTGAATCAAATCTTGGGATAATTGGGGATTTGGAATAATGACTCCTCGATCTGAGTTTCCATCACTTTGAACTATATGATAATGTATTATTTTTCTAAAAGATGATTCTAATATTATGTGCTTGACGTAAAAATTCAATCTAAGATTTGGAAAAATTGGAGGCTTACTACAAAGGGGCGACCTGGAAGGAGCCAAGAAGACTCTCAGAAAGTGAATATATTGAATGAGCCGACAAGAATTTGTGGAGAGCAAGAAAATGAAAACAAAAGAATAGTGTAGTACTTGCTTCATTTAATTTATTAGGAACCAAAATGTACGCATAATCGCAACAAAATATAACATGTTAACACTTGTTGAATAACAGTGTGAAATCTCATTAATTAGTAAAGTGACTGTACAACAAGTATTTATACTTACATGAGATTAGTAACTAACATAAGCTAAAGCCTTTAGATCACGTTTTTGGCGGAAAAATGTAGAATCATATTTTTGGCGGGAAATGCGAAATTCCATTTCTAGCGGAAAATTTTACGGAATTGCATTGTTGGCGGGAAAATGTTGAATCACGTTTTGGCGGAAAAATTTATTTCATGGATTTAATAGTTAAATCATGTCTACATTGGTTTATTAAAATCAGTTTTGACATTTGATTTGATTATATTTGGTTTAGACATTTGATTTAGAATGTTTAATTTTTATTGGTTTGGTTATGAGTAATCCACTAATCCATTCTAACATAAACCATTTCAATCCAATTCATTAAACTCACTAATCCATTAAATCCATTAATCCATTAGTATCCAAATTTCTCATTCATTATATCCATGGATTGGATTGGTTTGGATTGATCCATTAACTTTTATCCATTTTGACACCCCTAGCTAAAGGAAACTTATATTAATCCTATATCTCTATAAAGGACATCTTCATTAAACAAAGATAAAATAAAGGACAGTTGGGAATATTGTTGTACACGATTTTCCAACAAAATTCCTAAGTTCTTGTTTTATGGTCAATTAGGTAGATGATGAAATTAAGAAAATGGTACTAGTGTGATTTTATTGCCTTTATATTTTTTATTGGTTCCAATAAAATGTTACGTGAAACATAAATTTATTTCACAGCATTAAATAGATGCTTATTTTGGGACATACTACTCCCTCCGTTTCAGTTTAGTTGTCGTTTTAGGATCTAAATTTTGTTTCATAATAGTTGTCGTTTTAGGTTTTCAATGCAAATGTTTGGTAAAAATTCTAGTTTTATTCATATTGTTTTAATGTTTTGGTCAATGAAATTTTTTATAAAATACATTAACAAAGGGTAAAACATAAAATTAATGTTTTTTTTAATCTGTGTGAAAAAATCTTAAACGACAACTAAAACGAAAGAGAGTATAATTTAGTACTAGTAAACAAAACTATAATAGTAGTATCAAGTATCAACGCAATTATTCTTGATTTTATGATAAAATAAATAAACAAAAGAAAGGGGAAGAAGAAAAGTCGTGAGAGAGAACGCGTTGGCAAAGGAGGACGCAGCCGATAAAATGTTACAGTCACCGAGCAGTTCACATTAACATCTTCTGGGAAAGTCAAAACCATTTATAAACCCTTCATCTTCTTCCTCTTCCTCTCTGTCTCTCTCCATAATTCTTGTCTGCGTCATCACACAGAGACAGAGGAATCGTCTCAAAGCTTTTTCTCACAAATGGCAGGCAGTAATATTCTCCATAAGATTAAGGTACTCTTTTTCTTCTTCTTTAAGTGTTAGATCTTCTTGATCTGATCTCGTTTGAGTTCATTTTTCTCTAGTTTGGACCTGGAATCAGTTTCTCTGTTGTTAGCTATTTCTATTATTAGCAAAAAGTTTGAAACTTTTTTGAGAATTAAAAATTAAAAAGTTTTAAGTGAGTGAGTTAAGAAGATATATAAATGCAGTTTCAAGGTTGATCATTTAGCTCTATCAAGAAAAAAAGGTTGATCCTTTAAAAATTAATGATTTTTGGCTGTTCCATCAAAAGTTTCACGAGCTCTTTCTTTGCTTTTCCTACACACGGGTATGAAGGAATCTGACGAAATTCTACATTCCCGTACGCTTTTACTGAAAAAAACTCAAACTTTTGAGGTGGGGTTGTCTGAAGAATCTGTGCATAGATCTCTGTTGTGCTTATGGTTTGTTCATGGGTGTGGTGATAAAGAATTTAGATTTAGATGACTCCTGGAAGACTTTAACTGACTTGGTGTGAAGAATCAATCCAGTATTTCTTGTTTCTTTGTGCTTTTAGTATTAATTGTACTGTTTTGCTGTGAATTAGTTGAAGGCTGGGTTCTGTGGATCCGCTCCTGACATGGGAAGAGGCAAAAGCAAGATGTGGAAGAACATCACCCACGGTTTTCACTGTGTGAAGGGCAAGTCCAGCCATCCGATGGAGGATTATGTAGTGTCTGAATTCAAGAAACTTGAAGGGCATGAATTGGGTTTGTTTGCTATCTTTGATGGTCACTTGGGTCATGATGTGGCTAAATACTTGCAGACTAATCTCTTTGACAACATTCTTAAAGAGGTAAATCTTTAATTTTGTCAAGAAATCTCTTTGGAGGCTAAAAGGCGAATCGTTTGTGAGTTATTCTGACTTATCCATTTGTGTTTTCTTAGAAGGATTTTTGGACTGACACAGAGAATGCTATAAGGAATGCATACAGATCAACAGATGCTGTCATATTGCAGCAGTCCCTTAAGCTTGGTAAAGGCGGATCAACCGCTGTAACGGGAATTTTGATCGACGGTCAAAAGCTAGTTGTTGCTAATGTTGGAGACTCCAGAGCAGTGATGTCTAAGAATGGTGTTGCGCATCAGCTCTCAGTCGATCATGAACCAAGCAAAGAGAAAAAAGAAATAGAGAGCCGAGGCGGCTTTGTATCCAATGTTCCTGGTAAAGCTACCTTTTTCGTTCTGCCTAGTCATGGTTTTGGTCTCCTTGGGTTAGTTGGTGTGAAATGATGTTAATTTACTATCCTAAAATGTTGCAGGGGATGTTCCACGAGTTGATGGACAGTTAGCGGTTGCGAGAGCATTTGGAGATAAGAGCTTAAAGATACATCTGAGCTCTGAACCGGACATAACACACCAGACAATTGATGATCACACTGAATTCATCCTTTTCGCCAGCGATGGTATTTGGAAGGCAAGTCTAATGACTCAGTATCTTGCTCTGATTCTAACCGTGGGTTAGCCAGTTTCTGGACCACTTCTTCTAACATGATGGTCAATGTTTATAACTGCAGGTATTATCGAACCAAGAAGCGGTTGATGCTATCAAGAGTATCAAAGATCCGCATGCAGCTGCACAGCACTTGATAGAGGAAGCTATATCTAGGAAGAGCAAAGACGACATCTCCTGTATCGTTGTAAAGTTCCACTAATCTTTTTTTTCAGAAAGCTTTTTATTTGTCTATAACTTACCATATCAAGTTTGCAAGATAGAGAAATATATGCTCAAGCTGTGTCTGTAAACCCCAGTAATGAGGTTTCCCAGAAGATGTAATATATTATGTTAGCTTGTTTTTTCTTCACAAATAAATAAAAATAACAAATCGCGACAGCCTTAAGATACAAAACAAAGATGTTCTTCGTAGTTCTTGTCATCCTCCTCTGCTCTGCAGATATAGAAAAACAAGAGAAAGTATGTTGTCAGCTTTAACATATACAAAAGCAAGCAAGCAAAAACTTTTGGTGGATCAAAGCAATGAAACTTACAAGCGCATGTGTGGTCTCTAGACATAGGAAAGCCAGAGCTAAAATGGCACTGGTCGGAAAGAGCCAAAACATCTGGCCTGAGTGGTTTGATGGCTGTGGTCAAAAACTCCATACATCGACAAAGCCTCCGCCTCTCCTTCGCATTCTTATGGCGGCTACTAAACCACCTGCAACACTCGGCGGTGGGCGGAGACTCCTGATGGACGAAGAACATCTTGCACTGTTCTACCATCACGTTCGCCACGTCTACACACTCCGGCGGCCAAGGACGGTACACTGCGTTGGCGGTTGTGACTGCAACAAGAAGACACGTCATTGCAAACGCTACTTTCATCATCATCCTAACCATGTAGCAACTTTTCTTGTTTTATTTTTGTGTTGGTCTTATATCTCGCTACCTAATAAACGTAATCGTGACACTATCTTAAATACTTTAAGAGAAAATTCAATTTAGTAACGCATGCGAGATTTAATGCTTTTGGCCGCGTGGAATTTAAAACAAAGAAACGGTGATTTAAAACGTTTCTCGTATATAAATGGACCATTGGCCCATGCTATAGTGTATGTGTGTCATGTGGTACAGTTGTGAACTGATAACAAAAAACAAAACGAAATCAACTTTTACTTTTTTACATTTGTTTTTGAAATGCATAAGACCATATCACAAACTTGAGCAATTGTGTTTTATGAGGAAAAAAAATACTTGAATATTTGTGTTGTTCTAAACTTCCGTTTCCAAGAGAATAAGAAAATTGTTTTTTTCAAAATTGTAAACCGAAGTTTATATTAGATTATTCAACTAAATTTAAGAGTATTTTAATTAGTATGTCAAACGATAACTAAAATTTTCAGAGTAAATCAAATTATTTTTTATTTGTTAATCGTGAGATCCCAAAAGCTTTCTAGATCTAAGGCCATCATCTTTATCGGTAAAAACGGCAGGAGTATCTCAAAATATTATATTTTAATAATTATCATATAATTTTATTATTTATTTAAATAATTATTCAGAAAGTAACTATTTAACATGTTAAAAATATGACATGTGTAAAGAACAGTTTCTCAGAATTTGTCTGCAAATAAACGTTTCTCACGAAACCCCTAATGAAGATGTTTTAAAGACTAGTGAAAAATCATTTGAGAAACCCCTAATGAAGATGCTTTAAAAACTAGTTCCACGAGGCCTTGCATCGGAATATATGTTCGAAAATATTTCAAATTTAATGTGCGGTAGGTGGTCAAAACGATTCGAACCCCAAACTCACTTACTTGAGAGTTATCATTGGGCCAATATAATGCACTAAGTTGAATAAATCAAAATATACAAAAAGATTCAGAATACGTTAGAACTTAGAAGTGAGAGAACTTCGGTGTTCCTCGTAACTTCAAATGCACCGACCATTGGGCGGATCTAGTTGTTTTTATCGTGGACATCAAAAAACCTTTTTTTGTTCTTAATCTCATCTTCATGTACTCCGCAATAATTAAAAAAGACCTCCTTTATAAAAAAATAAACAATAACTAAAAGACAACTATAATGAAACAGCTCGTGAATGCTTGAATGGCCCATTTCATGTACGTGTTTATCTCTTTATGTTTATATTACACATATAAACATAAATCATATTCTTATATATATGTAAATGATAATCTAATTTATGTTTCATTCTTCTATATATGATTCCACTTTCACAAAAGAAAAAACACACCAAGAGGAAGAATTGAAGTTCCCTCGGAGCGATGAGTCAACACATGAACCTTCTCCTTCCTTCATTTGAAACGGGCCAAGAAGAACACGATGAACGCAAGACGACGGAAAACGGAGGCATCTGTGGCGGTGTTTGGAGGTTCAGAGGCAACAAAGCGGCCAAGGAAGCAGCTAGTGTCTCAATGAAAGGTACCCTTGCTAGGTTATTTGACTGCTGCAGCAAAGACGTCAAAAAGACTATCTTGCCCTTGGGTCACGGCGACCCGTCCATCTACCATTGCTTCCAAACTTCCGTTGACGCTGAGGAAGCGGTGGTTGAATCCTTACGGTCTGGCGCCGCCAACTCTTACTCCCCGGGGGTCGGTATTTTACCAGCCAGAAGGTAATTAATTTGTTTCTAATTGTTTCACTAATATGTTTTCTCTTAAAGTTATCCAACTAATACTGTATATAACTATATATATTATATGACAAAGGTTATCTAAGTTCTTTATTACTCTATTAGGTGAATATGTATGTAGTTAGACGTAGCACTAGTTGAGATGTTACTGTTTATAACTAGTGTTTAAAAACGCGGTTAGCGCCTAAAGTTTTGAGATATTAAAATTTAGATGCTTTATATATGAGATTAAATTTGAAATAGTTTTAGTTTCATTTTCCAAAAATTTATATTATATTTACTATAACATGTGCAACTATGCTCATATTAATTTAGGGCGGTTGCAAATTATCTGAACCGGGACCTTCCACATAAGATGAAATCAGATGATATATTTATAACGGTGGGGTGTTGCCAAGGGATAGAGACAATGATCCAATCCCTCGCCGGACCAAAGGCCAATATCTTGCTCCCGACTCTAACCTATCCCCTCTACAACAGTCACTCAATCCATAGCCATGTTGAGATTCGCAAGTACGATCTCCTTCCTGATTTAGACTGGGAGATAGATCTTCAAGGCGTTGAGGCCATCGCAGATGAAAACACCATTGCTATGGTGATAATAAATCCTCATAACCCATGTGGAAATGTCTATACATATGAACATCTAAAGAAGGCACGTGATAGGTGAAAACTATCTAACTTATGATTTACTTTCTTTCTATGAACAAAAGTTTTGTTATGTTATAGGTGGCTGAGGTGGCGAGAAAGCTAGGAATAATGGTGATTTCTGATGAAGTTTATAACCAGACTATTTATGGAGAGAATAAATTTGTCCCGATGGGAATATTTTCATCCATTGCTCCTGTGGTTACACTCGGGTCTATATCCAAGGGATGGCTCGTTCCCGGCTGGCGAATAGGTTGGATCGCAATGAACGGTCCCGAAAACGTTTTCAAAACCACAGGGGTCAGTTTTTCAATCTGTCAATTATCACAAGTTATTAGAAGTAAACATCGTCCTCCGGACATGCATGTAGACGTGATGAGTATGTTTGAACATCGAACAATAATTTGTTGTCAATAGGTCGTTGAATCCATCAAGGAACATCTCGACATAAGTCCAGATCCATCAACAATTCTACAGGTTTGTCTTATGATTCTTAATGTTCTATGACACATGCATAGATGCAATGAGTTACGTGTATATATATGCAATAGCTAATATTGCCTTGTTTAATTGGAAGCTTGCACTTCCAATTTCCAAACATCTTGGAGAAGACGAAGAAAGATTTCTTGTAGATCTATATATATATATATATATATATATATATATATATATAAATATATAGCAAACCTTTTTTTCGGGACTGCTGACGTCAGCTTTCATAAAAAAAAGAATAAAAATCAAATCAACGGTTATTATTATTTTGTCTGTAAAAATAACTGTAAATGGATGGTCAAGATCAATTAGAGAAAAGACTCGATTTCCTATTTTTCATTTAGCGAAAAGGCATTTTCTGAAGAGTTGTGTTTCTTCGTTAACTTTTGCGTCTCTGCTAACATAAATCAGCGTAATAAAAAATAAATCAACTGTTCAGATCGAAAAAAATAAACTTCGGTCTCTTATCCTAATCCTTCGTCCCCAATGGTTGCGACTTTTACGTCTCACAACCCTACGTTTCTTCATATATATAGATTTCTTAAAACCGCTTTTTCAATTTTTTACCAACTTCTTCGTTTTACTCTCGATTTTACTTTGTTTTCATCAATTACTCACTTCTCTATGATTAAATGTATTTAACAGTTTTTGACCAAGTATATTTTACAACATACTCCCTCCGTTTCAGTTTAGTTGTCGTTTTAGGATTTAAAATTTGTTTCATAATAGTTGTCGTTTTAGGTTTTCAATGCAAATGTTTGGTGAAAATTTCAGTTTTATCCCTACTGTTTTATCCCAATGAAATTTTTTATAAAATATATTAATAAAGGGTAAAACAGAAAATTAAATATTTTTCTTAATTTGTGTGAAAAACCCTTAAACGACAACTAAAACGAAACGTATGAAATATTTGTTTTATTGGTTTCCAAGTTCTGTATCCCATAGCTTTACTCGGTCAAATGATGCACTGTTCCATTCAAACAACACTTATTAGATTATGAATGATATATGTTACAATGACATTTAATTTGTTTTTTAAGTATTCAATGTCATTAGAATATTTCCAGTATCGAAAGCGCAGATTCAAAGTCATTATAATAACCTTCCTATGTACAAAGTCTCTGTTCAGAGAACGGCGCAATACGTTGTTTTCATAAGACTAAAGACAAAAGAGAAATACCATAAAATCAAGCATCAACGAAGATAAGGTAGAAATACGTTTTTTTATCTATCGCTGTCACAGGTTGACCGTACTTCTATATTTTCTGTATGCTGAGTAATCCTTAATTTATTACTAGGATATTAAATCTGCGTAGATTTAATTCTTAGAATTTTCTTTTGAATGTTTGATTAGATGAAATTATTATTAAAAGTTGTAAAAAATATTTCTCACAAAAGTTTATACATCGGAAAAAATAAAAGCCGAAGAAACTAGCTTAGAAATTACCAAATCGAAAAAATACCCAGTAGGAGGATTATAAACAAATTTCCATTCTAAAACATGACTTAGCAATGTTAATTTATCAAAATTTTACTTTTCAGGGTCTATTTTCTAGTATAATTAATGAAAAAGATTAATTAGTCCGATCCTTCTTACGTGTATTCTGTTTCATGGGAATTCGAACGACGGAAATTTCACGTTAATCAACTTTTGGCATTTTTTTGGGGTCACGCACATCATTCAAAGTCTGTAATTCAAAGGTACAGAAAGTCTTCTTGAACATCTTCATTTATTAGTGAGTCTCTTAAATGAGGTTCTTAACTATATAATGTTACTTTAATTAATTTAGATTTTGAAAAGGAATTGAACTACTTGTAGTAACTAGTAAGCCAAGCCAAGTGTCACTAGAGTTTCTAATGGATTTTTAAAAGTCTCTCAAATAAAAAAAAAACATTTCATTTTCTATCTTTCCTTGTTATATTTCATTTTTTAAAAGTCTACTCTTAATTGTAGTATGCTAATATTGGCTCTTAGCATTAGTTTAATATTAAATTTGCAAAGTTTAGAGTTAAGAGAATGTTTATTCGTTGTAAATTTTTATGTGTTTCCAATGGTAGGTTCTTAACTTGTGGTTCTTAGAAAAAAAAAATATTAATTTAAAAATAAAATGAAATTAACAATTTTAGTTTTAAAAAACTTAATAATTGTTGCAAATGAAAATCGGTTACGGGTCTTTCGGGTAGAGGAGTTCAGGATCCAATAGGATAAAAAAAAAATCGGTCCGGTTTCCATTCGGGTCCTTTCGGATTCGGATCGGTTTGGGTATAGATTTTCAGAACTTCTAAATATCCGCTATATAAATGTTCAGGTAAATTGTCGGGTTTTTGGATAAATACTATACCCAATTGTTTGGGTAAATATTCGGGTTTTCGGTTAAAAATTCAAATTTCGAGTAAAATTTCGGGTTTTCGGGTTCATGTTCGGGTTTTCAAGTATATGAATTTAGGATTCAATAGGGTAAATCTAAATTTTCGGGTTAGGGTTAGGGTCGAATTTTTCGGATTTTCAAAAAGAAGAAGATAAAAAATGCTAATAACTGGTTATTTGGTTCTTATATAAAAGTTGGTTCTTAAGATTTAAAGTAATTATTCATTTAATTTTTATAAAACTTAATGCTAAAAACTTCTTAAGAACCCCCAATGGAGATCGTCTTAGAGCACCCTCAATGGGGGTTTCTAAACATAGGTTTTTTAAACAAAATCAAATTGTAAGTATAGATAAATTATATTTTTTAATTATGGATACCTTAAATTTGGAGAAACTTAGCCCAATTATTTATTAATTAATAAACATATTTTATTAAATAAAATACATAAATAATATACATATTTAAAGTATTCATCTAATATTTAAATAATATACATATTTTATTATTTATTAAAAATCATGTTTAGAAACCCATTGGAGTTGCTCTTATATTTTGTTTCATAATTCATCTTCTTCTATTATTACGGAAACTTCACGTTAACTTTTTAGTTTTTTTTTTTTTTGTTTTGGTCACGCACATCACGTATCATACTTTATTATTAATCTTATTCAAAGTCTGTAATTCAAAGGTAGAGAAAGTCTGCTACGTACTGCAAGTTTATACAATCTGACTGAACTTAGACAAAGTCTACGCCTGACAATTAGAATTTAATTTTTATCCAAAGAGTTCCGATTGTTTTACTTCTTCTTCTATAAATACCTTTGTTGGCCTCTTCATATAAACAAACATTTAGATTTCAAAATCTCTATAACATACTCCGAGCCAATTTATTAACAATGAACCACAACAGCAACCTCGTTCTTCCTGCCTATCAAACCGAGACGCAGACGCAAAATGAGACCGATATCAGCGTTTGGCGTTTCAGGGGCAGCGACACCGCAGCCAAAGCCTCCAGCGTCACTATGAGAGTCATCGTCTACAAGCTCTTCGATGAATGCAGCCTGGATGTGAAAAAGCCTCTTTTACCCCTTGCTCACGGTGACCCTTCTTTGTACCCTTGCTACCGCACCTCTATCCTCGTCGAGAACGCCGTCGTCGACGTTATCCGCTCCGGCAAAGGTAACTCTTATGGCCCCGCCGCCGGAATCCTCCCTGCCAGACAGTAATATTTTCTCTTCCTTTACTCTTAATTACTCTGTTCCACCTACTTCAACCATTCAGAAGCTAAAGTATTTTCATGGAATGTTTTGTTAATCAGGGCGGTTGCTGATTACGTGAACCGAGACTTGACGAACAAGGTAAAGCCTAATGACGTATTCATAACTGTCGGATGCAACCAAGGGATAGAAGTCGTGCTTCAATCGCTGGCTCGACCAAACGCTAACATCCTTCTCCCACGACCTAGTTACCCTCACTACGAGGCTCGTGCCGTCTACAGTGGGCTCGAGGTCCGCAAATTCGATCTCCTTCCGGAGAAAGAATGGGAGATTGATCTCCCAGGCATCGAAGCTATGGCAGATGAGAACACAGTTGCAATGGTTATCATAAACCCTAACAACCCCTGTGGAAATGTTTACTCTTACGATCATCTTAAGAAGGTCCTAATTCATAGTTATAGTTAGTTTTGACTCGCTAGAGACTCGAAAAATTGGTGCTGATGAATGAATACTTTATAGGTGGCGGAGACGGCTAAGAAGCTTGGAATAATGGTGATCACAGACGAAGTTTATTGCCAGACAATCTTCGGAGACAATCCTTTTGTTCCAATGGGAGAGTTTTCTTCGATAGCTCCGGTTATCACTTTGGGCGGTATATCAAAAGGATGGGTTGTTCCTGGTTGGAGAATTGGCTGGACCGTTTTGAATGACCCCAAAGGAATTTTGAAATCCACAGGGGTCTGTTTTTTTACCGATCATCATTCTAACTTGTGTTTTTGTAGCTTGTGTTACAAGTAATCACTCTGTTTTTTCCTTATTTCTTGTAACAGGTGGTACAGTCCATTCAACAGAATCTTGACATAACTCCAGATGCTACAACTATTGTTCAGGCTGCACTTCCTGAGATTCTAGGGAAAGCGAATAAAGAGATGTTTGCGAAGAAGAATTCGATATTGAAACAGAACGTGGAATTGGTCTGCGATAGGCTTAAGGACATTCCTTGCTTGGTTTGCAACAAGAAACCTGAGTCATGCACTTACTTATTGGTACAACAACCAACGTATCTTACACTCTTTCATGATTCTTGATCAATTTGGATGATTCTTAACAAAAAACAAATAAACTGCAGACGAAACTGAAGCTTCCATTGTTGGAGGACATAGAAGACGACATGGATTTCTGTATGAAGCTAGCCAAAGAAGAAAACCTCGTCCTTCTACCAGGTAATTACAATCAAATGCGAATACATAAAACGAATCTTGAAAATCGATTAGTTTCAAGTTCAAAGATTGAAACTTTTCTTGGTTTTGTAGGAGTGGCTTTGGGATTGAAGAACTGGATAAGGATAACAATTGGAGTAGAAGCTCAGATGCTGGAAGATGCACTTGAGAGGCTCAACGGCTTCTGCAAACGCCATCTCAAGAAAACAGAGTCTTCTTTTCAAGCTTTGAGCAATGGCAAAATCTAAACCACTCATCTATAGAGACTAAACAGTATACACAACCAAATAAAATCTGTAACTTTGTGGTGGAATAAACAGTAATCCTTTTGCTTAGTCATGTCTTTTACAATTAAGAAACTATATGTTTCTTAATCTAATTTCTTTGTTTGATTCAAAGTATAAAAATATCCAATGAATTCAAGACTTTAAATCTTTACCGTTAAAAGAGACGGACCCACTTTGCCGCCGTCAATATTCAAAAAAGCAAAAGATTTGTCTTTTTTTCTTTCTCCATCAACGGCTCTCTGATCCACAGTAGCCGGAAAAAAAAGAAGCAGAGAGCTCAAATTGTCGGAGAAATAAGAATCCCCAAATCACATCTTAAAGAACCCTAATAAATTCCCAGAGATTCCTCTCATTTAATCACTTCAGATTCGAAAAATCCTCTCTTTGTCCAAAACCCCTTTTTCAAACAATGGATACTACTACTACTACGCCTCCATCTCTCCGTTCGAACCCTAAATCCGCGTTGCGTCTCTCTCGAAACAACAACACTCTCGTCAAATCTCACATTCCATCTCTCGGTTTGGTTCTATCGTCTCCGAAGAACAACGGTACTCCTTACCCATCACCTGTTTCTCTCAATTCTCCATCTTCTCCTGTTACTCTTCGTGAAATCCTTCTTTTATCTCCTTCTCCTCTTCGTAAATCGAGAACCCGTTTGAGTAATCGGTTCGATATGGAAGCTGCCGAGGCTGCTGTGGCCGCACGACGGTGTAAGAAGAAAGGAGGGCAAAATGGTCTTTCGACTTGTGCCTCACCGTCGCCGAGAAATTTCCGGAGGTCGAGACTAAGGTCGGAGGATACAAAGGAAAATACGGAGCCAATTGTTGTCCTGACCGATGAAAAAAAACAAAAACCGAGGAAACAGAAGAAGACTGGTCGATCTAAGAAGGAGAAGCACAGTTCTGTTCCTCTGTTACCTTCTCCTAGTCCATCTTCAGATCAAAGTATGTCCTTTATTTATCTGCTTAATTCTCAAAGTGATTCTTTCTTCTATGATTGTTTGCTCAATAATTTGTGTGTAATCAGATGAAGATGTTTGTCAAAGTGATTTAGAGCGGATTAGAGAAAACATCAGCGATTTGATTATGTGGAAAGATGTTGCGAAATCAACACTTTGGTTTGGTTTTGGATGTATATGTTTCCTATCTTCTTGCTTTGCTGCTAAAGGATTTAACTTCAGGTAACTTTAGGTTTATCTTTCTAGCTTTAATCATTTTATCACATTCACGAGTTAATCATGAAACTTTGTTTGGTTTGAAGTGTTTTCTCAGCGATCTCCTATCTTGGGCTCTTGTTTCTTGGGGTATCGTTCTTGTCAAACACTCTTCGCCAAAGGTAAAAACTTTTAAGGTCCCAGTACATATAAAAATCAGCTTGTACTGAAGTTTTGATCCATTTGTTACCTTAAAGGGCAACCGAAGAAGCCCGGAGAGAGCTTAAATTGAGTGAAGAGGATGTATTACGGATAGCTAGACGGATGCTTCCCATCACCAATTTAGCGATATCAAAGACGAGCGAGCTTTTCTCTGGCGAACCAGCAATGACACTCAAAGTAGAATTTACAAAAATGACACCATTCTCATAAAACTTTTACCTCTGAATGTGGTTCCTTCTTATGCTGTTTTCACTTTGATTTCAGGTGGCACCCTTTGTTCTAATGGGAGCTGAGTATGGCTACCTCATAACATTGTGGAGGTTATGTGCATTTGGTATGATTATTGGAAAACTACATGTCAACAATACTCCAAATAAATCTAAACTGTGTTCTTTAGTTGTATCTAGTAGAATTGACACAGAGTATGCATTGTTTCTATAAACAGGTTTCTTCCTTAGCTTCACCATTCCAAAGCTATATTCATGTTATGCGAGTCAGATTAACCAAAAAGGTAAACTCTATTAACACTAAAAGCTCTTTGATGGTTCCAATGATTGACACTAAAGAATCATTGATCTTTGCTTATGTGTAGTTGAAAGTGCACAGAAGAGAATTGTTGAAGCTTGGGGAGTTTGCACACACAAGAAGTTTGTGGCTGGCTCTGCAATTACCGCATTCTGGAACCTCACTTCTCTCAAGACCCGTTTTATCGCAGTGTTTATCATTGTGGTAGTAATTAGATACAGACGTCAGAATCTACAGTTAGATTCCGAGGATGAGGTCGAGAAGCAACAAGAACAAACTCACCCGGAGCAACAAGAATCGCCGGCGGAAAAGTCACCTTCACCTTCACCATCACCGCCGCCGCCGCCACCGCGGTCAGCGGAAGAAGAGCAAGCGTTGGTGGTGGTTGCAGAAACCGAAGCACCAAAGAAGCTTTAGTCTAGTCACTAGTGTCTTTTCAGTTTCCACCTGTAATAAAATTTCACATTTACGTAATAAATAAATAGTGGTCATTATTATCAAATAAGAAATCGACACGTGGCAGGCTCATGAAACTGTGAAGCAGGTGATAAAAACTCTCGTCCATCATCGTCTTTTCTTTATAAACCCTAAATTCCCATTTCTCTTCCCAAAAGTTTCATCGATTCCACCAAATTAGGGCGAACGCGAAATCTGGGTTTTGTTATTTGAGCGATGGCGACGACTGGGACTGCTGCGGTTGCGACGGGAACGTCGACGGTGAAGAGAAAACCCGTGTTTGTGAAGGTGGAACAGCTAAAGCCTGGTACGACTGGTCACACTTTGACTGTTAAAGTCATTGAGGCTAATATCGTGGTTCCTGTTACCCGGAAGACTCGTCCGACGAGTTCTCTGAGTCGTCCTTCTCAGCCTAGTCGAATCGTTGAGTGTCTCATCGGTGACGAAACTGGGTGTATCCTCTTCACTGCTCGTAACGATCAAGGTTACTGTTTCTTTACTTTTCTCTTGCTCTCTGGATATAGAAATGGTGTCTTCGTAGTTTATTAGAGTGAAAAGTCTGATCCTTTGTTGTCCTCTCGTTTCTGTTTTGAGCAAATGGTAAATGTGTTTCTGCTAGTCCTATTAGGTAAATGATGTATCACTTATTATTGTGTGTGAAAATGGGAATCTGTTTATGTCAATTTCTGGAAAAAGATTTCAAAAGCTATTTTATGTGTCTGAAAATGTAAATGGAACTACTGTGAAAATCTGTTCAAGCCTGTTGTTTTCTCTGCATTTTTGCTGATTTAGTTATGTCTTTGTGAAATTGAAACTTGAAAGGCCTTGAAAGTCTGTAGTATCATTCCTTAAATTTGACTGGAATTGTATAATGTACTTTAGAAATGATGAAATTTGCTTGGTCAGATGTTGAGTTATGTTCAATTTGATGGTCTACATTATCCCAAAACTTTATAGGTTTTCCTGTAGAAATGTTAGTATTGTACCAGTTATCTTGCAATCGCTTTAGTGATTTGACTGATGATGGTACTGATTTTTTTTTGTGTGTGTATAGTTGATCTTATGAAGCCAGGGGCAACGGTGATACTGCGCAATTCAAGGATAGACATGTTCAAGGGTACAATGAGGCTAGGGGTTGATAAATGGGGACGCATCGAAGCCACTGAACCTGCGTCTTTCGCAGTCAAGGAGGATAACAATCTGTCTCTTGTTGAGTATGAACTGATCAATGTTGGTGATCAGTGATCTTTTTAGTCTGTTTATGGAAGTTAACCCCTGAGAGTGTTGGGTTCTGATTTTTCTACCGTGAAGGTCTTTGATTTAGATGATGAAGATTGTATGACTGGTCCAGAGTTGCTTGTAGGAATGCTTTTTTTTTTACCCTAAAATATCCGGTCATGATCTTGCTCTGGAGAACTATTGAGTATGCGAGTAATGAGATTGTTCCTTTCAATTTGTCTTGATGTAAGTTAAAGACCATTGAGAGCTTGTTCACTATCTAATACAGTAAAATAAGTTTTCATTCTTAAACTTTTGGGTGAACGACCTGTGTCCTCCAAGTAAGTTTCATATAGTACCATAACAACACAGATTTCAGGTCTCGTCTCCAGTCCACACAAAACGAAAGTTAAACTCCAGTATTCCCCTAAATTGAAAGTTCTAGACCGCAGTCTCCAAAATTTTAAATTTCGTGGTTTATCTTCGGTTTATTGTGCCAAACCCGATGCCAAACCAAAACCCAGAATAATAAACCGATTTTGAACCCGATTCGGGTTTTAATTGGAATAATAACTCGAATCGTGATCCCGAAACCCATGAATCCAACTGCATCCCAAAATTCAATCAATTCATTAGATCCCGAAACCCATGAATCCAACTGCATCCCAAAATTCTTCATCATCAACGCCATCATCGGAACTTGACTCTCTTCTTCTTTCCTCCTTGTTCCAAATCAAGTCCCCACGAATCGGGTTACATGTTCACAGAAGAACTCCGACAGAGTTCCTTTGCCCCATCACCGGATTCTTGATGTCAGACCCAGTCGTTGTCGCTTCAGGTCAAACATTTGAACGTATCTCCGTCCAAGTTTGTCGGAATCTTGGGTTTGCTCCGAAGCTTCACGACGGACCTCAACCTGATTTATCCACTGTAATCCCAAATCTCGCCATGAAATCAACAATTCTCAGCTGGTGCGATAGAAACAAAATGGAACATCCTCGTCCTCCTGATTACGCTTACGTTGAAGGTGGTGTGGTTCGTACCCGTATGAATTCGATTCCTCCGGGTACGGGTCATCGGATCGCTAAATCGGAAATCTTACCTCCGGTGGCTGAGAATTCAAATTCGAATTCGGATTCAGATTATGAATCTGTAATGGGAGCGATTCGATCTCGTTCAAGAACTTCAATATCGTCAACCACTTCTCTTCCACTTTACCAAACCCGACCCGTTAATCACTCGACCCGGATCCAAGACTCATTCTCTACATCGGATTATTCATCTTTTCCTCCGATGTCACCGGAAGAAGAAGAGATCTACAACAAATTAAGCAGCGTAGACACAATCGATCACGAGCAAGGTCTGATTCAGCTAAGGAAGACGACGAGATCAAACGAGGGCACGAGAATCTCTCTTTGCACTGATCGGATTCTCTCGTTACTCCGATCTCTGATCGTTTCACGGTACAACATCGTGCAAACAAACGCCGCCGCATCGATCGTTAATCTCTCGTTAGAGAAACCTAACAAATTGAAAATCGTACGGTCAGGATTCGTTCCTTTATTGATCGATGTTTTGAAATCGAGATCAACGGAGGCGCAAGAACATGTAATCGGAGCTTTGTTTAGTTTAATTGGAATAATAACTCGAATCGGGTTCAAAATCGGTTTATTATTCTGGGTTTTGGTTTGGCATGGGGTTTGGCACAGTAAATCGAAGATAAACCACGAAATTTGAAATTTTGGAGACTGCGGTCTAGAACTTTCAATTTAGGGGAAAACTGGAGTTTAACTTTCGTTTTGTGTGGACTAGAGACAAGACCCGAAATTTGTGTTGTTATGGTACTATATGAAACTTACTGGGGGGGGGACACATGTCGTTCACCCTAAACTTTTCTTATATCTTTGTCTTTTGGCATCTCATATTACTTGACGTATATCACAATTGTACACTCTCGGTTAAAAGTTAAAACTCTTTACAGAGGCAGTTATACCAAACATTGTATCTCATCTTGGTTTATTGGCATTGTTTAGACAAACTGGAAGTACATAAAAATTCATCTACGGGTCGTAGAACCATCGGCGAGTTAAGCAGATATAATTTCATACTGAATTAATCTTTGGAATCAAAATATTACTTAGATCAGCTTCATAACACCCAAAAGTAATTCATGAACACAATGAAATGTAAAGAGAAAAACCGAAATGGGTATAACCCGAAAGAGGCTTACAACACAGCAAAAATGTTATGATTCCTAATCTTACCCTCACTATACCAAAACAGTCCCCACAAAGTATCATCATCCTTGATAGAAACAAACGGAGAAAGAGTAAACTCACTCGACTTCTTTGATGATCTTTCTTTTGCGCAGAGGTTTTGTGACCACTGTTCCTGGAGCACTGTGAGCTTTCCTTCGAGCTTCTTTTCTTCTCTTCGAATCGTTCACGGTTCGGATGATCGCCATTGCTTTGTATATTGGTTTTGGCAAGTGCCTGTGTCTATATTTCACAATAACCAAAACGTTTCCATGTTACTATAGTTATCTTTTGACAATCTCCAAAGTTAGAAGCATGGGATAAAACCACAGTTTTCATTGGTCATTTACCTCACAATGCGCTTAACCTCAGGAAGATGCTTGTACCGGTTCTTCACAGCCTCGTTGTACTCATGCTTCTTCTGTTCCCTTGGAAGAATCTGCGGCACAACACACCAATCAACATTGAGAATTCACCGTTCCAAGTTAAAAACTTCTTAAGAAAGCATGTACAAGTAATATCTCATAATCATATACACAATTGGATCAATGGCTAAGCCTGTGGTAACTTTTTTTCGGTTTTTATTTTGTATAAATCAATCTAATGCTAGTGTAACAAGAAAATTCACAGAATCTTACAACTCCCAATTGCTCTGATGCTTTTGCCTTCCATAGCCTGAGATTGGTGTCATCACTGCCCGATATTACATATGTAGCATCACAGCTATACTTGACACAGAATACTCTACAAGAAGAAAAAAAATTAGAAATTGCTTAGACTAAATCAAATTACCAAGGTGGGACACCAGAACATTTGAACTTCCAATATATACAGAGTTTTTCAGTAGAATGTACCTCTGCATCCTCTTTGTATGGTAGATTTCCCTGCTGTGACCTCCATTGTATGGGAAGATTCTAACAGATCGATCATAAGAACCCGTAACAAATTCACGACCAGTTGGTGAAAAGTCAATATCCATCCTGTAAAATGATGAAATTAGATAAATCATAATGCATTAGGATAATATCTTGTTGAATATTATAGCTGATACTTGGGATTTATCATTCTTCATTCTTACACTGCAGAAACATGATCTTTATGCACGCACTTGGCTTCGTCCAACTTTCTACCATCAAAGCTATAGCAACTTCCATCTTCATTAGCCTATTCAGTTTCACCATGTGATAAAATTAGCACATAAGCAAAAGATAAACGCTGATTTAACATAGCCCATCACAGAAAATTCCACTTTATGATTATCACTTACAGCTGTCAGGTTCATAGGCTCCATGGGGTTCCATGCAATTGAATTTGTTTTGGTCTGTCGAAAGAAAATCAATTCACAGACAATGTTTTAACTTGAAGAGTAAAAATGACTTCAAATGACGAGAATGAGTGAACAAGTTTCAACTATACCATCATAATAATTTTTCTAGCCGCAGAAGACATACGGAGATCATATATGGTTATGCTGCGGTCGCTGGAAGAAGAAGAATCCTCTTATAGTGTTAGAAAAGGGTCTGGAAGATCTAGCACAGATCATCACATGACATAAACAAGTGTAAAGTAGAAAGCCTATACCTAGCAGATGTAGCTAATATATCAGGCTCTCCAGGATTAAACCGAACAGATATTACAGAGTCAGTTCCCCACTGGAAACTCTGAACTGGCTGAGACCTAATTACAAAAAGTAAAACCATAAGCACTGCTTACATTATAATAAAACAAACACCAGAGATTTCTTTTAGCAGGAGTCTGAGTACCTATTATGATTCCATATATCAAGTTGAGCTCCGGCCGTAGCAAAAAGGTCACCTTCAAACTGATGATCAACAGCCCTAGAAATGAAAGAAAGGTTAGTAGCTCAAGTTTTTAGGACTAATAGAATCATGAGAAATTGAATAAAGAGTGTACGAAGTCTACCAGAAAGCATTCTTCCAGACATAAGTTGCAGAAGGCTGAAAAAAATAGTTGTAATAAGCTTGTAGTTATATACCAGCAAGAGCAAGCTCTTGATTATACAATATTACAAAAAAAAAAGAATATTAAAAGAACTACCTCAATGGAATTCTCAGATGAAATGGTAGAATCTTCTAGGGTAGGACGAGGAACATTCCACAAACGAACACTGCACAAATCCATTCACCTTAGTTTGACAGCCTAAAATCTAATCAACAACTGGAAGATTTAAAAACGATAGATTCTTAGAATATCTTACGTGCAATCAGTTCCGCATGAAACCAATACATTGCCATCGGTTGATGCTGTAAGACCACGCACAGCACCTTGATGACCAGGGAATTGGCAAACAGTACGCCTGCTTGTTTCAAGTTCCAGAATTCATTTACCAAAAGCACAGCACATAATAATACAGGAAAAAACCTAAATGAAGTTCAAATTAACCTTGAAGAGATATCCCAAAGGCGAATATCTGAAGAGAAGAAAAAGAAACATAGTATCACTTTCAGCAAGATCAATGGACAAAACAACCAGCTTACATAAATTGCTATTGCCAATGGTAGGAAACTTAAAATAACCAAACTTCTGAGCAACGACTATTCCATATAACCGAACCTCCGAACTTTTGGTTCCTTTTTCATATATATATCATCATCAAATGTGCCATTAGATAAATCACCTCCATCCATAGAAGCAGAGAAGATTCCTTTGAGGTAATTTGGGTTCTTCGCCATACATGAGACTCCATCACGATGCCCATCCATTGCTCCAACAAAGGGCCTTGCAAATATCTACAGAACAGCAACAACAAAAACAGAAGCAAATTTGAGGATTTTTCCATAACTAAACAACACAGAGAAAAATCAAAATTGAAACTCAAGAGCAGATACCTTTTCTAATTTAGCAGCTGTAAGAGCTCTCTGGTATTCCACAGCCTTCTCCATAGGTCGAAGACTTGGGTCGAAGTTGTGAAAGACCCTCTTGAATCATCACCCAAAGTTTTCACAGAAATTTGTTAAGTTATTGAGAGTCAAAAGCTAATTTTGTGATATGGGAACGAATTGGATATGCACAAATTTACCTGAAGATCCTGACTTCTTTCTCGAGTGTATTCATCAACCGATCTTGATAACGTCTTAATCTTCATTGCTTACGACTACGAAAAGGTCACGACGAATACTAATGGGGAAGAGAGAGACAGAGAGATACAGGGTCAAGTGAGATAGCTTCTCCAGACAGAAAAACCCTAGAGGGGAGAGGTTTTGGGAGGTGACGAAGCTCTGATGGGCCTAACTTACAAATATTTAGTCCTTAATGGGCTTTTTATATTTTATTATGATTGGCCCAAAGATCTTGAGAAACCACCTATTGCAATAACTTACTCTTTTTTGGGCAAAGCAATAACTTACTCTAGTTTTAGTTTTTTTTTTTTTTTTTTTTTTTTTTCTGTTACAATTGGTATACTAATTTATTAGATAGAAAATAATTGATTTTAAATCTGTTTTGATCCGATCCGAATATATTATTGTAAATAAAACACTAAAGAATTTTCTGGTTACCTAAAATGCATGAGCTTTGAATATATCATTACCGTCAGACCTTTACTAGTTGGTTAAGTAACAATCAGAGCCGGCTCTACCCATGTGCGGTGCTCATGCATATAGTCCATCTAATTTTGTCTTTTTTTTTTCTAAACTAAATTTATTAAAATTAAGGTCCAAAATTTTTTTTTATAAAAATACATAAAAAATTAGAATCAATTATTTTTTTTAGCTTAGGGTCCTTAATGTTTTTGAGCCGGCCTTAGTAACAACACAAGACTATCCCTCAAATTTGGACAAGTCAAAAGTCTCGTGTTTTGAATTTCAAGGTTTCGTAAACTTTAAAGTCTTTTAAAATATAGTTGAATTCAAAGAACAGTACTCATATGCTTGTATTCATTTTCTACTAACAACAAACCCACACAAACCACTCGAGCTTTTCGAGTATTTAAACAGGAAAAATCCACCTACCAAACACTTACTTTGTAATTCTTTAATTATTTTTATACCTACTAACGCAGTTAATACGTAATTTTTTATCTTACATTTCAACCTTTATAATTACATTAACTCCTATTATATGTATTTTTTTCCACTCAAACTAAACTGACAAGAGAATTATTTAGGTGAAACTGTGAATTGGTCCTCCTGCGGTACTTTTATTAGTCAATGGTGACTTACGCGTTAAGTTTCAAATTTCATACAAGACTTTTCAGAACAAAATTATGCTTATGTTTTAAAAAAAAAAAAAATTCGTGATATATTGCAGAATTCTTGAAATATTTCATTGCTATGTGATTTGTTATAATATAGAAATAGCTTGAGTAAAAATTGTATCTTTAAAAGATACAATTACTAACAGATCTAACTTCATCATTGGTAACCGCATAAACATCTTGATAAAATTGCATCAATTAGTTTTTCGAATAGTAGCCGCGTAAACAAAAACTCTTGTTTTTTTAAAATATAACCTCGTTAAGAAAATTCTCAATGATTATTTTTCACCTGTGAAACTCCACACAGTGAGGACAAAATGGGTATAAATATAATTTCGCATTCGCATATCGTAAAGTGTCATAGAGCGACCCGTTCAAGTCGTAATACTTGGTCAACACGCAAAAGCGTGAGCTAGCGCCGGTAAAATCCGACCTAAGTGATGAGCTCTCAAGTCATGACCGCTTCCTCGTTAAATAACTCTATATATATATGCACTCCCTCTCATTTATTTGATTTCCCACATAACCATATCTTCTAATTTTCTTTGATATCAAACAAAAAAAACTTTTTTTTGTACAACATAAAGAAGAGAAAGTAAAATACGATGAGAAGAGTTAGTTGGTCTACTGTTTTGATTGTGGTTGTGATGGTGGCGTTGTTTTTCGTAGAACACGTAGTGGTTCCGGCTGCGGCGGGGAGGGTTCTTACGGAAAAATCGGGAGATGGAAGTGAGACGATGACGGTGGAGAAGATGAAGTCGACGGTGGATTCTTGGTTTCAGCGTTTGGCGTCGGGTCCGAGTCCAAGAGGCCGCGGCCATTGAATTTCCCTTTCTTTTTCTATTCTTCTGGCCTGAGGAGATTAATTAATCTCGATATACCCATGTGTATACCACAACAAACGGTGAAAATTGTATTCCATTCATTTGTTTCATTATTTTTTTTTTCTTTAGACAAAGTTCATATATCTAGTGACAGAAACTAAAACCCTCAATATACAATTATACATGTACATGATTATACTTTTGTTGGTTGCTAATTTTAATAAGATTTCATACTTCTGGTTTATTTTGTGGTAGTTTGAGAACGAAATTATTCAAATAAAAAAAAAAGGACAGAGCGGGGAAACGAGTGAGTCGTGCACGCCATATATGTAAATATGTAGCCGGCTGGGTCACCTCATAACATTTTATATTATTACATAGTTTTGGCCAAATCCGGAAGACAACGAGAGGAGCCTTCGCATGTCACAAATTGAAAGGTTGGAGTGCGTACAAAGCATGAATTTTGAAGTTCACAGGGCAGCAAACCAAAAGAGCCCATAGTCGATAAGCCAAGCTTATAGACATAGAACGAGTTGATTTCAAGGAGTAGCAGATTAAAAGAATTGGATTTGGAAACTTATCCAGCTTTTAGAATGATATTGAAGTGCACAAGAAGCTCCTACATATTGCAATGAAACGACTTTTTCTTAAAAAGGAGAGATTTGTGAACCATTTCCTGGGAACAGACGCGAATAAAACTAAGAAAAATTTGACTGAATGTGCACATAAAACCATAGTGAAAGTATTCAAAGGCTCTATCTCTTTCTTCAAATGCTTGCAACTTCGGATTCACTCCTCTCTGTAGTCTGGATTTTCCTTCAATATGACGAAACCTTCTAATATGGGCGACAACGGAATGTACCTGTGACCAGTTTTTTTTAAGATTCCAATATGAAAAACAGAGTTTCATTTCGAGTAGGATAATGTAACAAGGGGTTTAGAGGACCAACATACTTCTCGGTTGCGAGTTCGGCTCTCTCCCCAGCAGCAAGGAGAACAGGTGTTGAGTGCGTTTGAAACCCAGTGATTGTCTTGGGTCGACCTGCCTGTCCAACCACATCAACCGCTTGTCCTACCCGCACTGGCACCGAGATGGGCTTCAGGTTCTCATCCACCGTCAGCATCATCCTCGGCTACACACTCAAACCGCATTGTGTTAGTAGATAAACATCGCTTAGTCCATTACAAAAAGTCATCAGACAGGAAATTGCACTCACCTGCATCGCCAAAACAAGGAAGTAGAGCACATAGTGGTATTTACCCAGTATAATGGATCTCATGTCAAGGCATGCATGCAACAATGTCACTATACCAGCAAGTGCGGTTCTGGGTACAAAACACAACACCCATGAGGATTCACAAGGTGGAGCGTTGAAAGCCAAGTATACATAAAATTTATGTTATAACTTACGGCGATAGCAAGAGCCGTTCGGAGTGGAAAGGATTGAGAGTTAAGAGACCCTTTCCCATATGCACAAACCCTTGAGCGATTCGCACCTGCATTATGAGTAAAGACAATGATAACAAGCCTATACTAAGTAGAAACTGTGTTTATTGCATGAAAACCAAAAAGAAATAATAAAACGTTACACAGAAGAGAAGGCTGGCATCCTTGTAATAATAGCTGGAGAGATTTCTAAGCATCCCAGCTATCCTTGCATTGTTGGTTCCAGCGCCTATCAATCCAAGGGAGATAATTGCTGCCTGTAGGAATCACATGAAACATCAGTCCAACGCTGCATAGCAAGTCAATGAAATTACTACTCTACCTCAACCATGAGTGGCGAAAAGATAACTCACCATGGCAACTTCTGAATCTGTGTCATGGCTTAGCCTGCTCAAAGTGTCCATAACAGTCACCTGGAATTATAAAAAAATTTAGAGAGTAACAACAGTATTCTTCAGCAGAAAAGTAACTGCACGCCGCCAAAAACTAGATATACAGAAATAATATTCACCTTTGGGTTTGATATACATAGGAGACCAAGAGCCAAAGGTACTGCACGCCGAATGTTCGGTTCTCCATACTGTAGCACGCGCTCCAAAGAACGGATCTCCATATCCAGACCCAATTCCTCAGACATAGCAACCATAGCTAATCCAATCACAGCTGGACCCTGGTGGATATCACCTTTCTCCAGATGCTCTCCACACTGAGCCAGAAGGTCTTGGACCTGAATAATTTGAAGAGTCAGCGACTAAACTAGAAAGAGGTGAATAATCTAATTCAACCACTAGCACACTTGATCAGATACCTTAAGGACATTCCCGGTTCCAGCATATGCACATGAAAGAAGTGTCATATCACAATACTTTCTGATTTTCTCATTGAACGTCTTTGAAACTTCCGCAGTAGCCTCCACACTTTCCTGCTCGATATTGGCACAAGTTAGCACTAATAAGCGGGGGGAAATAACGATCAGGTACACAAACAAGAAAATAATCAAGTACGACTTGCTGCCCACCTGTTTACCAAGGTACAAAAGTCCAAGTCCAAGAGGCAAGAATCGAGTAAGGGCTTCACCCAGTTCTGCCTCGCTCCGATCCATCAAAGCAAATATAATAGATTGCGCAACCTCTTCGTTACATGAACCAACGTAAATCATCCCCAAACTAAGTGCAGCAAATGCAATCACATCGAGAGGTGCTTTTGCATCATTTAGTATTGGAGACAAACGGCTTCTTATCTATCCAACAAGTGAGTATGTTATTGTCTCGTCAACAGAACATTCAACTTAGCTTATAGGTAAGAAGATAGCATGTATTCACCTGATCTTTTTGGGAACCCGCACATGCAATCCCGAGACCCATAATAGCACCAATTTGGACAGATGAATCCTCATTGTCAATATAGTCTGCGAGAAGGGCGAATGCCTGAGAAAGAGAGCTGGGTGAGAATGAATGGCGAAAAATAGTGAACACAGAGGTTCACATCTCAAAAAAATAAATCAACTCACAGGGTCACAATCATCCTTAATGCCACAATTAACAATCCCAACTCCCAGCAGAGCTCCAGCAATGACGGGATTATCACTACTATGGAAATATTTGTCGAGTTGAGCTAGTCCGGTGTTCACATCCCACAATTGAATCATACCCTATATATAGTTGTTACAACAAGGTCGTGTTACAAATTTTACTTCCAAAAATATGAACATAGCTAATCAATTTATCAAATAAGAAGAGGCATACCAAACTAGCAGCTGCACTGGTCTTGCCATGTTCTTTATTTTTGAAGAGCCAGTTTCCAGCTGATCCACTGGTTGAGTCAGATGGCACTGTCATTAATTTGTCCTGCAAGAAGGAAATATATGAAAAGGGCAGCCCTCAAAATTCTTCTTATTTTGCAAATCATATTGGAAATATACCTGGCCGAATCCAGCATTTACAAATGCATTCACAAAAGTCGCAGACAGATTCTGTCTAGCTGAATCCACACTTGCACCAGAGCTAACCCTGCCATCAAGCAAGTGAGCCTGCAAAATTTCAGTGGAAAGGTAAATGCACTGACATAAACATATCCTGTAACTAAATAAACTAGTAACAGGAATAATATTCAATTAAACTGATGTACCTTGTAGATGTCTTCAGGCGTCTTGGCCTCCATGACCTCAATATCCCTAGCAAGTGTCAGATATCCTTCACTCAGCTTCGTGTTGTTAACAATATCCTGTAGGGCTTCTCTGTCCTGCTCATTTGCAACCATATCCTGGTCAAGCACAAAGGTGATACCCTGCACGGAGAAATAACAAGAGAAAAGGAAATATAAGAAAATAAATAATTAGGTACTGCACCTTTATGCTGATTTAAATTATTAGGAACTTACTTGACGTGCAATCATGTAGCAGAACTGTTTTTTTTTTAGCAGATCGGTACATGAGGTAAAAACTTGCTTCACATACTGGAAAAAGGAAAAATATATATCATAAGAAAGATACATATAGAGGAGAGCTTAACCCAGCTGCTCCCATGTTGCAGAAAGAGGATATTGTTTTATATGAAGATTAGAACTCAGACCTGCATGTTGTCAAGAAATAATGCAATTTGCAGCGCGTTTGGATATTCTGCAAACTTAATGTAGATCATGTAAGCAATATCTAGAACCAACATGTCATCTGGTCCTGGAAGATACCTGAACGAAAACATACAATATCAACGGGACTGATCATGGGCAAGATAACCAAGCAAAGCTCATGAGAGCTTGTCTCATATGAAAATAACAGTTATGAGTGATCTAAAACCATAATTAAAGGTGAAACGTGAAACGTGAAACGCCAGTCAAATGAATAAGCTCAACGTATTGAAATTACTTTGCTGCACTCGTGAGATAGTTGCATGTCCTCCTGAAATTTGTGCTGTCAACATGCTCAAGTAAGAGATCAAGATCCTCAACATCCATTAAAAGGTCAACAGCTTCGGTTTCGGCATTATGCTGCAAAGAACAAAATGAAATCCTTCAAAGATGGGAAAAAACAAGAGGTGCAAGTTTCAAGCCTACCAATGAAAGTTTTATTAATTTATATATACAATGGAACCCTTGTTATTACAAGAAAAGTAAACATGACAAGGATCTCACCTTCATGTGAAAAGAAACAATTTGCTGCACAAGATCCATTAAGTCTTCAATAGAGGACTCTTCACCCTGATATAACAAAAAGATGAGCATATAACCATATTCAGTAACGATTCTAAGCAAAATAGAAAGCACATTGTCATAATATTCATTAACAGACCATAATATCCATGACATTGCTAGAATATGACTTAACACTTTTCGAGCGAAAGAACATTGCCAAAGACCATATTGTTTACTAACCTGACGCATTGTATACTCTTCTGCAATCTCTCCGGCCAAATTCCTGACATACTCGTGACCCCACGATCCGATTTCAACCTCTGATCCAGTCAACCTATAGTTTAAGCTTTCCTGAAAGATTATTGTATAACAAAGGATCAGCAACAAATAACTTCATCAAATTCTACCAAGAACCATAAAATACAAAGCTGGTAAGGCATATCATAAGAGGAAAACAAAAAGGAATCCAGTTATATGAATGTGAAGCAAATAGCAATAGGCAAGAAACTCCTACAACAATAGCAAGAAAGCATACCCTTTCACCTTCAGCAGACATGGTCAGTGCCAGGACCGAAAGTATATCAGCCAACATTTTCTGCAAAAACAGGGAGAGCGATCTTACAATCCAAACTCAGTAGAACGAGCAAGACAGTGTTGATGAGAAATGACTTAAAATGTTTGAAAGCATACTTTGAGATCAGACTCCGCCATTTTTACATGAAATTCCTTAAGAACTCCATAATGAGGACGGAGAAACTTGAGGGGTTTTGGAACTGATGTCATGGAGCTTGTTGAGTCACGAATTTCCTTCCTACAGACCAAAAGAGAGTGAATCAAGATAAGACAACGAGAAAAGAAGGAAAAACATGAACACCGTCGGTACTAAAGCAGCAAAAAGAAGTGTCAATATCCCATAAAACAAACTCCAACGAAAAAGTATCAGAATATTTGCAGCGAATCAACTCAAGGATGGGTTAAGAGATGCAAGAACTACCTCATGCTTTCAAGAGCAGCCTTCTGTAACTCAGGATTGGGGTCCTGAACTCTCTCAACATAGAGCTCCAGGTTCTGCTTTAGTTGCAAGTCCTCTTCAGACTACAATAACATCATATGCAAACTGAGTCAGCTAGCAATCATCGCCATAACAAGAATTGTATCTTCCCAGAACGAGTTATAATACGGCGAAGAACAGTCTCGGGCCGTTCTTAATCTCGCTTTCTAAATAGCAATGAGGCATTTTTCTTTGCCAAATCTTTTAAAACCAAAGAACATCAGCTAAACCCTAAATATCGGAAAATCTAGAGCTTAATCGTGAAGTTTTTCCCGATCTCCCCGGATTCCAAAGAAAAATCGAAATCGAAATAAAGATAACTTACCAGATCCTCTTCCTTCTTATCATCCTTCTTCTTGGAATCTTTAGAAGGAACCTTCGTCGTAGCTTCGTCCCGCTTCGCACCACCGCCAACACTGTTCGGATCCGGAACTGGAGCCATTGTTAGTCAGACTAGCACCTGATCAAATCGACGAATCCAAACAATGACTATCGAAAGTCGAAAAACTCGGAAGAATCGAGCAGCTTTCTACTTATGAGCTCTCGCGGAAACCCTAAGTCTGAAAAATCACGTTAGAGAAGAATTATGCTTTTCTTCTGGAATGAAGCAAAAAAGTTTCCAACTGTAGAAAAAAAAAATAACATCAGAAAAAAAAAGTCATATACAACTTATACCGGAGAAGATTACCCCTCGATCAAGAATTCCATTATGGGCTCAGCCTGTAATCAATTGGGCTTTTCATTGGGCCCTACTTTTCTATATACAGACAAAATAAATAAAAGATACCAAAACATTTATTTTATTGGATTTTGATTTGATCAATTTTTTAGAAATGGAACGAAAAAATAGCAACGAAATCGATCGGATTTAAGTTCGAACAACATAATAATAGCAACATTTATATAAATACGTTACATGTCGGAGTCTACATGCTTTTTAAAGATAAATTTAGTAATATTTGTCTAACTCAAACATTATACCTTCACATAATAAAAGAGGAAATGACATTTAATTGTTTTTTTTTTAATAAATTTTTTGTTATCTAAATGGAGAATCTCAATTACTTGAGCGATAATAAAAGAAGAAAAAAGGAAACAAATGGAGAAGGGAAGAGGCAAGAGGGCAAAGCTGTGATTAAAACACCGTCAACGGAGACAAACAAAGATCGTGTTTTCTCGAACCTTCCACGAGGTTCTTTACTAAGCCAAAGCAGAAGAGACCAGAGAACGAAGAAGAAATCCAGAAATTACCAATTTCTTTTTTTGTTTAATCGGATTCAGGAAAAGTGAAGAAACGTAAGAGAGAAGAAGAAGAAGGTGAGATGGGAGTGGATTATTACAAGGTTTTACAGGTTGATAGAAGCGCTAACGACGATGACCTTAAGAAAGCTTATAGAAAACTCGCTATGAAATGGCATCCCGACAAGAACCCTAACAACAAAAAAGACGCTGAGGCTAAGTTCAAGCAGATCTCTGAAGCCTACGATGTATGTTTTCCTTTTTGTGTTTGATTCCAATTACTCCACTGCTTCTCAATTCAAATTATCATTGCTTTATTGATGAAAATCGTCCCAAAGTTTTGATTTTGATTGCTAGTGAGCGTTTTTCTTTCCCTTAATACTGTCGGCGGTCACGAACTTGTTTCTGATTTTGGATATTAGTCGGATTTCACGATTTGATGTTGTGTTGGATCGTGGGTTTTCCAGATTTCGTGTTCCTCAGTAATTCGAATCATAGTATCAAGTAAAAGATGATTGCTTTATTTTTGAGCTAAGCTAGATTATCCTCAAAGCTCTTAATTTTGTGCTTCCTCTGACTCATGCTTTATCCTTTGTCTTTTACTCTGTGATTGATTATTGAGAACCTCTTAGGCACTCTATATACTTATCAGTTATTGCAAGTCTGTGTAGCTTAGGATTATGAGGAACATACTAAGATTGTTTAATTTGACTCAGGCTTTTATGGGGCTAATGTTGTTCTTTGTTGTGAGTTGATTAGGTTCTTAGCGATCCTCAAAAGAGAGCGGTATATGATCAATACGGTGAGGAAGGGTTAAAAGGGAATGTGCCACCTCCCAATGCTGGTGGTGGAGCCTCATACTTCTCAACAGGAGATGGACCTTCATCTTTCAGATTCAACCCGAGAAGTGCGGATGATATATTCGCTGAGTTTTTCGGGTTCTCGACCCCGTTTGGTGGTGGTGGTGGAGGGCAGAGATTCGCTAGCCGCATGTTTGGTGATGATATGTATGCCTCTTTTGGTGAAGGAGCAGGTGGTGGAGGAGCTATGCATCATCATCACCATCATCATCATCACGGTGCAGCTAGGAAAGTGGCTCCTATCGAGAACAAGTTGCCTTGTAGCCTTGAAGATCTCTACAAAGGAACTACCAAGAAGATGAAGATCTCCAGGGAGATTGTAGATGTCAGCGGGTAAGTGATCAAACTCAGATACCATTCCGATCAAGTTCCCTGTTTGATTTGAGCTGGCCCTAGTTGTTGTCTTAACAATAGTTAATATCTGTCTTCTTCGTTTTTCTTCTGCTAAATGTAGCAAGGCAATGCAAGTGGAAGAGATTCTAACGATTGGAGTGAAACCCGGGTGGAAGAAAGGCACAAAGATCACATTCCCAGAGAAAGGCAATGAGCATCCAGGTGTGATTCCAGCAGATCTAGTCTTCATCATTGACGAGAAACCCCATCCAGTGTTTACCCGCGAGGGCAACGACCTGATTGTCACACAGAAAGTCTCACTAGCTGATGCCTTAACAGGCTACACCGCAAACATAACGACCCTTGATGGTCGTACACTTACAATCCCAATCACAAATGTGATCCATCCAGAGTATGAAGAGGTGGTTCCTAAAGAGGGAATGCCACTTCAGAAAGATCAGACAAAGAAAGGGAACTTAAGGATCAAGTTCAATATCAAGTTTCCAGCGAGATTAACTGCGGAACAGAAAGCTGGGTTTAAGAAGCTTATTGGGTGATGATTAAAGCTTCTCTGTCTTATGATGTGTGGAGATTGGGTTAAATTTGGTAATATACGATTTATATAGGGAATTCTCTCCCTCTTCATTAATTTCGTGTTGTTAAACAAGTCTTCTTTTTAAAGAATAGTTATTTCAAGATTTGGTACATGTCTTCCATAAACAAAAATTGAAGATCACAAATCTTTTGTTTTACAAAAGTTTCTGCATTTTCATGTCTAGAGTATGAAACTATTCTTTGGTAAGGGGAGATCCGATGCCATGACGGCGTGTGGGGAATGCGAGGAAGAAGGCACCACAAATGATGCCGATGATAAAAGGTAAACTGGTAAGAATCTCCTTGGTTTCCTCGGAAGGAACAGGAAATAAACAACGGGTTACGTTCTGATCAAACATGGAGACTGCGAAGAAGACGAGCATTGACATGATTGCGTGCACAAAATCAAGAATCTTGAGCTTATACTTTTCCCTCTCCTCCTCCGTTAGAGTAATCGATCCATCTATCACACATAGCCCACTCCACGTTGCCAATCCGTACCTAACCTGCAACATTAAGTTTGGTGCTTGTTTCAACAATTTGGACAACTTGAACAAAAACTCTATGAATGGTACAAAACAGCCGAAAATGTGACACAGATGTCAGATGTGTATATACCTTGCCGTTTGGGTCTCTGATGGAGTCGGTAAAGGAGAAGAGGAAGCAAGAGATGGCGCATAGGGAGACGAGGAAGCAGGTGAGCCATCGACTGGTGATGGTGGGACACTGACCTTGATGGGTTAGGACCGGACACATTATTTGAAAACTCATTACCGAACCGGTCGGGAGCAGATTTGATAGATGAGCTGTTCCTTTGAATGTTTTCCTCACAACTCTCTCTACTTTCGACTTTGGTTTTCTTGGTGCCGCCGGCAACGATGCTATCAATGACTGCTTCGTCTCCTCCATAACTATTTTTGTTAGTTAATCACTCTGCAAATTCGAATGATTATATATGTCTCTTCTTTCCTCTATAGTTATTCTGATTTGAAAGAATTGCACAAGATTTTATGGGTTTCGAATTCTTTCTTTTTTGGTGTCTGCTTCTGTTGAGTTGTTTGTTCAGGTTTCAAGGTTGATATTCTGTTCTTCCATTTTTATGTTTCTGTTGCAGGTCAGGATTAGCAATAAGAAACGTAAAAACCAAATAATATATTTGAGTAACGAAACAAGAAATAGGAGTTTTGTAACAGAAAGGATTTAACTAGAACTCTGTTACCGTTTCCTAAGTAGGCCTGGGCATAATACCCGAACCCGAAGAACCGAACCGAACCCGACCCGAAAAATCCGATCCGAACCCGAACCCGAAGTTTTAAAATACCCGAACGGGTTCTAAATTTCACAACCCGAAAACCCGAACCGAACCCGACCCGAACTCGAACCCGAACAAGTACCCGAACATACCCAAAATATAAGTACATAGTTATAATATATTAGTAATATTTATATTTGTAATAACTTAAGTGCCTAAATTATTCGGATGTTAAGATATTTTAGGGTGTTTTAACTACTTTGGGTTAGATATGGGTTAAAATACTTGGGTTTTATAGATTTTTTTGAGTATTTTTCAATACTTTGCATAGAATCGGATACAAAATTTCTAATATTTGGATACTTCGGGTAAACCCGAATCCGAACCCGAAATACCCGATCCGAACCCGACCCGAACCCGAAGTTTTAAAATACCCGAAAGGGTTTTAGTTTTCTAAACCTAAAAAACCCGAACCCGAAAAACCCGACTCGAACCCGACCCGAATATCCGAACGCCCAGGCCTATTCCTAAGTATGAACTATATAGATATGTAATTATCAAAGTTACTTTTATAAAACTGATGTGAAAAACTTTGTTATAAAAATTAACACGAACAATGGTCCTTAAATTTTTGATGTTTATGCAAAGCCCAAATATGAAAATAAAGATTAAGTCGAAGCCCGCTGGAAAAGGGAAGACGTGGCTTAATTCTAATCTGTCTAACGTATGGACCATAAAGAATTGTACATTAAATTGGTCTTTGCACGAATTTATTCTTCGGCTAAAAGAGGTTATCGGTTGTGAAGTGGACCTGCAATTCACTTGTGTGTTAATAAGAAATTAAGAATAAATAAACGAGAACTTAATTTTTACATACAATACATGTAAGCCATATGAAACAGGAACTTTTAAAACGAAATAAACCTTTGTTTTACTTTATTTTTCCGTATATTGTACAAAATAGTTAACAATTGATATCCAAAGTAGCAGAATTTAAGAGAATCTCGTTATTATGTGAGCAAAAGTCCAAAACAATTAAAAGGCAGCGTGCTTGGGGAGACGTAAAGAGAATGCAAACTAGGAAGAAAGGTCATTTTCGTTAGAGAACCAAAGACTTAAAACATTATTGGATTAATGTGACATCATTGTGCATAGTACGTTGTACCATCGCAAACTCGTGATATTCGATCACAGATTAAAGACATGATCTATCATTTTCTCCATTTCCCCCCTTAAATCTCGTTGCTTTTCCAAATCAAAGTGACTGTTGCTTTTCCCATCGAAATGACAGTAATCTAACAAAATCTACTGTTAGATCATGTTTCTCCGACCAACCAGATTTGACCTTGTCTACGTACACACGTGGCTTCACAAACGCGCATGAAGCTATTGAACTTGGAAGCATAAAACTATATTCTATAGTTCCATTTAAAAGATTGTCCATCAAATTATCTTAGTCAATCTAGGGTTGGGATCAGAGGTGTTTAGGTTTTCGGTTTAACAAATGTTATAGATCGATAGGACATTTCCTCACCACTATACACACACATAAAGTTTTGCATTCATAACATTAAATCCAGAAGCTTTAATGTTAACATAACATTATATGCACACTAGAAAAGTCAACATAAATCTAGCATCACATGGCCCATTTGTCTCCATCATTTTGACCATCATAGCATTTCAGTTGACTTGGAGAGTGACCATTGTATTTCTTTTCAAATGAACAATTACATGTTCTTATTCATTTATCAAAAAAAAAATTGATAAAATTACCCTATGTAACCATTCAAAATCCGCATTTTTTTTTAATCACTTTATAAATTTTGGGGATGATTTATATGTATAGTACTTTTCTCTGTAATAGAATTCACATGGATGTATATAATTTGCCTCCTAATTCTTCCAATCTTGAAAAACATGTTTCACCCATGTCTTGTCACAGTGTTCGTTTCTCTTTTTGCTTCTACACAAGTCCTTATAATTACCAATCCATAATTTCGTTTTATTCACAAATCCAAAGCATGAAAGAAGAATAACGATTCTCTTTCCAAAAAAATGTTTTATTGTCTTATTCTCCTACTATGTCTCTCTTCTACGTATCCAAGTCTATCTTTAAACCAAGATGCCACCATTCTCCGGCAAGCCAAACTGAGCTTCTCCGACCCGGCCCAGTCCCTATCTTCATGGCCCGACAACGACGACGTCACTCCATGCACGTGGCGAGGCGTGAGCTGCGACGACACGTCAACCGTTGTCTCCGTCGATCTCTCAAGCTTCATGCTCGTCGGACCTTTCCCCTCCATCCTCTGCAACCTTCCTTCTCTCCACTTCCTCTCTCTATATAACAACTCCATCAATGGTTCTCTCTCCGGTGACGACTTCAACACGTGTCGGAATCTCATCAGTCTTAATTTATCGGAGAATCTTTTGGTTGGATCCATCCCAAAGTCACTTCCTTTCAATCTTCCGAACCTCAAGTTCCTCGAACTCTCCGGTAACAACTTATCAGACACAATTCCGGCGAGCTTCGGAGAGTTCCAAAAGCTTGAGACTTTAAACCTCGCCGGTAACTTCCTCTCCGGTACAATTCCCGCCTCTCTCGGTAACGTCACGACTCTTAAAGAACTCAAACTCGCTTACAATTTGTTTTCTCCGAGTCAAATCCCGAGCCAACTCGGAAATCTCACAGAGCTCCAAGTTCTCTGGCTCGCCGGCTGCAACCTCGTTGGTCCGGTACCTTCAGCTCTGTCCGGATTAACTCGTTTGGTTAACTTGGATTTGACATTTAACCGACTCACAGGATCTATCCCGAGTTGGATCACACAGCTAAAGACCGTCGAGCAAATCGAACTATTCAACAACTCGTTCTCAGGCGAGTTACCGGAAGCTATGGGTAACATGACGACGCTAAAAAGATTCGACGCGTCGATGAATAAGCTGAGAGGAAAGATACCCGACGGCTTAAATCTGTTAAACCTCGAGTCACTCAATCTCTTCGAGAACATGCTCGAAGGTCCCTTGCCAGAGAGTATAACTCGCTCCAAAACCTTGTCAGAACTCAAGCTTTTCAACAACAGACTCACCGGAACATTACCGAGTCAACTCGGCGCTAACTCGCCATTACAATACGTGGACCTATCGTATAACCGATTTTCCGGCGAAATACCGGCGAATCTCTGCGGTGAAGGGAAACTAGAGTATCTAATTCTTATAGACAATTCGTTCTCCGGAGAAATCTCGAATAATCTAGGAATGTGTAAGAGCTTGACTCGGGTCCGTTTGAGTAACAACAATCTTTCGGGTCATATCCCTGACGAGTTCTGGGGATTGCCTCGCTTGTCACTGCTCGAACTCTCTGAAAATTCATTCACCGGAAGTATTCACAAGACGATCTCCAGTGCGAAGAATCTATCGAACCTACGAATCTCAAAGAATCAATTTTCAGGTTCAATACCCAACGAAATCGGATCGCTTAAAGGACTGATCGAGATTTCCGGAGCGGAGAATGATTTCACCGGTGAAATTCCTAGTAGCTTGGTGAAATTGAAGCAATTGAGCAGGTTTGATCTCAGCAAGAATCAACTCTCCGGCGAGATTCCTAAAGGAATCAGAGGTTGGAAGAATCTAAATGAGCTCAATTTGGCTAATAATCATCTCTCCGGTGAAATCCCTAGAGAAGTCGGAATGTTACCTGTTCTCAATTACCTTGACCTCTCCAACAATCAATTCTCCGGTGAAATTCCGTTGGAGTTACAGAATCTGAAGCTAAACGTTTTAAATCTTTCGTATAATCACCTCTCCGGTAAAATTCCTCCTCTCTACGCGAATAAAATCTACGCTCATGACTTCCTCGGCAATCCCGGTTTATGCGTTGATCTCGACGGTCTTTGTCGGAAGATCACACGGTCTAAAAACATTGGTTATGTTTGGATTCTCCTAACGATATTCTTGCTCGCCGGTTTGGTTTTTGTCGTCGGGATCGTTATGTTCATTGCCAAGTGCAGAAAACTCAGAGCCTTGAAGAGCTCTAATTTGGCAGCGTCTAAATGGAGATCCTTCCATAAGCTTCATTTCAGTGAGCATGAGATAGCTGATTGTCTCGATGAACGGAACGTAATAGGATCTGGATCTTCAGGTAAAGTCTATAAAGCGGAGCTTAGTGGCGGAGAAGTTGTAGCTGTGAAGAAACTCAATAAAACTGTTAAAGGAGGAGATGAATACAGTGATTCGTTGAATAGAGATGTTTTTGCTGCGGAGGTCGAAACGTTGGGAACGATTAGGCATAAGAGTATTGTGCGTTTGTGGTGTTGTTGCAGCTCTGGTGATTGTAAGTTGTTGGTATACGAGTACATGCCTAATGGGAGCTTAGCTGATGTGTTGCACGGCGACAGTAAAGGCAGGGTGGTGTTGGGTTGGCCAGAGCGGTTGAGAATCGCTTTGGACGCTGCCGAAGGTCTATCGTACTTGCACCATGATTGTGTTCCTCCAATTGTGCACCGCGATGTGAAGTCGAGTAACATACTGCTAGATAGAGATTATGGGGCTAAAGTTGCTGACTTTGGGATCGCTAAAGTCGGTCAGATGAGTGGTTCCAAAACTCCAGAAGCTATGTCAGGTATCGCCGGTTCTTGTGGTTACATTGCACCAGGTATAACCAACTGCATTTTTGTTGATCTTATGTTCTGAGTTTTTTAGAGATATTAACAGTTTTGAATTTCGCAGAATACGTATACACGCTTCGGGTGAATGAAAAGAGCGATATCTACAGCTTCGGTGTGGTGCTTTTGGAACTGGTTACAGGGAATCAACCAACGGATCCAGAACTCGGAGATAAAGATATGGCGAAATGGGTGTGCACTACACTTGACAAATGTGGTTTAGAACCCGTGATCGATCCCAAACTCGATCTCAAGTTCAAAGAAGAAATTAGTAAAGTCATTCACATTGGTCTACTCTGTACCAGTCCTCTCCCTCTAAACCGACCTTCCATGAGAAAAGTTGTGATCATGCTTCAAGAAGTCTCTGGTGCTGTTTCTTGTAGCAGTCCAAACATATCTAAACGCTCCAGGAGTGGTGGGAAACTCTCGCCTTACTACACGGAAGAGTTGAACAGCGTTTGAACATTCAAATATGGGCTGAGATTGGGTTGGGCCCGGATAGCAATTTGATGATATGATGCTAGGTGAATTGTAAGAAAGATATCAGAAACAGAAAAGTGGAGCTTTCTGATTAGGTAACTGCTCTTAATGCTAATATAAAGTTATAGTTTGGATATTAATTTTAAATTAATGCAATGTTTGCAATATTTGGTGGTTGGTCCACCCAATAGTCAACCTTCATTTAAACTGAACTGTGAACTCATTACCAGTGTAATCTTGAAAACGGATGTTCATTGGATGAGCGATGATCAATATTTTATTTTATTTTTTTTTAATTTTCATGATTAAAACTTACTGGTAAATGTTTATATTAATCCCATTATATATTGCATATTCTAAATAGCCAATTAGCACCGACAAGATTACTCAGTATAATATGGTTAGATTTCTTGAATGTCACCTTGCTGCGCTTTCGATCCACCTATGAAAACAACAAACTAACCACAAATTTTTCCAACGGACACAGAAGTGTAACATTTGTTTAGTTTTTTTTTTTTTTTTTATATATGATAGGTAAATAACATGTGTTTAAAGTTAACAAAGAGAAAAAATAAATAAAGGTCGAGGTTCCTTGTTATGCATGAGAAGTCTACGTGAAGAAATAGAATAATGACTAGCTTTTTAAACTTTCTTTTTCTTTTTATCTACATAAAAAGAAATATCTATCTAATTAAAAACCAATATTTTAATGTTTTCTAACGTATATCACTAATATATCAATATATAATTTCAGTAAATTAATGTATATGGAGACGTTAAGACAAGAAAAAGATGTGTAAATTATAAGTATAAGTTTCTGTAATAAAATCTTTACATGCACTCTATGGTGACATTGGACCTTAACTTCTCTTTCTTGTTTTTTCTGTTCTACCATATCACGTCTGAGCTCTCACAGACCAGCAGCAACATCTTGCCCCAAACTCACTCCATCTCATATTCATTTTTAGATCCTATACATTTTATCACCAAATTACCAATATTAATTGATTAATTCCAGAATTTGTTATTTTTACTCAGCATTATATATTGGATATATAGAGATCAGCACACATAAATACTACAAGACAAAGGTATTTTGTTCCATAACTTAAGAATGTTATTGTCAAAAAAAAAAAAAAGAAGCTCACACATGTATTCCCTCACAAGATTTTGTCTTTCATATAATTTTTATTTGACCAGTCTTTGTCTATTTCGCTCTCACACCATACATGCCATGAGCCCAACCAAACTTAAAACCCAAGCAAACTATTTTTTTTTTTTTTTCCTTTCTGGTAATCCAATTTTATTGTATTCTTCAGAATATCACAAATTTAGTATTTTTAAGAATAAGCTAATTAAAGTCTATTCAATTCATATGTTTTTACTTCAAAAATGTATATGTACATGCACACTTGTAAAAAACGAAAAAGAAAATAATTTAGCAGTATATATTAAATTAGTAAAATATCTTTAGACTTTACTTTCAAGTTGTAGGTGTGCCTGTCCCTCTCGTTGTTACTTAACATGTATGTTCTCTACATAGTCTTGAAATAACAATTTGTACACATTATAAAAATAAGGTCTAAATAATACTATTTCTACTAGGATTATCTCAACTCACCTCTCTCTCTCTCTCTCTCTCTCATGGATAGTAGAGAGTTAAAATCAAGTGCAAAAAAAGGCAATTAACTCAACTTAAAAAGTGATGAACAAGAATTTAATTCCTTCCTCTTTGTCAAGATAACCTCAAAGAGATCTTCTTATGAAACATATGCTTTAGCTATCTTTAACCCTTTTCCCCCTTCTCTCTTTCTCTTTCTCCCTCATGCCTTTGTTTATTCTGATGAAGTTGTGAGCACTGAATTAAAGAAGAGAAGAGAGGAGAAGAAAGATATGCACAAGAAGAAACTTAGGAACACAAAACAACATGACTTGGTGCAATGACCGTAGCGATGTTCAGACCGTTGAAAGAATCATTCCCTCCCCTCCGGCGCCTGAGTCCCCGGTTGCCTCACTTCCGGTCTCTTGTCACAAAACTTGTCCTTCTTGTGGCCATAACTTCAAGTTTCATGAACAGGTTCTTTTTTATCTCTCCACCTATATCAAGTTTCTACTTTTAGATGATGTTGGATATGTGAATATAATATGTAATGTAGGCGGGGATCCATGACTTGCCGGGACTTCCTGCTGGAGTGAAATTTGATCCGACGGATCAAGAGGTCTTGGAGCATCTTGAAGGGAAGATAAGAGACGACGCAAAAAAGCTTCATCCTCTCATCGATGAGTTTATCCGTACCATCGATGGTGAAAACGGCATCTGTTATACCCATCCTGAGAAATTGCCAGGTGATTCTATGTTGTTCAATCATCAAGAGTATAATTATATTTTTTTCGTCTTCATATGATCGTCTAGTAATGAATATTGAGAACTACAAAAATACGTGGAAAAAATAATTGAATCATATTTTGCACGATATAAATGTCAAGAAGATGTAGCTAATCCAATTTATTAATTAATTAAGTTTGATGAATGCTAATTAGTCGTTGATATATATATATAGGAGTAAACAAGGACGGGACGGTCCGTCATTTCTTCCACCGACCGTCGAAGGCATACACGACTGGAACAAGAAAGCGACGTAAAGTCCACACTGATTCTGATGTCGGTGGCGAGACACGGTGGCATAAGACCGGCAAAACACGGCCAGTTCTCGCCGGAGGAAGAGTGAGAGGCTACAAGAAAATCCTAGTGCTCTACACAAACTACGGTAAACAAAAAAAACCCGAGAAGACTAATTGGGTAATGCATCAATATCATCTTGGCACCAGCGAGGAAGAGAAAGAAGGCGAGCTCGTCGTCTCCAAAGTCTTCTACCAGACTCAACCACGCCAATGCGGTGGCTCTGCCGCAGCCACGGCTAAGGACCGACCTTACCTCCACGGCCTCGGTGGAGGTGGTGGCCGCCACCTTCATTACCATCTTCATCATAACAACGGCAACGGTAAGAGCAACAGCGGTGGAGGATCTGCCGGAGCCGGTGAGTATTATCACAATATTCCGGCTCTTATCTCGTTTAATCAGACCGGGATACAGAACCATTTGGTTCATGACTCTCAACCTTTTATCCCTTGAAGGCAAAACCATTTTATATCAACGATCATAAAATAAAACAAAAGGTATATAATCTAAACATTATCTTTGATTTTACTACACATTACATATATACGTTGAAAATAATTTAAATTTACCGTGCAATCTTATATACGTAACTTGTTTTTTAGTCTTAATTCTTTTTTCCTTTTGATTTTACTGCTTTGTACAATTTAAATTCCTTGGACTGACCATGAAAATATGTTCAAAGATCTCCCTTGATTGGTACATGAATTCATTTTGATATATTGTCGGCAGAGATTTATGGTGGACTATATAACACGATATTTAAATAAGTGCAAAACAATCGCCAACAAAACTCTAATTTTTAAAAGCATCCACGGTTTAATAAGCGTTTTGACCCCCTGGTAAAAATATACACAAAATGAATCACGTTGATAAGTATATACTTACTAATTAGTACATCGGCAAGATCAATCATATACAGAAGTTGCATAGCGACAATCGTCTATGACTATACGTATAAGTATTTAACCAAATGACATTTAACTCCAAATGCAAGTCTCATACATTTTTTCCTCCCAAACGACGACAAGTTTATTACAATTAACTCATTCAGCAAGACAGTATCATTTTTTTCTGGAGATCAATTTTTACTTTGAGATAGAGAGAACCCAAGAACTTAAAAAGTATTTAGTAGTACAAATGAAGCTTTTTGTTCCAAAGATTCGAGAAATTTAAAAGACAGACATGAACCGCATGGGGTTTTTACTTAAGAAACATCTCTACTTCTTTGCATCGACATCCAAATTCATCTCTTGTAGGTTAAGTAACAGATCATCTGAGCTCAAGTACACCTTGTTCGCCGAGTTTGCTATGGTCTGTGCAATCTCTCTTGCAGCCTCTATCTTTCTGAGCGTGATAAACGCTTGGTTGTTTGCAATTGCTTGACCAATGAGCTGAGCACTCTTGGCTTCTCCCTACACAACCCATGAGAACTTTTGTCACACCACAATTTCGGTCTCAGATGTTAGATAAGTGGAAATGTAGAGAATCTCTTTACCTGGGCGCGGATAACAGCACTTCTCTTGTCTTGTTCGGCCTTCTCAACGATGAACTTAGCCCGCTCAGCCTCTTGAGCCGCTACCTGCTTTGCTTCAATGGCAGCTGTGAACTCCTTCCCGAATGTCAGGGTCGTGATGGACACATCGTCAAGCGCAACGTTGAAGTTTGCTGCTCGTGCAGTCAGAATCTTCCTGATCTCCCTACTGACCGCCTGAGAGTATCCCGAAAAATATCTTTAATAACTTCACTTACTAAGAAAGAAGATTAAGATGATCATATATTTACAGTCACTTGTATACCTCTCTCTGAGTAATAAGCTGGCTTGCATTGTACTGAGCAACCACGGCTTTCAGAGTCTCATGGATTATAGAAGGCAGAACTCTCTCGCTGTAGTTCTCACCAAGGGTTCTGTAGATTTCAGGTAACTGGTCTGCCATGGGACGCGTGAGAACCCTAAGCCCAATTTTCACCTGAAAGTTTTAAAACCCACAAATGATGTTGTTTATCGAAATAACACTACAGTGGCATATGAGAAACCACATGATGGTTGAAAGGAAATACTTCACATTCCCTACATTAACAAAACAAAATGACTGAAAATGGGAGGAGTTGAAGCAGAGTAGAGTACCATCTGAAGGTCACGGCTTCCGGATGTACTCTCAACAAGGTAAGGTCGAGCGCGAACGTCATAGATGATAGGCCTTTCGAACCCAGGAATCATAAGGTGTGTACCCTCAGGGTAAACCTGCGTAATAACAAGGTTACCAGCTAACATACTTGTGAAATTAGAAGACTGTTATTACGCTCAACGAGAACAGCAGAACAACAAGATTTCAAGACTAATAACCAAACATGGACAACAAATCAGCCTCGGGGATTAATAAACAACATCTCGCAGATGGTAATCAGACTTTCACTAACAAATCAACCAGGGCAATTTCATCCAAATGTCACAAACCGTAAAAAAAAACCAATTTGAAGAAACACTGACTAACCTTATCTTTAATACCGATTAAACGATTGAACATGATGGCTCGATGTCCTCCTTCAACATTGTAGAGACTGTGTGTAGCACCATAGAGACCAAGCCCACCAATAATCCCAATCTT